GTAGAACTGTCAAAATGAGTCAAAGGGCTAAGAAAAATTTAGCGTTGGCGGCAAGTAAATAATTTTTTTGATTATTTACTTGCAACTAAAAAAACAGTATTCGAATATTTCTATAGCAATTGCATTTTGGAAAAACTATGAAGTTTGTATAAGTTTTTGTTTTTTTTTTTACGTTATCTAACATCAATCGTTATTATTGGATTTCGCTATATATTTACTCATTTCTCAATTATTGAAACAAATTATAGAGAACATTATCCAACCAATCAATTCATTTGATAAAATTTTAGAAAAAAATTATTCGACATTTGAGTGAATCAAGTGCTTAGGCTGCTTCCAAAAAAAAAAAACGTATGGCGAACATTTAAGCAAAATGTTAGTACGGCACGAAATATTTAGCAAAACAACACAGCCATTAATGACATTCTGATAGCCCGCCATGGAGAAAAAAATGCAGCGCTCCGTCTGTATCACATCTGTAGTAAATTGCGAGAATGTGCTCGATTTTTGTTAGAAACTGGAAAGCTCGGTAATTATACCGATATGCCTTCAGCATTAAAACCAGAAAGCTCCGATGATATAGTTGAAGCAGTAAAAGCCATATCGCAGATACTAAACTGTTTGGCGCTGATTCCTCGGCGTTACATTTTGGAACTAATCTTTGATTTTGCGTAAGTTTGTAGAGGAAAAAGATCGTGAAGCAGTTGCAAAACTAGAGTTAAACTATTTACAGGATCAAAACAAATACCCCTGAATGAAAATACATATTTTGTTACATTCCCAAATTCATTAAGATAAATAGATGGGTGCACTGCTATACGAAAGTACGCAGAACTGAGTGGGGTACAAAAGCCCCATTATTAACGTCTTCCAGACTCAGAAAACAAATAGCACCTGTTACACGGGTCCTTAATAATAATGTTATTCCACAAGACGTTTACCCAATTGCTAAAGTAACGAAAATTCTTCAACTAGTGGAGCAAGGAAACATGGATAAGTTTAAGAATTACAACTTGAATAAAATTGATAGAAAGATGTCCCAGACCACAATTTAGAAGCGGACAAAGAGAATGTATCTTCAACATAGGGCACACAAAGTTGCTATAGTGACGAAGGTATGAATGGTTTTCACCTATGTATTTTGAATTCCCAAAGTTTAAAGCCATATTTTGTCCCTTTCCTCGATAATAAAGGACACTGCCCACGAAAAAATTATCCCTGAAGTTATCAACTTTTGAGTTCATCTCAAATTAATTATTTCTTCATTCCTGTCGGATATAAAAATCGACTCAGATGAGGAAGTAGCTAGAGCAAGAATTATTTCTAGGCGAACAAAGTTTAAGAAGAACTCTGGTTCATCAAAAACAATTTGTTAGATCATATGATTCCAGCCTTAAAATATATTTCAGGAGATACATTTTAGGGATGCTATTGACAACAAAAAAGCTCTGAGGAAGCAGGAATGAGAGATATTTATTAAAAAACATAATTCTTTCGAAGGTGTTATTTGGTTTCGTGTTAAAACATTCCTATTTAATACTTACCGCTCTTAAAACATAGTGTGAGGTAAAAGTAAAAATAACAATTAGAAACAATAATCACTGAACTGACTGCAGCGTTTACTAAGTTTTATGTTCCTCGCTATCCTCTTAACAGCGCTAAATTCTGTAAGCTAATATAGAAATTGGCGTGAAATATGGCAATACTTTTGGGTGCTAGATAAATCTGGTTTTTCTAAAAATATATATGTATATATGTGCCACATAGCCACTATTTGTACAAGTGTCATAATGGGTGCCAGAAAGATACATATATATTTATATATATATATATATATATATATATATATATATATATATATATATATATATATATATATATATATATATATATATATATATATATATATATATATATATATATATATATATATATATATATATATATATATATATATATATATATATATATATATATATATATATATATATATATATATATATATATATATATATACAAACAAACTGTTAATTATTGGGATCACCCCAACTTCGATGGATCGCCGTAAAGGGAGCAATAAAAGATGTTGAAGCTCAAAGCAAAGTGGCAATTTATTGTAATATCTAGCTTTCGCCCATGGATACAGGCTTCATCAGGACACTAAGTCATATAGAGAACAAAAAAAAAACACTTCATCAGAGTTAACAATCTAACCAAAAAATAGTGAAAAAACTTACACAACACGCCTCTTTCAACCTCTACATATAGAGAGATGACATTGGTATATAAAATAAAGTGTTTCGCCCGTTCTAACTATCAACATAACACTCGATGGATGAAATTTATGAAAAAAATTTACAATTGTAAAAAATATTAACATCCACCACAACGTTACAAAACAATCCCACTAACATAAAACGTTAAGGTCAATAAAATATCCGGATTGATAAAATATTAAAAGATGAAAAAAACGCCGATTTGTTACAAATGACACTCCGTATTGTCGAGAAGGAAAACTAAATGTGCGGGAACTTATTAACAATTCGCAATAACCTAAAAAAGCCACAACCAAAAAACCAGTCAATGATACCAACTGTACAGCCAACCATAACATATGTAAAACACCAAACAAGGGAGGGAATTTTAAACAAGAATTCTTTCAAATATGCACCCATTGTACACTATTTATATAACTATGTTTACATTATTGAAGTTAACGTTAAGGGTAATCAGAAACAACCTTTTAGGACGGGGAGAAAGAAACAAAGAAGGGAAACTGTTTTTAAACATTAATAGCAACAAATTTAGCAACCCACTACAACCTGACCGTGTCAAAAAACTCTGGTAGCTTATGCTTCGCAGTACGACTCTGATTAAGAAGATAGGTGTAGATGCTACTAAGACCCTCAACATCCTTCTTTCTGTTGAGGCTATTACTACAACAGTTAATATAACACATCTCTAAAAACTTACGTTTGAAGAGGTTCTTTTCACTCTTTAATACTACCGCTTCATCGTACATGACACTATGTCCGGTATCATTGACATGAGCACTTAAACTAGTAATATTTGGTTTTAACTTACAATCACTTTTATGAAGTGTTAGCCGTTTTTTTTTAACTTCATAAGCATAAGCTACCAGAGTTTTTTGGTACGGTCAGGTTGTAGTGGGTTGCTAAATTTGTTGCTATTAATGTTTAAAAACAGTTTCCTTTCTTTGTTTCTTTCTCCCCGTCCTAAAGGATTGTTTCTAATTACCCTTAACGTTAACTTCAATAATGTAAACATAGTTATATAAATAGTGTACAATGGGTGCATATTTGAAAGAATTCTTGTTTAAAATTCCCTCCCTTGTTTGGTGTTTTACATATGTTATGGTTGGCTGTACAGTTGGTATCATTGACTGGTTTTTTGGTTGTGGCTTTTTTAGGTTATTGCGAATTGTTAATAAGTTCCCGCACATTTAGTTTTCCTTCTCGACAATACGGAGTGTCATTTGACAAATCGGACTTTTTTTCATCTTTTAATATTTTATCAATCCGGATATTTTATTGACCTTAACGTTTTATGTTAGTGGGATTGTTTTGTAACGTTGTGGTGGATGTTAATATTTTTTACAATTGTAAATTTTTTCCATAAATTTCATCCATCGAGTGTTATGTTGATAGTTAGAACGGGCGAAACACTTTATTTTATATACCAATGTCATCTCTCTATATGTAGAGGTTGAAAGAGGCGTGTTGTGTAAGTTTTTTCACTATTTTTTGGTTAGATTGTTAACTCTGATGAAGTGTTTTTTTTTTGTTCTCTATATGACTTAGTGTCCTGATGAAGCCTGTATCCATGGGCGAAAGCTAGATATTACAATAAATTGCCACTTTGCTTTGAGCTTCAACATCTTTTATTGCTCCCTTTACGGCGATCCATCGAAGTTGGGGTGATCCCAATAATTAACAGTTTGTTTGTATATATATATATATATATATATATATATATATATATATATATATATATATATATATATATATATATATATATATATATATATATATATATATATATATATATATATATATATATATATATATATATATATATATATATATATATATAATTGCGCGTTTTTAAGCTTACCGATCAAGCGCCGTTTTAAATTTTACATTTAGGTCACTGCTTTTTTTAAAATACATAAGAAATAAAATTGGAGTATCCATTGCCAAATAACAACGAAAACACCAGCGAATTCATTTTGCGTTGCGCTGGAACGACATTAGATCAAAGGAACGTGTCTCGGAATTAATTATTATCCCCGACTGGTATCGCGAAAGGGCCTGAAAAATCGAGAAGATCGTTCGTTTGAATTGGAAAAGAATGTGGGAGCTCGAATATTTATATTGCCGTTAAGTGTCCACTATACGCAGCGCTACGGGCTCTTATCTCGATTCTCTTCTCAATTTTAATGGTGTCAGACCCCAAACAATGATTGTTATTACTGATGGCATAAAACATCCATAACATAATAACAAGCATAACTTATCCCTGAGGTTTCCTTACAATACGACCTTTAAACATCACATAATACCCTATCTAAATTCTAATAAATTATGAAATATGAATAACATTGCAATAACATCAGGCCAAACATATTACTCAGCATAAAACTGCACATTTATATCATATTCACATCCCATATGCCCATATTTTATTTTACTCGCACGTAGACCTCCGTCGGTTCTGGCCTGTTGAATTGAAAGGTTATAAAAATTTAAAGAAGTTGGATAGGAACATGGGGTGAGATGGAAACAAGTTAGCTTCAACTAAAATAAAGATAATTTTAATTTCAGTAGCTTATTGGTCAATTAAGCTTCCACAATCTACTATAATACTATTTACAAATATTCAAACTTTGCACTTTTCTTTATGGAAACTTTGAAAAAATGATAAAAGCGGATGTGCCACTTGGGCTAACCGATGTTATAAATTTTCCTACAATTTTTCAGTCCAAAGATCGGATCCGCAACGCGAACGAGATATTATCATTCCACAGCGAACCTTGCGAGTCTGCGCCATGCCACTCGAGCGACGGCACCCTGAGGAGAAACTCTTGCTCAACTCCGCTCAAGAGCAAAGCGTTGCTCAAGAAAACATTGAACGTATACGCTAACGGTGTAACCCGGTGTAGCATCAAGGACAGTTTGGTTTAACGAATGTTAATTTTAACCAGAAGACTCCTCAGTGTTGCATGTACAAGTGTAACAAATGATCGAAAATGCCTGTATCTGTGTCTGCGGCATTTCATATCGATATTTTTGTAAATATTTTATGATTGTAAATAAAGGTATGCCTGCCATTTAATTAAATGTTTTAACGTTCCTGTGCGCAAAAAAATTAATGGCCCGTATAAATGGCAACGTTCTTGTATGTTTATCAGTGCGTGGAACCACCGGTTTTATAGATATTATGGATAAAACACAGTAAATATCTTAATATTTGGTTACGGATTTGGAACTCTGTATACTTGCGACGCAGAGAGATTCGATCACCAAGACGAACGGCAAAAAACACTTGATTTATCTAGTAACCTTTGAAACGCTCAACTGTTGGTGAGTATGTTTGTTTTTGAGATTTGCCAACATTAGGATATACGAGGGGGTACCCATAAAAAACCGGAATTGAATTGCCGCGCGCAGAGCTTGTATAGTACACCTTTCTGCCGCTAAGTTGTGGACAGTACAACTTATTGCGAGTTCAGCGCCACCTTCGTTATAAATTTAACTTGTTTTGTTCACTTGCAGTGCCATTTTTTGTTAAAGCTGTTTTTTTGTTATTTCGTTTTTTTCGATGGCAAGTTTAAAAGGACAACGTGCAGCTGCGAAATTTTGTTTACTGCTCGGTAAAAGTGCTGCTGAAACTGTTTCAATGTTAAAAACTGCTTATAAAGACGATGCGATGGGAAAAACTCAAGTGTACCAGTGGTTTGTTCGCTTCAAAAATGGCGTGAGACAATTGATGACCGACCTCGTTCTGGACGTCCATCAACTGCTCAAATCGACGAAAATATTGAAAAAATTCGAGAGTTTGTGCTCACAGACCGTCGACAGACAATTGAACAATTATCAAAGATTAATGGGTTGTCTTGGAGCACGGTTCAGCGAATTTTAACCGAAGATTTGGGAATGAAAAGAGTTGCTACCAAGTTTGTTCCTCGTATTTTGATTGACATGCAAAAAGAACATCGAGTTGAAACATGTCGTGCTTTGAATCAACAGCTTGAAACGGATCCAGATTTTTTTTCAAAGATCATTACTGGTGACGAATCATGGTGCTATGGTTACGATCCAGAAACGAAGCAACAGTCCAGCCAATGGAAGACGTCACCGTCTCCCCGTCCAATGATTTGCTTTTTCGACATCAACGGCGTAGTTCATGCAGAGTTCGTTCCACCAGGTGAGACCGTTAATCGAGCTTTTTACCTGGAAGTTTTAAAAAGACAAAAAAAGACCCGATTTGTGGCGCACAGGGGACTGGTTCTTTCACCAGGATAATGCACCTGCACGCACAGCCATTTCTGTTAAGCAGTTTTTGGGTAAAAATGGCATGGTTCCTCTGCCCCATGCACCTTACTCGCCTGATGTCGCTCCGTGTAACTTCTTCTTATTTCCACGTATAAAAAGGGACATGAAAGGACAGCGACTATGATGTTTTAACTATCTTACATATATTATGTAGCTTATATTGCTGCACAATTTTTCTATTTCATTTTTTCATCTATGGCTAGCCGTTGTTAAGATTTCAATCACTACTGAAACTACTTACTAGATACACTATAACGAATTTAACGTGTAAAATATTTTCACCGTGCGAGACCACAAACCGTAAATTTAAACTGTGCTACCATCTCGTGATGAGTAGCGAAACAAAATCTAGAGCGAATTGGTGGAAATCATCCGAGGGATGGGAGGACGGCAGAGCAACAAACACCCACTACACCCACTTCCAAAACATAAAAAAGGCCAACGCAGAGATCATTTCTTTACTGCTTAGAGAAATAAACGCGTTAGAATTTTACGATGCCCTGTATAAAACTCAAGACGGACGAAATCTGGGTGTAAACGCCGGGGGTCGAGGCTTGCCCGCACACGTCGCCCCACGACACTATCCCCACCTGGAGCCCGTTGGAAACGAGAGGACCGCCCGAATCACCCTGAAAGCACCAGGTCAACCACGGCTTAGGGAACCAAAGGTACCTACGATGCAACTGTCTTTACCGCCGGCCCCGTATCCTGCGCAGATCATTCTATCAGTAACCGCTTTGGTTCCGTAATATTTCCGGCAATTCTGAGTCGTTATCAGTGGCAAAGTCACAGCCTGGAAAAAGAAATTGACGAAACTCGACAGCAGCTACTCGTCGTTTCACCTGCAGCTGATAAGACACCTCTCCGTCGTTAGAAGTGAAACCCCATCCAGCTACGGAAGCGACCTGCCCATTTGCTATCTTAGATGAGGCGCTTGTAAGCTTGATGGTCGCTACTCCGGTGCCCAAAGTCTAAACAGCATCGTAAGCAACTCTATTGCAACTTTCATCAAAGTCTCTTTACCAATGACGATGCCAACTCAAGCACCGCTACATCATAGTCATAAGTATCAGCGTTAAAACTAGCATGGGTCTGGATCGACTTGGTAGCGACCACTTGACCTCCCGTGGTCCTGAACGAGGAACCCGCCCTCACCGTTACTCGTTTTCCTTTAGTTCTAAAGTGTATATAGATAGTTTCATTTATTTTAAGAATTGCTACGGTATACTCACTCCGAGGCAAAGCAGTGCGCCGCCGACAGGACAAACTTCACGGTGAGGATCGAACCACCGCATCCATGTTCCCCGTCGAACGCAATGGATACTTGGTATGGGTACTGTGTTATGTTAGCTGCTTGGCCGCCGACTATTCTGTGCTGGATGCCCGAAAATGAGCTCGAACAGCATCCTAAAACAAATCTCTCAGTTCGGTAACTTTTACGGAATCTTAAGGGATTGTACCCGAAAACAAAAAGGTGAACAGGAGTACGGTGTTGGTTCGGGAGAACATGGAGAAATTTGTTTTCAAGTTCTACGCACTTTCCCGCTGGAACTACGTTTAAATGCGATATGAAAGTTTAACCAAAAAATTTTACAATTGTTTAATCCTCTAAGTTATCAGATAACAATCGTACCTGTGAATCCTACATTTACGTCAGCTTCTAACCGGAACACTTCAACCAATTCGCCATTTACGCGTTTTGGCTCGATTTAAAATCATTTCGATTTACGAATTTACAATTTTTATAAACAATTTACTGAAAAATGAAAGGCGCAAGGGGGGAAAAAAAGCTGGTCGCTGCGTCATTGTTTGCGGTATCAATATTCCGCGTTCATTTTTCCAACCCCATTCTTCTGGTAATATTTCTTTTCCGAACCATGTTTGAACTCGTAAATATACTCTTTTGAAGTGTTCAAAAGCGGCATCCGCAGTAGGTGGTAAAGACGGCAGTTTAACGCAGGTATTTTTGGCAGTTGCTTTCAAAAAAGAGTTACATCTCAATGCATTAAGATCTTTTATTTTTTTGGGGGGCTTGTATAAAGCTTTAAAAATTTTATCGATGTCTTTGCATTCATTTTTAAAAACTGTCGCAGCATTTTGCAAGTCCGTTCGTTTTTATAAAAAGATTTATTGACTGGCCCTGGATTCCGAGGTGTAAACCTTACGGCGCTTCACTAAATATATTAACCACTATTTAAAACGGCCGATTCCGAGAAATCGCTAGCAGTTTGTTATCAGAATGATTCCACTAACGCTATCTGTTGCAGTTTAACTCTGGTAAATCACACACATGTCGTTTCCTCGACTTATAAACTTCTCCGAATAGCAACGGTCGCGATATATCTATCAATCGCCGAATCGTTGCCACACCTCATCGGTTGGTAGCCTTGATGTCTCGTTGCGGTGTGTGAAAATGGGCGGCCGTGAAACCGAAACATTTGATTTGAACGCGTCAGGCTTTGCAAACTAAGAGGTACGTGATTTAGTACGTAAAACATATCGATTCGCGGGTCATTCAGATCTCTGTAATAAAAAAATCAAAATTAATAAGTACTGAACGTTCAGATTTTCACGAAATTATATATTTTGACATGACAATTGTTTCGACAACACCGTGATTTTCATCAAGTAAAAGCCTCCTCAATTCAGTCTCTGTAATACTCTCCCGCAGATACATTGTGTTTATTTTTATGACGCATGAATCGTCGATTCCAGGATTTTTATTTTACTGAGTATCCGAAACACGATCGGCTGGCTTATCTCTGTTTTGAGTTTACAAAAAGTGGGGGAGCGAACATTCAACACATCTGAAAAAGCATGTAACAAAATTACTTAGATTTATGTGATCAATACTTTCTCATATTTCGGCGAACATAGTCTGGCTTTATAGAAGCACTGGTCATGTCGGATTTGGAGTAGCTGCGATCGTTTTGTTTTGATTAGCTGTTTTGTGGTTGATCCCAATCCTATGTCGCCTCGCTCGCCATCACAACCCGCCCCTCCCTATTTCTTTTTTATTTTATGATCTCCGACATCAGAAGTGGGATCAGGACTTTTCGGTAACATTCGGACAGTGAAAGTCACTAAGAAGATAAAAAAAATGGGATGCAGTTCGTAGCAGTCTTTGCAGAAACAGTAAATTTACAGGAGTCACGAGGAATATTTTTTTAATTAAAATGTTTGCTTTTTTGTTGTTATGCTATGTTGCAAGGGTGATTAGGCAAACGATTGGCTCTATTTCACTCCAGTCAGCGTACTCCAGTAATAAGTCTTGTTTGTTTAATAAGCGATAATTAGTTTTTAATTTTTCGTTTTTTTTTTCCGAAAAATCTTCTCTCATCTCACTCCTGGCACAATTGATTGCTCCGGAAAAGCCCTTTGTAACGACTCCGATCCGTTAAGCCTTTTAGAAGTTATCATTATTTATTTTATATATTCGAATCCCCCACCTACCTTTCAATGACACAGTAACGAGTATTAATCAAAATTTCAATCTGAAAACAGCACTCACCCGAACTATGGTCATTTCGGATAATATTTACTTTATTTTCTTTCAATGGCTTGATACCACATCACATTATCCCCTCCACAAGTAGGGGAAAGTGGGAGAAATACGTACGCCTAAGGGAAAACTTAAATAAAACGATGGAATTTAATCACAGAGTTTCTTTATTTTTTTAAGTATTAAGTTTAATTATCTGTCTAATAAACATTTATATTTTTTTAATAAATTACAATATAATGAAAGAAAAACCAAACTCTTAATGTTCGGCTTTGCCCTACATTAGGCTAAATATGAACTACTATTATTAACGACAGAGATCACATTTAAAGTACAGTACAATTCTCGTGAGCCCATTTTCTGCACATGTAACGCATAATCCAGTCTCTCTATATCTTTATTACTACGTCTTTTTCATTCTCTCTTTCTTCTTTCGTATTTTGACTAGTCACGAAAGTCTTCAATATTGTTGAAATTCTTTAATACTCTTTTAATTACTTTGTTTGAATGTTTCAGTCTTTTTTTGGGTTCTTTTTTTGTCATGCTAGCTTTATTTCTACTATTATTGGGTTTTCATATTTTTGGAGAAATAATAGGCAATTCAGCGATCTGCATGCGCGCTTACATCATGTCTTCAACACAGTTATTTTGAACTGTTGCGGTGAATTGTCAGAACCTGTATCGGAAGCCCCGTTAACAAGACGTTTGACACCGTTTACTTGGGCTACTGCAGCTATTTCGGCATGAGTGTGAGCGTCAAGGACTTGTTGATTATCTATTGCTTGGTTATCTTAAGGTTGGGTATTCCGAATGTTATGTGTTGTATTTATTGTTTCTTGTGCGGTATATGGCTGAATTGAGTTTAACTCAACGAGGCGCAAAGGATACATTCCTGCAGCCCTAAATCCACTTGCAGCTTTTTCGAGGATACTGCAACGGTTAAAAGTGTTTGTAAACAATTCGACTATGTCGTATTGTGTAATGGGTCGTCCAAATCGCTCTGCCATGTGATTCTCACCTTCTTGTTTGTATGCAGTATTGATGTTGGCATCTGTGTGAGGTGTGTGGTCGCAGAGTTAGCATTATGATTCATCGATCTCTGCAGAGTGAGAATGCATCAACACTTATATGACTCTCATCGTTATCTAAAAAGCGCAAAACGGGATCTTCCTTTGAAGACTTTGCATATGGAAAAAGTGGTGCTGCCAATCTACAAATAGGCCCCAGAGTCAGATCATTTGCACTAAATGCACGAACGACTGTTGTTGTGGACTCCCTCTCAGCACTCGTTGCCCTACCAACTTGTTTCTGACCTTTAACCGCTACTATTTTCTGATTTCTTTGGACCGTCGATATGCCTGGATCATCGAAGATTTTATCGTTTTATATAATTCCTTGACAAGTACGTGCGTCCGCGTCTCTTATGTTGCTACTAGTGGTGATGTGATTTCCGGTGGCAGGTAAAAATGGCTATCGCTTTCTAACATACTCCGCACTACTCCACGTGCGCGTTGAGTGAAATAGTTTATTTATAGACTCCGCGAATCCCAATGGTAATGTCGGTCTTGGTGGAGGCGCCGAAAGACGGAAACTGTGTCTTGCACTCTATCGCCTTCGCTTACCTGTGGCCACGCAGAAACGACGACGCTTTGGACGATTACTCGCGCAAATTGTTCGGCCCGAACAATTTTTCCTCCGAAATACGCGCCGCCATTAGCACCTCCGCTATATCAACAGCCGAATGGCTCGAATGCGTTCAAAAATCGAGGGAACTCCTCGTCAAATACATGCTAATGCACGAAAGAATGTTCGCCGACAGCCAAACGTGTTCGGACGCGTTCATGCCGTGCAACGAACATTTTTTTCGCGCCTCCACGTTCGAAGAATATTTGCACACAATCCGACAACCTGGCGTGTGGCTTGGGAGCCTGGAGATACGCGCGTTCAGCTTGTTCCTCCAAACGCCGATCGTTGTGAAGGAAAACGATCGCGTCGTTGCCAAATATGGCGAATTATACGCTTTGAACGGCACCCCTGCTATTTGTTTAGTACTAACCGACGGTGGTACCCATTACAACTGCGAAGTTCACTGCAATAACGTCTCTTCGTGGAAGAGGAAAGACCTCGAGCCTTCCGACGAAGATATGTGCTTACGATCTTCATCTCTTTACGAAGAATTTAATGCGAAGAGGGCAAAGCTAGCCGTGCCCGAACCCATGGAGGTCGACGACGTCGTCGAGGAGTACAAGGCGTCAGGGGTGAAGAGGGCGTTGCACGGTACTATCTTTCAGTTGGAGCTGTTGATGTTGTATGCCTCGCGAGGCAAACGATGCTTCGACTTTCGACTGGCAACGGAAATGGATGCGGCTGAAAAATTCGACGACGTCGTATTTCAGTACAAAATCGAACCCGAGTCGCCTTGGAGGACGATATTCCTGCAGGCCAAGCACAAGCAGGATGTGGACAAGAACAAGATTACCTCGAGGGAGTTGACGACCTGGGCCGACGATAGCTTCAGTTTGCAAAAGTATTTCGTATCGTTTTGCAAAATCAAAAGTCAACCTCTATTCGAGGACTCAGAGCTCGAGCAGTTCGTCATATGCACGAACACCGACTTCGAGTTGAGGCCTGCGGAAAGAGACTTCACGCGTATGAGCGACTCCAAGGTCGTATCCGACGATCTGAAGAAGTTCCTCGGCCAGAAAATACAGCGCGAAGGGCTCGCCGTCGCCGGAACTCTATTGTCCTCCGTATTGGATGCTGAACAAACGATTAACAATCTGCTGGGGAAGAAAGTCGCTACGGTAAAACCTGCTGATCTGAAATCCCTTGCAAAGGAAATCTTAAAAATCGGCAGAGATGCGGAACTAGAGCACGAGCTGGCCGCGCTCGAGGCGAGGAAGAGTTCCAAGGCAGAACAAAAGACCACGTTTTTACATGTAGCGCTAAGGAGTTTAGAGGAAATCGTTAAGAAAATCGGGACCGCAGATTGGTTGAACTCTAAAGAAAAGAAGAAGCTTCAGTTGTGGCAGCTGCTAACGGAGCCCGAGGACCTGGAGGAGGATGACGTTTTGTTTTTCTACGGCGAAGATCACGTGAGCGTCAAATTTAAGCAGGATCGACAGGCAATCGACGCGTTGTCGGACATCATTAAGTCTGCACTGGAAGATGGTATCAGGGAGGCGGAGAAGAAGGAAGGCTACGTTCTGAGCCGTCTGAAGAACTCCAAGATCATTCCCGCTGTGCTTAGCGCGGCACTAAATGAGCGCATAACTCAAGAGTTCCATAGCGTGACAAACACTGTGTTGTCTTCCGTGTTGGATGCAGAAAAAACTATTAATAGGTTGAACGAGAAGGATGCTGCGGCGGTGCAGCCGGCCGAATTGAAATCTCTAGCGGAAGGCATCTTGAAAGTGCGTGCCGACGCAGAGCTAGACCGAGAGCTGGTTGGTCTTTCGAGTAGGAAGAGTTCGAAGCCATATCAGAAAGCTGAATTCTTGAAGATCGCGCGGGAAAGGTTGGCGGAAGCCGTCCAGAATGTGGACGATGGGAACTGGTTGAAGTCGAACGGCAACGACCTCGACAAAGAGGATAAAATTGGCCATTTGAAAATGGCGCTAGAAGCTTTACCCGAACACCTCGATGAATTTGTGGCGAAATTTCGTTTTGTCACTAAATATCCGGACGTGGATACGCTCAATTCTCTAATCCAAGATGAGGTGGGTGTAGATTTTAACTTGTTAAACGCGAGCCTGGTCACACGTTCGTTCGAAAAGACCATGCTCGATTGGCTGAAGCAAAAGTTGGGGACATTTATATCGAAAGAGAGATGCGATTATACTTTCAACGAGCTAAAGGGGAGACTCAACGGCTTTATGACCGCTGGTCTGAGCAAGGCGTACCCCGAGGAACTCAACCAGTTGGAGGTCGAGTTTTCCGACGACTCCATCTCGCAAATAGTGGAGTTTTTGCGGAACCCGACGACGAAGCAGATATTCCACTTAATTACCGACCAACCCGAACTGGGGGCACTTAAGGTGCTTCAGGCTCTCAAAAATGCCGACCGCATGCGACACGACGACGACTGTATCTTCATACGACTGAAGACTCTTGCGCTCTTCACTATCCAAAAGATCGCCATGGACGCGTTCTCCTCATCCACTAGTCATCACGTCATGGCGTTGGTTTGTCGGTTACCAGCATTCAACATCAACGACTCAAAGCTGCTACTAAGGAGCATTAACGGAGTTCTGGGAAAGAATAAGGCCAAGAAGCTGATACTCGTGTCCGCAGGAGACGATTCGTTTGCGTCCAAGTTCTCCGAGAAAATCAAAATTAAGGCCACAGACGAGACTAGTTTTGCCCAGCTGAATCCAGACTCGCGAGATCGCATTTTAGGTTCCACCGTGAACTTCCAAGGCAAGTTCGTGAAGCTCGGCGAGTTTCTGGACCCTGACTCGGCCAATAACGTTATGACCGAAGAAATTCTCTTGGCCTTGGCTGAGAAAGAATCCATCGCAATCGGTAACGCTCTTTACAGCGACTCGGATTTCGTGGAAGAGTTTTACCTACGCCGCAGATTACAGCCGCAGAGGATCAAGCTTTGCGCGCTTAACTCCACCGAGCGGTTTTTCATCACCAACATAGACTTGGAGCGGCTTGTACGATTGGGTGTGAGAATGTCTTACGTTTGGAACATTGACGGCGATAATAAACCCGATATTTACAATATTGCAGTAACAAAGTCTTTGAATGGAACGGAACTCTATCGGCGAATTTGTGAAACCTCGCCCTGGAATGTTCACTGGCTGGACTACGACGAAGGCGACTTTTATTGGGTCTCTTCGAAGAATAATTGGACGGATTTGCAGAGTTTTATTGACGATAGTATCGCAAAAGGGGACGGCAGCCGCCAAATCTTGCCCGAAAATGATCTGATACGATCGCCCGTTCATCAGCGAGTGGTTTTGATAGCGGATACGCCCGGAAAGGGAAAATCGACCTTCGTAACGAGGTTAGCATCGAGGATGAAGAACTGCTATCCCCTCAGGTGGATAGTCAGGTTGAATTTTAATGACTATGGGTCAGAAAACCACCCTCAAAGCCTTAACAATGTCACGAACGATGTCGAGGCCACGATGGATTACTTCATCTCCTTGGTGGTCTCCGATGGGGACGTGTTCTCGAAAAACGTCCTCCGCTTTGCTTTGACGTCGGGTAATGTCGAGGTGTTTGCGTATTTAGATGGACTCGACGAGGTCGCACCGTTGTACAAAAACAAAGCCATCACTTTGTTACAATGTTTAGTCGGCCTGAAAGTGGTTCAGCTGTATATTACTACCCGACCGCACGTAAAGGCCGACGTGGAGGAAGCTTTACGATGCCCCGCCTACGTGTTGAACTCGTGGGGAGATTTGGATAAAATCGAATTTCTCGGCAGGTTCTTTGCCTATCGTTTGAGTCACAGGGACAGCGATTTTCGGCGAGACCTCGAGACGCTGTTGGACATCGCCAAAGACGCGACCATGCCCAGCAACATAAAAAACTCGATGGATGTATTCAAGGATCGGGTTTCGGAATTGCTAAAACTTTCCGTACACCACCAGCCACCATCAAACTTGGTGAAAAACTTGGACTTTTCCCCACTGGCCGTACTAATTTTGACAAAATGGTACAGTTCCGTTCCCACAAACGAGAGGTCGGTGATGGATATTCCGCTTCACCTGAAGATGTACGCAGAAATATTATTCAAGGGGGCTAAGCTCAAGCAGAACATTAATCTGCTCAATCTCTACTCGGATTTCGTCGATTACAAATTGAACATATTTTATGCAGACCAACGCGTAATTGCCGATTCCGCTGGCGGCTCGGAGCAGAGGCTTTTGACGACGGTGGAACTAACCAAAGTGCACCAGGGCTTGGCGGCCAAGATGTTCTTCCCCACCTTTGACTCGCTTCCCGGCCTTGAAAGACTGGAGGACGGATTACGAACACTAAAATCACATCTCACTGGCTATCGACTCCCGAGGGTGGGCTTGGTTCAGACGAGACAGGCTGACGTGCCTCACTTTGTCCACAGAAGTTTCGGGGAGTACTTTTTGTGTCAGTGGTTGACCGAGTATTTAAATCATGCGTCCGTTCAGAAAATTCTGCTCAGGGTCGTTCTGATGGAACCAGAATTTAACCTGAGCTGTTATTTCTTCGACGACTATGTTGCGTTAAACTGGAACTCGCTAGCTACCCTTTCGCTGAAAGAGGGCTTGATTCGCGAAGTGATCGACCACGATGTGGAGACGTTTTATGACGATACCATTTTGCATGTGGCCGTTGCAAGAGAACATCTGAACGTGATCAGGTTTCTGTTAGACAAGTTTCAAGATCGCGGCGATCATTATTTACGAGGTTTGCTCGACTCCGTGAACAAGATGCAGTACACCCCACTGCAGACTGCAGCTTTTAGCAACAAAACAAAAAGCTTTGATCTGCTCCTCGACCACCATCCTTTGGAATTTCACAAGTCCCTTCGCGATTTCTCGACTATTGTTCGCTTCTATCCGAGAATCCAAATCGACGGTGACGTTGCCAGGCTTGACATCTTGCTGGCTGTTGTGCGTTTCGTGAAAGCTAGAATGCCGCTGGGACTCAAGAAGTTGCTATCGGCACCGCCTCCAAAAACGAGCGTGCTACACACCATGGTGTTATTGAAACGTGATCGAGACGTCGCAACGCTACTCCACGAGATTAATGACTCGGCAGACCTGGAGCCGTTGGTAATGGCGGTAGATAAATTTGGACTGACGGCATTCGCGCTCGCTCTAGCGACAAATGCATCAGAAGTGGTGCGAAGTATTTTAGAGGGTCTGAAAAATCATCCGGATGTGCTGAAACGAATGCTGCTTCGCCGCGATAACGGCGGCAACGTTTTGCACCTGACGGTGAAGAAGAACAACACGGACGCAGTAGCCGCCATGCTGAAGGGCTTGAAGGAAGTGCTCGATACCCGCGCGTTTCGTAATATCTTGTCTGACCTCTTGTTAGCCCGCAATCACTACGAGAAAACGGTCTTCTACTCCTCATTGGAAGGCAAGAGTTACGAATGCATTAGACTCCTCCTGGAACCCTTCACTCCTGATGATCTGGACTTTTATATGAATTTCGCGGTGATCTCGACGTACACTGTAAGCACATTGCGAGGGAATCCCGAGCATCACCGGATCGTGGACGTTTTGGTTGCAGTTTGCCGAAAGGTCTTCAAAGTTGACGAGGGGTTCGTGAACTCCATCAAATCGGTAAAGGTTGACGTCGAACGGCACATCGTTCAGTTGATTGATGGGATCAAGTCTGAAGATTACCAAAAGGTCATAAATGTGGTCTCGACCCTAAGCGATCAAACTCAGTTGAAAATAGCATTACTGTCAGCCAGAGAGGGTGACAAGAATATACTCAAACTCCTGTCGGAGCAAACTGATCGGCAGCTTTGGGCAGGGCTCTTGGAGACCATCAGTACATTCCCGAACGTATTTAGATCGCTCACGCTCGACGCTACCAAAGACGGGGACACAATCTTCCACGTCATGGCGTCTCAGCCGAACGTTGCGTTCTTTACGGTGTTTCTGTTGGATTTTAACCAAGACCTACTTGAAGAATGCTTGACCGCATGCAACGCGCGAAAGCAGACTTGTCTTCACGTGGCCGCCACGTCAGGCCAGCTACGGTTTATCGAAACGTTGATGGAGTGTGTTCAACGTCGGGATCTCATCCAACGACTTTTGCTCGCCACAGATGAAAACGCTTTGAGTCCGCTAGAACTGAGCGCAGTCGCGCTTCACGTAGATACCTTCGTTTACCTCCTGAAACTGACCATGCGTTTCGTGGCTCCCGACGAAGCTGTCAACCTGCTTTTAGCCAACACTAAATACACGGTGACGTTGCTCTACGTAGCGGTGAGGAGCAGTTGTCGTGACATAGTGAGCGCGTTGATCGGATTCATCCGCGAACACCTAGATAGGTGTTTCCCAGGAGTTCTGAAGCTCGCTCTGAGCCACCGCAACGAATTCGAGTACAGCGATAGGCCGTACAAAAAAGGTAACGTTCTGTTCGCCTCCGTCGAAGCCGCAGACCGCAGCGTGATTCCGGTATTGGTAGATGCGGCGGTAAAGGCTTTTGATCACCAAGCTTTCCGAACATTTGTCTGTGACACCAGGTATGGCGGATTTAACGTGGTGCATTACGCGTGTATGGATGGTTCCGTGGAAAACCTACAGCTCGTTTTGCATGAAGTCGCGAAACACCTCGACAAGGAGTCCGTTCTTAGTCTGCTAACGTCCATCGACAATCCGGACGACCAATGTTTGCCGTTGCATCGGGTGGCACAATCCGATAAGAGCGAGCTGGCATCGTTTTTACTCACTTTCGGTGATGAGCATCTTGGAGAAGACCTCGAACGGATGATGTTCGCCACCAACGTGGCGGGAGATACGCCCTTGCAGGTTGCTGCCTATGAAGACTCTCTAAAAACCTTCGAGATACTTTTGAACTTTGCGATCCGCGTTTTGGAGGCAAGGTCACCTGGTACTTTAAGGCGGTTGCTGACGAAAGTGAACTCTAACGATCGCTCGATGTTGTACTCGATCGTGGGTAATGCGAGGAAAAATATCCTGGACACCTTAATCAAAAGTCTGGGAGACTCTTTCAGCGACGTCATCGTCGAAATGCTGCTCGTCCAGGATAAACACGGGAGGAACGTATTATTCTCCAAGATGTATGACGATGACTCGACGGCGATGATAGAGACACTGCTCCGACAATTCGGCGATCCAATTTTGATGAATAGATTGTTGACCGTGGAGGACCGCTGTTCGATTAACCCGCTGGAGCACGCGTACTGGGAAGCTGATTGCGAGGAAGACTGCTACGTCAAGTTTTTAACGAAAACTATGTCGGATAACGGCATAGATGCGCGTGCTATGCTGCTCAGAGCGAAAGACATTGCCGCCAAGCGGGAGGAACTGCTGGAAGCAGTGAAATCGCACAACGTCGAATGCGTAAAAGAGATATTGAGGGAAAGCGGCGAGTTAAAGGGAAAATTTCTGCTCTACGACGACGCAAGGTTGATGAACGACGGCGTATTGAGCTCCAATAACGTGGAAACTGTAGAGGCGGTTTTGGAAGCGGTCAAGGGCGACCAGCGGCTAACGGTCGAGCTGCTCCTGCAAAGTTCCTGCCTACTATGGGCCTCGCTGAATTGTTCCCATGAGGTGGTGAAGGTTTTGGTGAAATACGCGAAAGCGGTGAGGGATCCTGTCTTTTTGAGCAGGTTCTTACTGGGGGCCGTGACGATCCGAATGTTGTGTTACAAGAATCGCGACAAGTACGGCAAAACTATCGCGCTTCTGCAGGAAGAGACGAATCGGGTGGCGGTCAAGTTGCTCAGCCAGAAGAGGACCAACGAAGATAGCCGCAAAGAGATGAGCCACCTGACAGATCGGGAATTGTACGTTCTGAAGACTTACGTTGAGTCAAATGAGTATACGGGGACCAGTCAGGAGGAAATTTTGGCGGCTATCAAGGCGGAAATACGCCGCCGCGATGCGTAGGTGTTTTTGTCACAAAAAAAATTTTTGTAGTTTTTTACAAATACACATTTTTATCGAGAGCAGCGTCAGGGTGTTTTGCCTTACTTTAGTCTGTAGTCAAAGTTAATTTGGAACCTGATCAAGGTGAAATTCGTCAGGCTCGAACGCTACAGACCCTAAAATGTTGTGAAGAATAAAAATGGTACCAGATAAAATTCAAACAAAATTGTCATTCATTTGTTTGTTCTCAATAATAATTTTTGACTTCGATTTTGCATATGCGTTTAAATGTTTCGCAATTTGATCGTTTTAAATTCCGATAAATTTACACAAACTTTGTTGTACTTACTTTAATTTAACAAATATGGCGACGGTGGAATGAGAGGGTGGCAACAAATTCCACGTTTCTAGTTTTGGTTAGTAAACTATGAAAAATTATTTCCATTTCCCTGGTTTTGGAATTTTTTTCGAAAATACAAAACGTTTTTTTTTAACTTGACAAAAATGATATACCGAAAACACAAGAATGCAGCAAGTATAATATTGAAGAAAAAAAATCGATTTTGACATTGACATTTACATTTAAGAATGCAACTTTATACTTGTCAAGTACATAAGTTCAATATGCTGAATCAACAAAAAATGGATGAAATAATAATGAAGTACAGAACTATTAATGTGACATTACAATAAATATATTGTAAACAAGTTGTTAAAAAAATGTGCCATTTTCTATTCCTGCTATTGTCTAGACGCTCAAGAATGCAGCTTTATACTTGTCAGGACCATAAGTTCAATATTTTGGATAAATAAAATATGGTGAAATATTATTGAAGGACAGAACTATGAATGTAACATTACAACAGATATGTAGATGACTTTTTTTTAAAAATACAAAATTTTCATTGATTAGAAATCTGTAAACAAATTTGAAAAAAATTCTACCCTCTTTGTTGGGTTCCTGCTACTGTCTAAAAGCTTAAGAAGGCAGCTTTATACTTGTCAGGACCATAAGTTGAAAATATAGTGAAATATTGAAGGACAGAACTATGAATGTAACATTACAACAGATATGTAGATGACTTTTTTTGAAAAATACAAAATTTTCATTGATTAGAAATCTGTAAACAAATTTGAAAAAAATTCTACCCTCTTTGTTGGGTTCCCGCTACTGTCTAAAAGCTCAAGAAGGCAGCTTTATACTTGTCAGGACCATAAGTTCAATATTTTGGATAATTAAAAAATGATGAAATATTAATGAAGGACGTAACTATGAATGTAAAATACAAGAACTCTGTAATCAAATTTGACAAATTGTTATCTTTTGTATTCTATTCCTGCTACTGTGCAGACGCGAGTGCAATATTTTGATTAAATAAAAATGTCGAACAACTGAAAAAAATCTATTGGCGCAACCTAAAATCGGGCCGTTTGCGGCCGCCCTGTACATTTCCGAGGTGAACGAATCGATCAGCGGAAATTTTCCGCATGGGATAATCAATAATTTGTTATTATCGCGCAGAGGCGCTACACAGTTATCTCGCGTTTTAGTTCGTTTTTTTATTGTTTGTTGTTGTTGCGGGCAGTGGCGCTTGCAAAACGCGTGTCGCAATGTTTTCGGGGCGCTTTTGGTTTTTTTTTTTATTTCCGCGGGAAAAATTCGATTATCGAAGTTTATTTTAAGAGCATCGCCATGAAAATATTGTTGCAAATTACGCAGACAGCGGCGCCCCCTTGCTGCAGTTAAGTATACGGTCTGCCCAAGATATAGATGTCTATCATAAGATGGGCAAATTATAAAAAAGTCTCAAAATTTAAGGTTTAATAACGTGCTGTTGAGAAAATAAAAAAATTGCCATCGCTTCAGCAGATGCGCCAAAAAAATCGATTTTGGACAAAAGTCTCTTTTTTGTTTTTGAGCTCTACAAGATCCTCATTTCTTAAAATCTCTTTAAATAACACAAATGATATCGACACCTTTCTGTTTTTTTGAAGTATCTTCGAAAATGATAGGAAATTTTCAGTTTAGTTTTTAATTTTGATGTCGATAACATAGACGTCCTTATTTTGAATACAGGTTGATTTATTAAGACACTGTGTGTTTATACAACGTTTAAAGGTTTTTTAATTTCTGTAATTTATGAATTCGTCACTTTTATTGCAACAAAAGATTGCTAAGTAAGGCACTAACACGCCAGCGTAATGTCAGTTAACGAATAATACACAATACATATAAGTTTCTTCGAAACCTTCCTAATTTTTCTTAGTTTGTTTTTAAGGCACAATTGGATATTAAACGTTACAGGTTATGAAAGAGATATCAAAGTTCACAAGCATGCTGGGCCCTTATTTATCTTTTCATCTTTCGTTACCATATATAGTTGCAGCGCAATCTAGCGGCGATACGAGCAACTTAAATCGATCCGTCAGAAGGACTATATACAATATTCCAGCATTTTCTATTTCCGATATGTTTTTTTAATGCAGGCGTTACCCAATATTTAATAACCATAATCTTAAAACAAATGTTAACAAGAGGAAAAAGGATTATTTTTACGTGGGACACCATTATTATAGATTTTACATCTTGAATTTTTAATAAAAATGTATTTCACTCCGATTTCAAATACTTCAAAAAATTATCAAGTCACAGCAACAGGTGTTGGTAGACCATTTTTTTAAGAAACTACTAATATTAATCGAGCAAACAATAGAAAATCAGACGAAATTCGTTTTTTTGTTCACCTCTTCGACGTAATTGAAAACGTTTTCAATTATTCACGTTGGAATTAAATTATCAACTAGGTTCCGGTCGGTTTTTAATTTTGTCACTTCGATAATATTTGATCGGCATTTGTTCACGGCGAACATATTAAGACAAAATGCAAGATAAGAACGCAGATAATTAACAACAATGAGCGAGGAACGGCGCGTCAGACTTTGATATCGCCACTTTTACGGAACATTGGAAAACAGCCCGCAATACTTTAGAATTGTGAACATTCCAAAAACTGATCTCTGCCGATTTGGAAATATTATATTATGCAAAGGCATTTGTTGCTACTCTCGTCTGTAAAATGCCTAATTACACACCGATCTAACGTGCGGGAAGCGTCACTTTATCACGTCAATTTCGTTTGCCACGGAATCGAGCGACATATTCATGTAGTTTTGGGAAAATGTACCCAAAAACTAAGTCAGAGTCAAATGCCGTTTACCGCACTTGTTGCATATTACCGAACATGTTGCATACTATACTTTCTCTACGACCGTTAGTTTTTAGGTACATTTTCTCAAAACAGCACGAATACATTCAGTGACATGACCGTTAGAATTGACAAAATTCAAGGCGTGGCAAATATCTCCGAAAACATCCGATTGCTCTCAAACCCGCGCGTTAAAATCCCGGAAATATCCGAAGTGGCTCGGAGGCGTGGGAAACAAAACTGACGCTTCCCGCACGCTAGATCGGTGTGTGATTAGGTATTTTAAAGATGGAAGTAGAAAAAGAAAATTAACATGTGGGCGCCTGTACATTGTTTTTTCGTATATTTCTAAACCTATCTAGCGTTATCCATAAAAGATGAAAAAAAGTGCAAATGTGTAAGTTTCATAATTTTGTTGGGTATCACTTTTTGTGAAATTAAAGATACCGTAAACAGAACAGAATTGACATGGCCCCCCCGGTTTTTGAGACCCAAAACCTTCGATTCTGGGACCACCCTCGTATCTCCGTTGCCTTTTAAGTTATTGAAGAGTTACAGAAAACGTTCTTGTAGGATTTTTCCATTGCATCCAGTGGCGTAGTTTGATTTTTACTTGCTCTAACCGTTAATTGTTTTTTACATTAATTGATTGATTACTAACATGTAAGAAACTAAATACTTTATGAACCATTAATAATTAATACGAAATAATATTATACCTAACAAATTTTAACTAATATTATACCTAACTTATGTTCAAATTGGAGACCATTTTTGTTTCAAAACTCGCACACCTTTCTTATTTTCTAAATAGCATGTAAAAGAATTATTGACCGCCTTCGTAGAGTCTTTGGTACCCCCACTGTTTGCTCTATGTGTGCAAAACGATGACAGGGTTGCTTCTATGTAACCTAATACATTTGTTTCTCCTTCCTCCCTGTTCTCCTTTGAATAACATTGAGGACTTGGTTGACTAGATTTGAAAACATTATTATTAAAAAAAAAATGTTTCCATTCTGTTTTTTTCGAAATTAGGTAAAGAGTCTCTTGTATAGCAATGACTGGTTAGATGTATATTTTTATTTGATTTAGTTGATGTACAAATAAAATGAAAACAACAATCAAAACAACTTTATACTAATATATATTTCTGAAAAGCTTAAATTCAAGCAAGTAGAAAACAAACCACGCCACTGAACGTTGAACTTTTTTTAACGGAGATACGGGGGTGGTGCCAAAATCTCTATCTCGAAACCCACTGCGACTATCTATCTTACTAATAATAATTATCCCTATAAAATAATTGAAGTTTCTGGCTCGGTTTTTAAATTTGTAACTGTTCAAACATTACGTGATCAAAATAAAATTTATCGATTACACTTTGAAAATACGAAGAAGATTAGTCTATCATCATTTTACTGACTAATGCTTATTGCAATTGCCTTTGTTATATATAAAGAATATTCAAAATCAGAAGGAACAGAGAGGAATATAAACTAAGACACTATCAAAAACCCTAGAGTCTACTAAAACTCGCATTTGCTCTCTTTTTTTGTAGAAATGGCGTAAAAATATATGGGAGAACCATATTCAAAATAACAAAGTACTTCCAAACAATGCACAGAGGACAATTAAACCAAACTAGGCTGACAAAGGCAACTTAAGTAAGTAAGGTGTGATATCAGAATTTTGCATATTCTTTGATACCTCATACCTAAATAATATTTGATTTAAAAAAAATAGAGCTCAATGCAGGAAAATATCTTTAGTAAAAGTGCATCACCTTTTTTTGCATTTTTTCTCATGTACTTTAATGTAACCACACAATTTTCGTGCAATTGAAAGATTCTGCTGTCAAAAAACTCAATCTGTCAAAAATGACAGGGAGTAATCACAGAAGGTTCTGGTAATTTTCTTCTAAATAGAACTGGAAAGTATTTCTAGTATAACTAACGGCAAGTATCGAATCGAGTAATCGAATATTGATTTTTAATGAGAATGTGCGAAACCCTACACCTATGCACACCTTTTTATTCCTATTATTTCCTAGGAAAAGAATAGAAGCTACTTTATTGCACATTCAGAGAAAAGAAAAGAAGTGAAGGGGCAACGAAATTTGGGATAACACATTTTATATGTTTTTAGTACTAGTTAAAAATAAATTACTGATTTTGTTCTATTATCCTAGTCAACCTAGTTGTACTATCCAGCCCGATGGCGTCGCACATCGGGCTGGAAATATTTTTTTTTTCTACGGCACACGATTAACTAACACTTGTATCGATAATATCAATTCGAATCTCGGGGTTCAGATAAGGAAACGATAGAAGTCTTATCTCGTCGCGGGGTATCAAGGTTCACGCTGCAAACCGGCAACGGAAACGATCACTCTCTGTCTCTCTCAAATCCCGACGACGATAGTCAGCGTGAGCGTCAAAAAGATAAACGTTTGACCGGATTTGACGAAACCGCTCGCTGAGGCCGCCGTGTAGTTGCTGTGGTCCGCTATCCACGTTACGTATTTGGCAACGTTGCAGTAAACTCCGGGATATTCTCTCGCGCATCCCATACCGAAACTGACGGTACCTATAAGACGTCCATTTAACACCAGAGGGCCGCCCGAGTCGCCCTGACAGGCGTCTGCGCCGCCTTCGCGGTACCCCGCGCACACCATCTTCTCCGTCACCAACGCCAGCGACTTGTATTTGGACCTGCAGTAGACGCGCGAGGTGATCGGCACCTCAGCTCGCATTAGCTGCGCAGCTAGGGACCCATTTTCCTGCAAGAGTTGTAAAAATTCCTCAGATTGTTTTTGCTACATTTGTGGGGAATACATACTAAAAACACGACATGTCGTGACCGATCTGGTTAAACAGCTTATAAGCTATATTTTGGATTTTCTATCGATAAGCGAGATAAAAATTGGTTGATAAAAGTATGCTGCAATAGCTGCTCAAGAACGTTGAGAGGTTGGCTTGAAGAAAGTCACAAATCCATGCTGGAGCTGTATCAGATGAGCATGGTGAAAGGTTTAATCAGGATATAATGCAAATTGAAAAACGCTACAATGGAAAATGGTCAGCAGCAATGCTTGCTGATTTCTGTTGGTCAATTCACCGAGAAACTCCAATGGAATCTATGAAGAGGAAGAAAACTACTAAATAATTTGAATTCTATCACTCCATAATGAAATAACTGACGATATTTATTAGGAAGGATTTTTTATTGTAAAACTCAAGCCGCCACATTTTTTTATTTCCTTATAATAATTTATACTTTTGATGAAATAAATATTAAATATTAAATGAAAAACCTACGTGTGGTGCTTATTTGTCTATCAGACAGACCAGTGTATTTAGCGCTCTATTTCTTGTTATTTTATTATGATATGATTTTTAAATGAATCGATATTTATCAAACTAAATGTGATTTGGTACCATGGAAGATAACCGAGTTGGCTCAGAAGCGTCAATACAGCGTTGTAACCTGCCTCTGCGCAGTTTGGTTCTATTGGTCGTCGTGCTATGTTCGCGGTCTTTATCTTCGTTGTTTGGTAATTGTGTGTTTGTGTATTTGTGTGTTCTGAAACGTATGAATGCGGAAGGAAGCCATTATGATAGACATTAGACTCAAATATTATGACCCTCTAAAACAAACCTTCCACAGGCTAGTGTAATACTTTTTACAAAACTTCTGGATTCCTCCTGAGTCGGTTTTTCTTCAGTCGAACTTGCTAACGTTTCGCCAATCATCCTGTTGGCTTAGTCAGAGCTTGACTGAAACTACGTATGTATTGTTTGATGAGGGTGGAACTAAATGCGGGTCATAAATATCCTCTCGGATCACTGATTCCCATCTTGCCATCTTGGTGACAGGTAAAGACTTTAGTAGCGGTTAAGGTTGTTAGGTTGCTTATAGATTTCCATAGACTCTCGGATTTTTCGTTCTTAGAAGAACTGATTACGTGCAAGAATTTTAGTTTTATCGAGTCGAGTCTTAGTCTTTGACTCTTCCATGTCCTTTGAGCCTAGGTCCAATCCCACACTTGCCACTGTTGTCCTTCCTTGCATTCAAAACATCACTGACCACATATCAAAAGGTCTAAAGAACAATCTCTAGACGACGTCGATCCGTCAAAGACAAGTGCAATCGATTCTTCTGCAAGTTTGACTCCACAAAAACCGACGCAGGAGGAATCCAGAGGTTTTTTAATAAGTTGGCCCCAAAAAACTTTCACTGCCCCCTCCTCATGTCAAACTTGGCTTCATGAAGCAGTTTGTTAAAGAACTAGAGAAAAATGGACAGTGTTTCAAATATTTTCGCGAGAAATTTGCAGTCATATCTGATGCCAAGACAAAATAGGCCGCAGATAAGAACATTATGAAAAGACAAGGATTTTCAAAACACTATGACCAATATCGAAAAAAACATTTAAAGAAGTAATTGATAAGTTTCTTGGGAATTCTAATCACGAAAGCCACGAAAGTGTTGTGCCAAGGCAGAGGGAGAGCATAACCATGATGGCAGACTACTGCTGGATGTTAAAACGTGATAGGCCCTTAAAAACGCAGAGCCGAACGCAGTTTTCTGGAAAAAACACTAAGATTTCACTTAAAAAATCACACAAAATTGCACATTTTTACTAAATAAAAAAATAAATAATTTCAAAAATATATGTTTTCTTAAATATTAGCTAAAAACCTTAGGTGATACAAATAAATGCGTAGAATTGTTGAAATCAACCTACCAAAATTATGTAAAATCAAAAAGTTTAATTTTGTAGACCTGTGCAATTAATTTTCTCTTTTTTTAATTTTGAAAAAGAAAATTCCGCAAGAATGCAAAGGTAGATTTTTCTTTTCCGTGGAGAGTGACGTTTAACCCCCTACATATTCTAGAACGGTACGTGGTCTATTTCATCGGCAATTTGCCATTTCAAGAAAGAGAAAATGGCTAGTTCCGGCAGCGTTTTTTTTAAATCAAATTTTTGATACTAAAAGAACTTCAATTTACCAGCCCTTCAGCTCGACCGTCCTATTCCTTTGAGGAAATATTATTCGGGAAATGTCGACAAACTCATGATTTAAGAAAACCAATAGTTCGCCAGGCTTTCAGGTGCACCACTGTGCAAATGTGAAAAAAAGATGCCAACAATACCGTCTAATAGAATTTTCTGATGCTTGTTCTCTACTTTTACAGCCAATATTTATGTTTTTGTATATTGTAGGTCGTGAGTATTTTTGTTATTTTTTAAACAAAAAACAGTGTTTAGAAAAAAAAAATTTTAAAACCTTTTTCTTTAGGGTAAAAGTAGGATAGACGCCCTTGGAGGATAGACGCCGCACCTTAAAAAAAGAGAATTTAAAACCAAGTTCACGCTCTAGCACCAAGTTCCTCGGACAAACCTCGCCCCTCACAGCACAATCTGCGCACGCGTTTCGACAGGACTGCACGTGTCGCCGCTTGAGTTAAAAAAACGTTGCAAAATTTTACCGCGCTTGCATGATTCTTGTGACAGTGACATTTTGACGTGTTCAGAACTTTCGTTTTCGAAGGTAAGTGTGTATTGTTATTTAAATAGTATGTATCATTTATATTTATGGTGTGTTTATAAAATTACGAAATTATTTAAGTATTTTTATTTATTTGCTGGAGCGTCTATCCCTACTAAAAAGGATAGAGGCCCCAGTATTGACCCCTCTATGACTTATTCACAGGTACTTAGGCTATAGGTAAGATTTTTTTAAATAACCTATCTAGTTAATATGCAACTTAGTAGGAAAATTGACTTTTCAGTTTATTTATGAGCTGTTTATATCTTTACATGTCGTACTTCATTGTACTTGTAAAAAATAATGCAGCGTATCACCTAATTTCATTTTTTATTTTAGACAAAATGCCGCGAAAATATAAAATGAAAATAGGGGCGCCCGTTCGTGCTGCTTGGTCCGAAGAAGACCTTTGCAAAGCTTTTGGGAAAACTCCAAGTAAATATCTTAACGAATGTTCACCTATCCCGAAAATTCCTGTTCCATTATACAAAAGATGCAAGCAAGGTGCTGCCGTTTTAAATTCAGAAGAACATATTAACTCTAAGAAAGCTAAGTTGGAAGATAAAGCTAAGAAGCAAACACCAGACAAACCTAGAAAAAACAACCAAAAATCAGTTCATAAAAAGAAAATACCGAGGTTTAGCTCTGAAAGTGAACAAAAGTTCGATGAATCAGATAATGTTTCGATGACTATGCAAGTACCAAGTCCACGGCGGACTGGATTCAGTGCCTGATGTGTAAACTCTGGTTACACGAAGATTGCACTCCATATGGCGATTACTGTAATAGATGTGGACACAAGAAGAAGCTTGTATCTCTAAAAGCTAACCTGGCCAATCTGCTATGGTAATATTTTAAAATTAAAATAATCAAAATATAAAAAAGAAAACGAATAATAAATAAGGTTTCTAATTGCTAGAGAATTGGACCCCAAAAATCCGAAAAAATCGGATGTTTCAGATAAAACAAAATCAAGGTTTTCATGTTTGAACTTTTCTCAAAAATTCGCATCTGCATTAAGTTTCTCATAGTTACCTACTATCTTTAATTTCTTTGCTCATTATTTTATTAAATAATATGTTATTTACTTAGGATAACTTAATTTTTCATGTCACAGCTACAAAAACATTTTTTTAAGGAAACAGTATATATCTGTTACTATACCTTTTCGTGACCCCATCCACTGACCCAAGCCATGCTATTGGGTGTGTAGTCGTCATTTGCCGATACGTTTATGGGACGGATGGTGTCCGATACAGGCAACGGTACCGCTAGCTGTTAAAAGTAGACTTGTTGATGTAGGTTCCCAAAATTACAAAAAAAAAGTATAAAAAGATGGTTCAGAACAACCCGAAGGAGTTTTGATTGTTTTTTTTTTCGAAATAATTGTTTGGACGCGATATACGCTGAGACGAATAAGGTCGTTCTCAAATCAACAATGCGTAGACTTACGGGTGCTTGAGATAGGTCAATAACGCCAGAGTCGTCCCGAAAGGGTTTCTTAACCATACCTTACGTTAAGTTGCGTTTCACTTCCAGTTCCAATGCGTGCTTTGTTATTTTTTATTTCTAACTTTTTGACGGTTTTCTCCCTTTGATGGCTTATGGTAGAAGTAAAAAAAATTGAAACTAAAAGTTTGAAGATTTTAAGATTCTTATTGCGGGGTTAAAATATATTAGGAACATTAGGAAAACTTCTGATAACGTCATTTGAACCACCCAAATCTTACTACGCCACTGACTACTAAGGCCGTCCGTTATAGAACTTCCTTAAAACTGTTTTGTCAAAAAAAATATCATTTAACCCGATCAGATCTAAATAAGACCGCTGAATTTGAATTAGCCGCTAAATGTTAAGACGGCTTGGTATAGAATTTAGTACGTAGTGCGCTTGGGCCAAAATTGTTGAGGTGTTACCTCAACCAGTGCGATATCATCCTCCAGGCCGCTCTGGGAGTAACCTTCGTGGATGGTTATCTTTTTTGCCGCTACGTAAACTCCGCCATTATTTATCGTGTTGCTACCGGCTCGGACGTTGTAAAACATCGCGTAGGGGCTGAAAAATGGCGACGGATAAAGACGATAAGTCGAGAAGACAATTTTTCGACGCTCACTTGGAGTAAAAGCAATGGGCCGCAGACACCACCAGGGAGGGGAGGATCAGGGCGCCCCCGCACACGTGGTTTTTGCCTACTTGTATGGACACCTGATATGGAGCCGAGCGTATATCTATCGCTTTCCCGCCTACGATCCTTGTATCCAATTTCAAGCTCTTCGCTAAAAACAATTGTAATATATATATATATATATATATATATATATATATATATATATATATATATATATATATATATATATATATATATATATATATATATATATATATATATATATATATATATATATATATATATATATATATATATATATATTATAAATAAAACTACGTCAATTTAAGTTTAAGAACGTCGCGATCGTCCGTAGATAGAATCGAGATTATTCAGTTTTTGAGGACATAAAGCAAGCATGAGGCCGATGTTGATGTTGATGTTGACGGTGGGAAGAAAGTTAGTGTGTCCAGAAACTTCCGTCAGCATAATCTGCGGAAATTGGTGTACTGGAGGACCTCCTGGCGCTGTTTATGGGAACGGCCCTTTCGGATGTTTCGGCAAGAACCTTTTGAAATCCTTTTTTTTTACTCCACCTAATAGCTACCAAGGAACCAGATGACTTGGCTAGATATTTTTCACTACAGGTCATAAAAGCAGCCCTAGAAAATAATATTTATATGTGCCCTTTTCCAGCCAACGCAGCACAGTCTGTGCTGCCCCTAGATTGGCACCCTTCGAGAATAAGTGTCGTGAAATATTGGAAAAATGGCTAAATGAGAACAGATATTTTGGGAATTTGCCCAAACAACTCTTCCCAGTCTTAATTTCACTTCTATGGAACAGTTTCAGGGACTGTAGAGACAAATTTAAAATTAGGACTTAAAAAACAAAGGACTGTACCCAATGAATGTCGAAGAAAGTTTGCCTGAATACTTGGAAGAGACTGAACGAGTTTTTAATTCATCATTGGTAGAGTATTTCTAAAAATGAGGGGAACAAGCGAAGAACAGAAAAAAGGAAAAGGGGGAAAAAAGTTTGAAGCTGGAAAAGAGATGACTATAGGAGATCAACCGAGTCCCAGTGAGTCCTCCATTTAGTTTTAGTTTAGTTTAGTTTTAAGTTTTATTTCAGTTAAAAGTGTTTCTAAGTTTTGGGTATGTTTAATCTTTAGTTCTTGTACATACCAAAGAATTTTTCTGTTACTGCTTTGCCTTATTTTTATAAGAATGTAAAACTTACGTTGGAATATTTTCTTGAGTTTTTTGTTGCCCTAAATAAAAGTTATTCAGCAACTAAACCTATTTTTCTCTATAAAAAAAAATGAAGTGAATGGTTTTTAATTCTGCGTCCATTACTTTTCTGATGCTGGGACGCTTTACAGTGCGTTAACCCATATTTTGACACAAATGTTAATGTTAACTTTCAATTACCAATTTTTAGATTTTATTTTTTTTCTATTGTTTTTAGTGCAATCGATTCAGAAGGCTGGATTTATTACAACCTAATTTATTTCATCACTTTAAGTTGATAAATAGCGACGTTATATAGAAAAATGTCCTAAAACTGTGTCAAGCGAGCCCAAATGTATCAAACACCTATATACCAAATTTACACCTCAATATAACTTTTTACTAAATAATTTCTATATTTTATTTTGTTACTTGTATTCCAGAAAATTCGTGACCCACACTTTCTGTTATCAAAATAACAATTACAAGAGGAATGACTACGTATTTTAGTATCATATCTAAAATTAGACAAGAAACATAACTATTTGCTTAAGCAATCTTATAACGAGACTTTTAGCGATGCCAATTTTTTTGGTCGTATCGATGACTTCTGCTATTCTTCAAAGTCAAAAACAATTATTCAGATCACTATTTCTATTTTTTGGAACCCGAATAGAAAGCACAAAATATATGGATCTCTGTCCGCACACTGCATGGATTAACGCGAAGCAGTTCTATTCTAAACTCGGCCTTACCGTACGCGCTGTCATGGTACAGTCCATAAATCACAGCCAGTAACAAAAACGACATGTTTGGACCGCAAACCCGACGACGACTGATCTCGTGGGTTTGCACTATCAGATAAACTTTCGTACGCAATGGGTAAATACAAGTTTTGTTTGCTTACCTTAACACCGCTAAAATGCTTGGCCTACAGCTGCCAAAATAATATATATATATATATATATATATATATATATATATATATATATATATATATATATATATATATATATATATATATATGATGACACTATATTCCGGGATATCATCCCTCGTTGAACTCCGACTGGAATCCTGCATCCGACTGGAATCCTGCAAATCTTGTATCCGACTGGAATCCTGCAGACGAGTGTTCGAAGTGTTTTCGGAGCGCGAGCATTGAAGATGCCAAGTGAGATTTTGGCGAAACGTCTGCAGGATTCCAGTCGGATACAAGATTTGCAGGATTCCAGTCGGATGCAGGATTCCAGTCGGAGTTCAACGAGCGAACGGATGATATCCCGGAATATAGTGTCATCATATATATATATATATATATATATATATATATATATATATATATATATATATATATATATATATATATATATATATATATATATATATATATATATATATATATATATATATATATATATATATATATATATATATATATATATGTGGTAACCCGGGTGTTAATCCGTTCGTTGTTTCCCTTGAGTAGGATCATTCGCCTGACGTTTCGCCAAAATATCACTTGCCATCTTCAGAGGCCGCGCGTCCACGTCACTCGTACATGTCCGCACTTAAACTTAAAGTTTAAAAGGAGGTAATGTTATGTTAAAGAAAATATTATGTATGATATATATAGGATCCAATTGAAAATTGTAAACTTTAACTAATATCAATTCGAGCAATTGACGTAATATAATAATAGTGATTAGCAACATTAATTAATAGTAAATAATTGATTCCAAACTAATGTTTTTAATGTTTATTCAGATGGGGAATGTGCTGAACTGACAAGTATTTTCTGGAAATCCACTGGAATTCCACGGAATAACAAATATTCGTGTTAGTACCGCTCCATAACTTTTTTTTTTGAAGATTATTGTAAGCAAAAAAGTTCTACAAGCAAACGCACTGTGTTCGAAATATCTGCATTGTTAAATTGGTATTTTAAGTAAATTAGGGATAAGTAAGCTGTGGGATAGAATTGGACGCATTCGCATTGACGTTAGCGTTGACATTCGTTAATCTATATAGGGTGTTTTCTGATTGAATAACAATAACTGCGAAGGCGATTTTTGGGACCAAAAATAAAAAAAGAAAACTATGAACAAATATCCTAAACCTCTCAACTTTTGAGACACAGGTTTTCAAAAATAAAATGTGTTTTTTTAATATCTGTAATTCCACTTTAGATATTTTAATGAATGAATTAATTATCAAGAGGCATTGTTTAGTGTAGTTTTTTCACTGATTTCTCTTAAAATAAAAATTGTTCTTGCAATCTCAAATTATTTCAAAAAAAAATTAATTTCATGATTTTTTTCAAAATAAATACAATACCTCTTCTCTTTATGGTTGTAACAATGTTGATAATATAACAGCATGCGGATAATTGTTATCGTTATTTTTTTCTTGCTTAAGTAATTGTCTATCTGTTTTAATAAAATACTTGAAAAAGCATAAAAAGTCTGAGGTGTATTTTTAAAATTTTTAAAGTGCGAGGCAATATAAGGAAAAGAGCGGAAGCGTGAAGGTGGAGGACAGATCATATTTTGTTGTTGGGGTCTTATATATGTTATTTCATTAAAACTGTAAAAAAATGTTTTCCTGACGGACACTAGCTGGTAACTAAAAACTAAATATATTGTTTTTTAGATAGATATTTTATTTTTCACAAATAATAATTTGCTAATTAAGCAAATTATTATTTGTTTATAGGCAGTTAGTGGCACGCCACTGATTTTCTTAAAAAAATGTAATGACGTTTGCATTCATTTATGAGCAGATTTGGTCTCTTAATTTTTTTTTTGTCCATCGTACGTGAAAAAATATAATTTTTGACTTTTTCAATTCCACGTAATTCCACCTGAATCCCTTCATAGGGTACACGTGTACTCTTACTAGGCTCGAGATTGAGCATTTGCTTCCATAGTGAAAGAAGTAGGGAATTTGGGTCAAAATTATTCTTCAGCTATTCAGGAAATTCCGAAACGAGGACACCGGGCGCATGAAGACAACACACACACGAGGAAGTCGACATCCGAGGCAAAAAGCTGTTTGTTTGGAGTCTCCTGTTCTTTTAATCGTTGTGCTAAATTTACTAGACCTGAGCATTGATACACCAGGCGCTTTAGAGTTCCCTCCATGAGGAGAACAGAGCATTTTCTCATCAATTCTTATCAATCTTCTATTTAAAAGTATAACGTGGTTTCCGCCTAATCTGCGCTTCCATCTCTGTTGTAACATTTCCTCGTGTTGCACCACCGGTGATCCAACGTTCTTCTCTCGGTTGCTCCTCTTTGTGCTCCATCGACGAGTCAGATACTGCGTAGTGCGTGATTCTTATCCAACTCGACGCGACAGCGACCATTGCACGGACGCCTTTCCTTATCGCGACCCCTCCGATAGTGGTTCATTTAAATATTGACCTCACGGACGTCGCTATTGTCAGTCTGAGACGGTCGCCAAAGATGATCGGCAAACTGGCGTTTGCATTTGCATTCGTTCTTTTTGCTTCGGTTTTGCGCCACGCCTCCTCCAGGTCGGTCCACGGAGAAGACGCCCAAGGCCTGGACACCCTCGAGCTCGTCCACGTGGTAAGTACCCGGTTCCCAAGGCGCGGTTGTTTGTGTGAATGACTTTTTATGGGTTTCGACTACGGTTAACATTTCCCTGGTCAGTGGTTTCAAATTTTTTTTAAAAACCACAATTTTTGTGTTACCAAAGATGTTCTTTTATAAAGATTGTAACAAAATAGTCCTTTTGAGGAGCTCCAATTGGTTTTAACTGTTACGATACTAAACATAATTGGATATATGCCGCACATTATAAACTGACTGACTGATTGATGGAATAATCTTAAAGATCTGAATGATCTTTGTGTAATCACTCTCATTCTTCAGCAATATAAAAAAAATGTGATGTTTGCTTGCTGGGATGTACGAATACATCTTTTGCAAGTGACGAAAATATGGTCAGCGTAATACTACTGTTGGATTGTTAGGCTTTCGATAAGTAAACTAAAATTTTACAGTTTCTCGCCAGCGTTGTGTTGTTTAATTAGATTATAATCAATTTGTATCTGTTTTTTCGTCTGAATCTACAGAGCACAAGGCCAATAATTGAGGCTATGGAAGCTTGCTCATATTATACATTTTTATATGGATATTACGTGGTTCAAAGTGGATGAACTTAGAGAGCTATATTTTAATTGGTAAAATTCGGGGACGCTCAAAACCATTAACTTGCGCAAACTTTTTTTAGCACTGCTATTTTATTTAAAATTAATTAACTCTTAATAATTGGTTATCAAAATTCTACAGTTAAATTTCCAAACATAAATTTGAAATCAGAAAAGCTCTATTAAAGAGTTGAAAGAGGTCGTTCAATTTTCAAAAACTGCCAACTTGTCACAAATACTATAAAAAAACTATAAAAAACACGAAAATGTTATCTTTGCACTGTTTTTCCCTCGGTCTGGCAGACGCTCTCATTACAGACTAGAGTTTATTAATGGAAATGTTATTAAGTATTTTTTAATTACGCCGAACCTATCTTAATGCCTTCTAACCAACAAGTAATTCGTAATTATCCCAAATCTAAAAAGATTGCTTATCTGCTTGTCCAAATAAATACATCAAATTCGTAGCCAAAAACAAATTCGTCCTAATTTATGGCGTTGTTTATTTCTGTTGCGATAAATTCGGCATTCGACGTCACATGACACGCGCTTCTAGGTCTTTAGGCATGGCGACCGAACCCCCGACAAACACGTCATCTACAAAAACGACCCCTACATCAACGTCACTTACTATCCAATCGGACACGGACAATTAACTAACGTAAGTACGCTCCCTCCATAATCGAAACTTCACCCATAACCCACTCTCGCCTCAGGCCGGGAAAAGGAAAGAGTACAATATAGGCAAGGAGCTGAGGAAGAGGTACTACGACTTTCTGGGGAAGGACTTCACCCTCGACACTGTCGATGCGCGATGCACCGACTACAACAGGACCAAAATGTCCTTGCAGCTTGTACTGGCGTCGCTGTTTCCTCCGCGTGGAGACCTCGTGTGGGAGAACAGCATCAACTGGCAACCGGTGCCTTTCAATTACTGGCCCGTCCACGAAGACCACGTGCTTGCCGACCCGCTTAAGAACTGTCCGAAGTACAACCGACTCTTCTGGGGATTCCTCAACTCGACGGAAGGTAAACGGTTGTACGAGAATTACACTCAATTAATAGAAGACTTGGAGACGCATACGGGACAAAAACTGAACAGCAAGGCTTTTGCTGAACTGTACTTTACGTTGACGACCGAGGTACTGCTTCGAGGTATTTGGTTCTCCTGGTGCAGTTATATTCGTTTCCCTTCCCGTAGAAAGAGAACGGGTACGATCATCCGCAATGGGCCAAAGACGTCTACCACCACATCCTACAGTTGGCTATCAAGGACTACAATGTCAGTACGTTCAATGCGGAGCTGAAGAAATATTGCACGGGTAAGCGACAGTCAAACGGTATTGCCCACGAATAACTTCCCTTATTCTAAGGGTTTTTGGTTAAGAAGATCATAGACGACTCGCTGACCAAAGCCAAAGGGGAGTACTTCAAGGACACGAAAATATTCCTCTACTCCGCTCACGAGTTCAACGTCGCAGTGCTGCTACGATTTTTGGGCGTGTTCTATCCCCACGTACCGCCCTACGGCAGCTACGTGGTGATCGAGGTGCACAACGTGAACGGGATCAGAGGACTCAAGGTGAGCGGTACTGAAACCGAAGCCTACGACCGTAACCTTACGTTTCCTTGTTCCCAGTTCTTCTACCAGGACTACACTTCAGATAAGCCGCGGCGGCTCAAGATACCGGGCTGCGGGAACTTCTGCAAGCTACGCAAGTTCATCCAGCTCCACGACCACATGCTGCCCCGCTCAGAAAACGAGTGTTTCGATTAAAGTGCCTATCAAAGTATTACGCAAGCTATTTATTTCCCCGTTTTGTACCGACATGATTTTTTTAGATTCGATCAATTAAAATGATTTCGAATCGGGAGTTCTTTTGTTAACCCTGTCCCCGCCCTTCCTGCCGCCACCAACGACGATACAAGAGTGATACACGTGATGGACATTATTTAATACTAATATGAGAATATGAGTACACGAGATGGCGACTCTTATACTCCTGTGACGTTTCTGATCCAGTCGCGCGCGGCCGGTACGCTCGCGTATACCCCAGGATATCCGGCCAGGGCACAGCCCTCTCCCCAAGATACGACCCCGACGAGTTCGTTGTTTACGAGCAGTGGCCCACCCGAATCTCCTTGGCACGCGTCTTTGCCTCCATCCACGAACCCTGCGCATATCATGCTCGTGGTCATCCAGTTCCCTGTGGAAAAAATCACACGGTTTCGAGTCCGTCGAGCAGTTCGGCGGCAGAGTGCTTACCGTAAACACTCCTGCACGTCTCGAAGCTTACTATTGGAACGAACACTTCTTGGAGTTGCTGCGGGGGGTGGCTTATACCCATGGTCATAGTACCCCAGCCAGTAACAACTGCGGTTGTGCCCGGTAGTATCTCTTGGTCTTGTTGTGGCAGCGCGATCGGTTTGATGGTGACCCCATCGCCGACGTTTCGATCCATCTCGAGAAGGGTGATGTCGAAGTGCAAAAAGAAGGTCCCGTATAGAGGATGGTCTACTATCCTGAGCACCGGGACTATTTGACCTCCGGCGTTATAGAAGTGAGTGCCCAGACGAATTGAGTATTTGAATACCGAAGGTTCAACGCGGAAGCTGCAACAAAGTTTGTTATTGCAACTCTATGGGAAAATTGCTTTTGTAATTCCTAACCGTTGAGTGCAGTGAGCTGCACTCAGAACCCATTTGGAGGAAATCAAGGAACCACCGCAAGAGTGGCCGTTAAAATACAAAACGGACACCTGATGAGGGTGATCGGTGATGTTGGTGTCGTGACCACCGATTATTCTGAGGTCAGAATGTGTACCGACGACATCTAAAATAACAAATCGCGACTAAGCAACTACCATGAAGTTAACGAACTGTTACCTGTTGCCAGGAAGACGGCCCATGCCAAAACAGTTAGCGCCAGCATCGTTGCTTGTAGTCACTGATCGGTAGTTCTTGCCTGCACTCCCAATTCGCCAATATCGGCAATATCTTAATCTGAATTATCGTAAACGGATCTATTGCATCAACTTTGTCGAATGGAGTCATAAATTATTATTTACAAAGAGAAGGGTTTCGATTAAAATGCCTATCAACTAATTAAACAAAATATTTATTGGGCCATTTGATGACGATTGTTTTAGTTTGGAACAATTAAAACAAATTTTTTTAGAACGCTCTTTTCTTAAAACCAACCATTTTGCATCGGCCACCTTCACGTGTGAGGTGGACGAAATTATTTTAAAAAAATACAAATACATAAAAAGGGTGATCCTATATTCCGGTGACGTTTCTGATCCAGTCGCGCGCAGCCGGCACGCTCGCGTAAACTCCAGGTCTTCCGGAGAGAGCGCACCCACCTCCCCATGAGACCACCCCTACGAGTTCATTGTTTACGAGCAGAGGTCCACCCGAATCTCCTTGGCACGCGTCCTTGCCTCCGTCAGCGAACCCTGCGCAGATCATACTCGTCGTCATTTGCTCCCCTGCCGAGAAACCACGAGGGTTGGTATCCGTCAATTCGTTCAGTTACACTGTTTACCGTAGGCGGCTCTGCACGTCTCGAAGCTAACGATTGGGACGAACACTTCTTGCAGTTGCTCCGGAGGATGGTAGAAGCCCATAGTCATTGTTCCCCAGCCAGTGACGACTGCGGTTGTGCCCGGTAGTATATCCTGGCCTTGTTGAGGGAGTGCTATCGGTTTGATGGTAACCCCGTCGCCCACGTTTCGGTCCATCTCGAGGAGGGTGATGTCGAAGTGCAAATAGAAAGTCCCGTAGAGAGGATGGTCTATTATCCTGAGTACCGGGACAATCTGGCCGCCGGAGTTGTAGTGATGGGTGCCCAGACGAATAGAATATTTGAAGATCGAAGTTTCAACGCGGAAGCTACAATATAGTTTGTTATCGGAACCATATGGGGGGGTTGTATTTGTAATGCCTAACCGCTGGGTGCAGTGGGCTGCACTGAGGACCCATTTGGAGGAAATCAAGGACCCGCCGCAAAAATGGCTGTTAAAATACAAGACGGACACCTGGTGAGGGTGATCGGTGATATTCGTGTCGTGACCGCCGATAATCCTGGGATCGGAATGTGTGCCAACGGCGTCTAAAACAATAATTTTTCTTGATGCTGATTGTTCTAAAATCGGCTCGATCTTACCCGTTGGTAGGAAAACAGCCCATGTCAAGACCATTAGCGACAGCATTGTCGTTCGTAGCCACTGATCGGTAGTTCTTTCCTACACACGCAATTCGTCAATATCAGTAATACCTTAATCCAAATTGTCGTAAATGGATCTATTGTATCGACTTTTTCGAAATAGGTAATAAATTACTTTTTTCCGGAAAACCAATATGTAGAAAAATAGGTGATTCTATTTTATCCGATGATGGTGTCGTATATTTAGCTGTACCCGTCAGTTATCGTCAGTCTATCCTCACATTTTAATTTCTGGGGGTGATATAGCTTTAAATCTGTAATCTGTAATTTTAATATTAAACTTTAGTAATGTGCTTGTTAATATGTTCTACAATCCGCTATAAAACAAAAGTGCCATCATACGTGGCAAACATTTTCCACACTTGTTCCTGCCTGACATGTGAAGCAAGGAAGTGGTAAAAAAGAAATACTCCACGTAGACTATGCAATGATGGGCAAGAAAAGACTTGTTAAAAAATTACCCATTATTTAATTTTTAGGTAGGTTTGGGATGAATTTATCCAGTCTTCCTAAGTAGTTTAAATGATGCCGAAAAAATACGCAAGACAGAAGAGTTTTTTTTTATCGCTTAGACCTGAGCCACACATACCAACTGGCAAACTCTGGTCGGTTGCAACCTCCGATAAATCTAAAATTATGTTTTAGAGAGTTCTTTTTCTGGAAGACTTGGGGTATTGCATAGTAGAATATACATAGAGACTAGATCATAGACAAGAAAACTGTGGCGGCAATAAAAACTATTATACAGCAAAGTTTAAATGCTTTAAAAACTTGGTGCATTTCATAGCCTGCTTCAGATTTACTATCGCTCAGTTGGTTTGGGAAATATCGGCGAAAAACCGTCAATGGTGGATTTCGTTTTCACCAGTAAATCCACGGTTAAATTGACAGTTGTCAAAATGTGACATTATTCAAACACTTTTTGAGTAGAGTAAAATAGCGCATTTGACATGTGTAATATTGGATTTTTCGATTTTTGGAAATTTACATTTCGGTGATCTGTCGCAAGTGAACAAAGGATCGTATCAGCTTTTATCCATCTAAGGAGGGCTCGTGAGGACTACGATGTTAAATAATTCAAACTATCAAAGTTGTGTAGTAGTACGTTTTCTATCATTGAAATAATAAATGTAACAAAAAAATTGTCGAAACCTCTTGAAAATGGCCAGTATAAAAAAAAATCCATATATTAGCGTTGTACAGGATGTCCCATTATAAATTAATAAATGGATCATTTGGTCAATATTGATCCTACGATCATCAAGTTTAAATGACCAAAGTTGGAGCATTTCTCGTTAACCTTCGGATCCGAAATTTATCTGTCAAATTTTGACAGGTCGACTTTGTTTTTGCATTTTTTTCTCCTGATTTCAAATATATATGAGTTGTTAGGGTTATTTTTGACAGATTTGTGGAAATGTGGACATTTCAGGCTATTGCTCGCATTGAGTATAGGAGATTACATTCTCGCATAGCAGGTTGCAAAAGAAGGCCAGTTCCCTGAAATGTTGATGAAGAAACGAAGTTTCAAAATATTTCCCTTCAGAGCAGCCGTCGAACTCCATCCGACATTGCACGAGGGATATGAATTTGAGTAAAAATAAAATCCGGCCTATTTTAAACACATATAACAGAAAATCGTACAGCAAATAAACTCTAATTCGGTTTTCGTGGCTAATTTAATTTTCAAACAGTAGTTATTGACTTCCTTACATTCAATATTAGATAAAATGCGCGATATTTCAAAATTTGTCAAAAATAACCGTAACAACTCATACACATTGGAAATCAGGAGAAAAAGTGTAAAAGTAATCACATACAGGGTGTTCATTTTTTTTTTAAATATCGACCTCTCCAAATTTGACAGATAGAATTTTTTTTTAAGAACAATACTCCAATTTTGCCAATTTAAACTTTATCGTAGGATCAATATTAACATGCAGTCACAAAGGAGCGTCATCATTGCCTCACCGCATGATTTGGAGATGTATTTGCCCAAGATATGTGACTTGTTAAGAAGTTGTCCTCTTCTGAACAATGTCACATTTTGACTACTGTCCATTTAACCCTTTTGGATTCACTCGCGAAAACCAAAATCCGCCATTTTTAGTTTTTCACCGATATTTTCCGAGCCACTTAACCTAACATTGTATATCTAGCAGCTGGATGGTGTGCGCGATAGTTAATGAGACCATCGAACCAGTTTAGACAGTTTTATTCAATCTACAACCCGCTGACCCTGGCTATCCAGTCTCTGTAGAGGGCGACGTTGGTAAAAACACCTCCGGGCAGACCGATGACGTTTCCGCATTCCACACTGAACTCTCCCACGCCCAAGAGGGTCCCGTCGGCCACCAAAGGTGCGCCGGTATCGTGGGAGCAGAGCCCCTTACCCCCTTCGGCGGACTGGGCGCAAAACATCGTATCGCTGATTATGGCTTCTGAAATTCCAAATTATAATAATAATAATAAATTGCCTTTATGGTTGTATATTGTTATATACAAATACAGAGTAGAGAAGATGTGAAGTCTAGCGAATGCTACTCCACTTAACCTTTAAAATGTATAAAATTAAAAATACATAGGAAGTTATAATAACATTGATAAATTAAATATAGTATAATAGATGTAATAGTAATATGGAACAATAGGAAATTATTTAAAGTAAAAATAAAAAAAATAATATTGAAAATCAAATTATTTGAGAAGTTTCGACCTAAAATATTTTTTAAAGAACTTAATTGAATAAAATTTTACTGAATCGGGTATACTATGAAAAATTACAACAGCGTTATAAGAAAATGATCTGCGGGACGGAAATAAAGAATATCGTGGCAGTGAGAGTCTGTAGGGGTGCCTTAGAGCCACAAACCATCGACGCTAAAAAGTATTTGAAAGTACTGTCAATTTTTGGCCGGCTAAGTTCCTAGATTTTGTGGGAAATCCTATCAAATTCGCGCAAATTTTACGAAAATAAATCTGCAACAGCTGTTGAAGCAATTGAAACAATATCAAATAATTTAGGATCGAAGGATCGAAATAGCTGGGTGTCCTCAACAAATGAATGCAAATTCAAATCTTCGATGGATGTATAAATATCAGAAATATAAATTAAGAATAATATCGGTCCAAGGACAGAACCCTGCGGTACACCTGATGAAACAGGGAGAAATTCAGAACTTACATTGCCAAGGGTAACTCTCTGATATCTGTTAGCTAAGTAGTTTTAAAAAAATCGAAGCTGTAATAGCTCAATTTTGCACAAATAAGTTTATGGTCAAGCTGATCAAAGGCTTTAGAGTAATCTAAATATATAAGTGCAGTCGCAAGACTAATGATGTGATTGTTGATGTTGATAAAAGTAGACTAATAGTACTAAAACTTTTACTAAATCCAGATTGACTGTTAGTGACAATATGATTAGAAATAACGTAGATAAGGTTGAAAGAATATTGATTGGACGAAGATCTGAGAATTGGCTGACATTGTTATTTTTTGCCAATGGTGTGATCAAAGCCAACTTCCAAATACTAGGAAAATGATATAATATGTGTAACGTATGGCGCGGTAATATGGAGGGTCATTCTAGCAGGTACACAATCAACACCAGCAAAATTTGCCGTAATGTTTGCAATAATGGCTTTAATTGAGGCAATGATATATTCGAGTTGAACTTTTTTTTTAACATAAGCAAAAGAACTCACTGCCTACGCTCTTCTTACAGTCTTCGGTAAGCACAATATTAAGCTTGACATACTGCAACTGGTCTGATAATTCAGTGTCATATTCACTGGTAGAACCCCAACCAATAGCTGCTGCTGGTTCGTTGCTAATCAACTCTTGGTCGTTTTCGGGTAGTTTGACGGAGTGAATGAACGATCCGTACTCAAGAGGGATTTCTAATTTAAGCAGTGCCAAGTCGTTGCTGAACATCTGATACGGTCTGAAGATGTGTACTTCTGACACCGGCACCACCTCGCCTCCGGACGTGGGCTGGCTACTTCCTACACGGGCTGACCACTGGCCTCGGAGGCGATGACCGTCGTTGCTGTGAATTGACCGATATTAGACTCAGAGGCAGTGACTGGTAAGAGTACTTACTCGTAGAAGCAGTGACCTGCCGTGATTATCCAACTATTGTCGATGATGGATGCTTGGCATGCATATTCACCGTCTAGTAATACCGCAGCCAGATACGGATAGTACTGGATGTCGGCGTCGGCACCTCCCACTATTCTAGGTGCCGGCTTGGAACCAAGCGGAACGCCTGTAATGAATTAGGGATACGTATTAGGCTACTGGTGTGGGAAGTCTGAGTCTACAACCGGGTTTATAAACTTACCATGAATTTGGGAAGTCGCTAAGCAAACGACAAGCACCGTTAATGCAGTTCTCATGGTGGAATAATGTAGTAACAGAATGAGGAAAATGTCCGGAACATGGTTTATATAGGCCTTAGATACTTGTCTAAAGGATATTTCTAATAAAAATTATTTTTGGCACTGATCGATAAGATTACGATCTAGAGAACAAAGGCTCTCCTTATCTTCCGAATAATCGTGTTTTTCTTTTTCTTTCTTTATCTACGGTGATTCCACGATAAAATCTCTCGACTTTACAAATAACACCGAAAAGTTACAGGTTTTATTATTCCTAGGAGTATGCTTCCTATTCAAATCCATCAAAAAATAATGTAAAATTTCATGTTTGGAAAATGTGTTTTGGAGGATGTAATAATAGTTTTAAACTGGACCTCACAACATAAAGGGATATATAATTTTTACGCTGCCATGTTACGCCAGTGCTTGAATTAGAATTCGGAGGGTACGTGACTCGCATCGACCAATCACAGTCGACCTGTTTCGAAGTATATTGCCACGTTTAGCAAACCAATTGTACTGAAACGTACTTCAATTCAAAAATTATACACGCAAATATCCTACGTGGTAGACAACACGAGTTGATAAAAAATATAAGACACAACGCAAACACTTACAAAAAACCGTGTAACGATTTACCTTATTGTCATTCAAATTTTAAAATGTATGATAAAATCTCAGCTTGGAAGAATACAATCGTTCTCCTGCATTTTGGTCTTACATAATTTGACCAGAATCACTGGCATCGTGGTTTACAACGACAATAATCTTGACGATCTTCAAACCTCCGTGGAAGAGTTCGCTACTTTTTTAAAGGGTGTATTTCTTTCACCGGGTCCCAGTCGCACGGCTTACAATAATAAAATTCCATCTTTTTTGACCAAAGATTGTATTGATGCTTTCTCTAAACCTCCATTCGTGATATCTAGTCTAGCGCATTGTTCTGGAATTTATCCGCCATATTAGAAGGAATCAATAGTTTGTTCTATTCATAAAAGTGGGGAAAAAAGTCACGTAATCGATTATAGATCAATCACAATCTTGTTGTTGTTCTGCATGATCATATTTTCAACTCTGTAGAGAACATTATTTCACTAGATCAGCATGGATTTTGTAAGTCCGGGTCTACGGTTACTAATCTAGTACAGTTTACAGAGTATACATCAAGAGTTCTAGATAATCAAGGTGAGGTAGATGTCGTATACAGGATGTTCGGAAATTGAGTTCGGAAATTTGGACGAAAGATTCAAAATTCGCAGAGGGCACTTTGGCACTTTATTTTAGTTATTCAATCTGACATTGCAAAATAGAACAGATTGCTTTAAGCACAAATCCTCAAAGGTTGATACTCTTGTCGATAAGTGTTATTTACAGAAACATGCAGGCCCGCATTTTTCAAAAAATTATGCTACAAATTAAAAAAGTGAAAAAATGGCAAGACTTCAAGTGCCCCCAAGAAAAGAAGTCCATCGGATTAAGTTGGACCCATCCATCGATGCATGATTTAAATACTTTTCTACAGTCGATGGGGTGGAGCGCCATCTTGCATTCACCACGTGTTTTCTCTATACTGCAAGGATACCTCTTCCAGCAAAGGTTGCTGCCTATACATTTAAAGAAAACCGGCGAAGACATTTACAATGTCATCGCTGACACACACTGACACATAACTGAATGCAGCTTCGTCAGTGAACTAAATGATATTTAAGAATTAATGGTAAATCGTTGTTTCCAATAGCAATAAGCCTTATATAGTAGGTAAATATAGGATAAATATCCAAGAGGGCACAAAAAGGGAAAAGGTAGGAATAAAAGGGGAAGAATAGGAAAAGTTGCGTAAAAATGAACAACAGACCAGTACAGAGCGTTACCTAGTGAAGCAACATTGTACCTTTCTGTGCTGGGGGCAGTGATTATTACGCAAATTAAACCCATGGACGTTTGCTCTAAAAGAAATTTTCAACAGATAGCAAGGTGACTTATTTTTAATGATCTTGAAATAAGCTTTTTATCTGTTTTTCAGTTACATGCTGACGGAAAAGAAGTTTAGAATCCATGAATGAATCCAGAGTTTTACTTTAAACATAAAATTTTAGGGGAGTATCGGTAATTGTTAACAAGAGCTGATTTTTTTTAATTTTCAAATTAAACATCGTTTCCGAAAATTACAGCAGTTGATTTAGTGGGATTAATTTTAAGTAGATGATCCGTAGCAACATTATAGAACAACTGCGGCACTCTTAAACAAACTGCAAGCCATAGTGAACATACGTTCTCCATTATAACTCGCTGTGTTCTATTAGAGAGAAAGGATTTTAAAGGATTTTGTGAAACATGACTTAAACCAGTAAATTTCAAAAGAGCAAACATAAGCTCATGATTGAGCATGTCAAATACCGTACTAAAATCTAGTAACATTAATACCGAGCTTTTGTTTTCATCAGCAGCTCTGAATAAATCGTGCGTTACATCAGCTAGAACACTGTCGCAGCTATATCCCTACCGAAATCCTCATTTTTTCTCTGACAGTATTCTGCCGCTCTCTTACTATTACTATTAGACTTTTGAGAAATTAAGAAGAATGATGGTCGAACGTGTGTGATGTACGGGACAACCGTATGGCAGCATAACAAAATGAGCGTTATGTTAATCATATCGCTCATCCTCCTCTTCGAGCAGCTCTAAATCAAAACCCTGGTACATATTTTCAAATACGCTGCTATTATAATAATTCAGAAGTTTGGCTTTGGGAGTGACGTCCGAGAAGGTAAAAGTAGCAAAATAATTATTTAGCGCATTCACATCCAAGTTTTCATGCATAACCTTTTTTTCAGTTTTAGTATTTAGTATTTATTCTGTAAATATGCTTTTTTCCATGCAAATGGCCAATGTAGTGGAATTGCGCAATTGCTTTTAATAAACCATACGTTTGATGTCTAGTCCACGTTAGTATTGTACAATCTCAGTGTCCATTGCGAACTGTCTTAATTGTGTACCGATTGGTAAATCAATGCTGGAAAATTTGGTTAATTTATTTGCTAAATATATATTTTTTTTGACGTTACTAAAGGTGTTCTGTAAGTAGATTGTTTTCTGTTGAGTAATAAGGCTATTGTTAGCATTATTATTATTACTATTTTATTTCATATTACTGTGCTCATATTCAAATTTAGTGCTAAAATGTAAATTAAGTTGCACTTTTCATTTATATTCTTTGGAAAAAACGAAAGTAATATGAAAAAAGATATGCATTCAATTCTACAAAAAAGATACATATTTCATATCAATTGTTAATCATATGCATATGGAGCACTAAAATTGGTCTCTCCCCATAGGTACATCCTCACTACTAACAAAAACTTCATCAGATTCTTTGTTTGGTTCTTGGCAATTTCATTTATTGTGATGAACAAATATCCCGTTTTGCTTATGGTATTAAGAAAAACCAGCCTGTGAAGTGTACATAAAATATGAATAACAGTAATCTGGCGCCATCACCATTTAATTAAGTTAAGTATTTGGTAGGTTGGCAACATATATATATATATATATATATATATATATATATATATATATATATATATATATATATATATATATATATATATATATATATATATATATATATAAACTTAATTCAATTAAATGGTGAAGGCGCCAGATTACTGTTGTTCATATTTTATGTACACTGTCTGATTGTCGCAAGAGAGAGTGAATCCTTTAATTATGTTTTCTGGACGTGTTATATAACTGACGCAATTTTCTTTGGTACTACGATATTTTTATTAAGAATATTTTGCACTGAGCTAGGAGGCAATATTATTTCGTCTGTAGCATACGGTAAATTTGTTTTTTAATTTTTGGTCTGGTTAACTAATCCGCTCACTGCTCACATGATAATTTTTCATTTTTTTGTCGGTGCAATTAGTACACTTTCAACAAGCCTAGAATGAAATCGTGCATTATCAATAATAATTAAACACGACCTTTGTAGTGAGAACTACTGTACTTATCCGGCAATTGGTGCTATCTCTGTCGAGTACACGACACCGGGGCGTAATAGGCAAATGCGGAACACTGAAGGTAAAAGGGTGGGTTTTGCCATTCTTAGTATAGGAGTGGAAGCAGGTAATATACTGAGGCACCTTCTTTCTTGATTTTATGACCGACTATGCCATCACAAATCGTACCGACTATATATCGAAAAACCTGAGGCATCGGCAACAACGAAGTGGAAAGTGGGTTAGAAGTAAAAGAAAAAATTACAAGTTAACTTGCAAATAGAAGCCAGCTCTTACAAAACGGAGTTGAAGACATGGGTATCAGCTGAAAGCAAAATGCGAAATTTACGACCAGGACCAAAAGCAGATGGAGAATATGGAGAAGAATCAACTTGCCACATCTAAAATATCCTGGTTCAAGGGGTCGGTCATTGACCAGTCACTTTTTTTGAACATTTTTCATCATTTCAAGTTATTGTGTTTATTTTGAAGGTTCTGTCGAGCTTATGGCCTGCACACTGATTAAATGGACTGTATATTGCTCACACTTATTTATTTTACTTTTTAATTACAAAAGAAGCAGAGCACAAAAATAATACGTTCTTCGTCGTTGACGTATGTCTCTCGTCTCGTCTGCCCGCGCAACTAAGAACAATCGGCAGCGTTCGGTAACCACAGAAATAGATGTGGAACGGGTGGCCTAACCGCTTAACGTTAAATCTATTCAGTAACTTAAGATTATATTTGGCCTGGTCTCGTAATTACCAATACCTGTAGTTACCCCATCCCTATGCCATTTGCCACAATTATATGTTCCCCATCTTTCCTGATACTCTGGGAATGTCATTCTCCTTGTTTGTGCCAAGTGTTTTAGTTAATTTGGAGATGGTTAAACATTCCAAAAGAAGCAACGACGATGGCAGCTCGTCTGAGGACGAGTATAGGCTACGTAAAAAGTTGAGACGCTTGAAGAAATGGTTGGATAAAACGGATTATGAAAATGCAGCATTTCGCAAGGGTGTCTCGCTGGAAACTATTCGTTTAGCAGCAGGCTGGTCATCCAGTTCGAAAATGTTCACCTTTGCTCAAGCATCACTGAACACATAACTAGATATAATGATTTCCGATAATTATGAAATGTAGGCTGAATGTAGGATTACTAGATAAGCAACATATAGAAATAATATTTTAATTCATAATTTATTAATAAATATTTTTGCACTTTCTCTCTTAGGTGCAGGGAAGCTCTGTTTCCGGGCTTTCCTTTTCAAAATGTTGGAGGCTTTAAATATCTACAGGTATCGTTAGAGAGAGAGATGATGCCAAATATAATCAATAGATCAAACGAACTTACCTAAGGTGAAGTCCGATCCTAATCATATTGGGCCTGATTGGAGTAAATAACTCCCGGCCAGATCCCAGACTCCCGCTGGGACATTCTGAAAAGTACTTTAAATAAATGACATTCCCAGAGTATAAGGAAAGATGCGGATTATTTTTGTGATTCAAGGTTAAAATTGTGGCAATTGGCATAGGGATGGTATTGTAATCCCCAACATGGCGAAAATATCTTAAACAATAGTGTATCTTACAAAAATATATAACTGTAGGGGCGGCATCCAACATAGTTGCTCTGATGCAACCCCATAAAACGAGCATATGACACTATAAAATAAAATATAGCATATAAATTATATAGACTTTCATTCAAAATGGTAGACACTACTAGATTAAATTCAAGAAAAAAATACATATACACAATTTTAAGTTTAAGTTTAAGTTTTTGTTTGAATGAAGTTAGTGAGGTGATTGATCTCAGTTGGAGAGGGAGTTTGTTTTAAGCCTTGATGGCATTGTACGTGAAACTGCGCTGAAACTGCGCTGAAATATGTTTGGGAACGGTAAACTGCCCCCTATGGCGAGTATTAACCGAATCAATATCTGATCCACGAGTAAGTTTGTCAGAAAGATGCGTCGGACGTTGGAGAGATATTATTTTTTTATTTAAGACTAAAAGCTGCGACTTAAAACGTTCTTCTAATGTTAGCCAGCGAGAATCCTCTAGGCTAGTATGATCAAATTTACGAATGTTGTATGAGAATCTGAGACAGGCATTCTGAAGACGCTGAAGACTAGCCTTGTCCTTTTGAAGTAGGGCAGGCCAGTAAACTACCATACAGTATGAAATTGAGGAGAGAATTAAGGAATGGGTAAGTTTTAACTTAATTGCTGTGTCCAGAATATCTCTATTACAGTAAAGAATCCTAAGCTTGTAAAACGATTTCGGGATCAATGAAGCTACGTGACCTTCAAAACGCAGATTATTATCCAAATGCAGTCCCAGATTTTTGCATTCGGCAACCGGCCGTAAGAGAAGGTCATTTAAGTAAATTTTGGCACCGTCTAGACTAATTATTTCTCCTTTATCTTTACCAAAAATTATGAGTTGCGTCTTATTTTCGTTAAGTAACAGACCGTGCTTACTAGAAATATCACTGAGAGCACGCAGGTCACTCCTTATATTATTAACGGCGGTATTAATTTGAGAGTAATTAAATTACTTGAGTGTCGTCTCCGTACTGATGGGAGGATGCTTAATTAATTTACAGAAGTCGGAGGTATAAACGGAAAACAGCATCGGACATAAAATACTGCCCTAGCTGTTATTGAAGAATACTCTTTGACACCGATCAGAAAAGTAACTTTTGAAAAACTGCAACACACCAGCCCCCACAGTTTAGCAAAGAGCAGGCGGTGGTCCAAGGGTGTCAAACGCTTTGGTATAATCAAGCAATATTAAGCAGGTATTCAGGCCTACATCATTTTCCCGAAATATATATTCACAAACTTTTAAAAGAGCCGTATTTGTACCATAATGTGCTGCTTCTCAACAACTTTTTTTAGCACTTTAGATATAGTAGGGAGAATGCCAATAGGTCGGAAATGAGAAACATCACGCGGTTGAGATGTTTTAGGGGCAGGAATGTTAATAGACAAGCACTTATTAATAATATACGTAATATGGGGCAAAAGTTGGGATATTACGTATAATATCATCTTCCTATCAATCTCATCAGACCCCACGAAGTGAGTTCTAATTTGTTGTATTATTATTCCTACTTCGTTAGAGTAAACAGTTGAAAATGAAAGTTTTGATTGAGGTCCGGAATACACATTAACATACCTAAGTACACTCCAGAAGTTTTTTGGATCCGTAAGAAACTTGTGTTGTACGAAAGCCTTTTTCTCCGACTTAACAGCCACATTTACAAGATTTCTCAACTTCTTGTATTCCATCCAGGATTGTTCGGTTTTCTGTTTCTTATATTTGTACAGCGCTTTATGTTTCAACTTTATCATTATTTTTAAGTTTTCCGTGAGCCAAGGAGCTGGCGGTTTTGTTATCTTCGCAGTTTTTAAAGGAGCATGCAAGCTGAACACTCCCAGTAAGTTGGTATTAAAAAACTCCACCATTTTATCCACGTCAGTTAGTTCGAATAATTTATCCCAATTAATATTGTTTAAATCATATAGAAAATGTTCGTAACAACAATTGGAAAAATCCCTGTAGATTTTTAAAAATGCTTTTGGTTTAGATTTAGGTATCTTCAATTCGCAGTGTACCATATGATGATCAGCACCTTCCATTTTGTATAGTTAAAAAGATGCAATAAGCACGTTGAAAACTCGAAACAAAAATCGATTCGAAGTGTGCCTCTCTTGATAACAAATTTTCCCAAAAACTGCGTAGAGAGGCTTGACAATTTGGAGCAACATAGTAGGCGCAACGTACTGCGTTTTAATGTTTTTGAAGTTAAACCGCACGGGGATTTGCTGACTGATATAACTTGTTTTATAATGGATACTCTGAAAATCTCTTGAGATAGATTCTGTTTTTAGGCAATAATTCTAACAAATACTTCAGGCTTTTTTTTTATATTGAGTTTTATATTTTGATTTAGGAATATTTTGTATAAGTTTATTAATATTATTCAAAAGTTTATTAGTTATAAAAATATATTTTAAACTAAAATAAAGTTATTTGATTAAAAAAAGTATTTTTTTCTTCGATTTCACAAATTAATTTCTATGACTGATATATATGTTAGCGATATGTTTTCTATGGCGGCCAAGAGTCACGTATGCTGAGTCAGGACGGACGAGCGGCATGTCGTTCCAGCTACGCAAGAACGAACGCCAGTACGATATAGACCGAAGAGCCGAAAGGCAATGCTGTAATAGGTGGTCAAATAGAACAGTGCTTTGGTTTTTGGGGAGAGTTTTATTCCGTATAGGGTTGAAACCCTTACTCCATCTCTTAAGTTAACATATATGACATTCGTCCGCTCTATCTAGTTCAGAAATAAGTTTTTCCTGTTAAAGAACTCCAATTACGATCGCTCTGTTCACGTACATTGTTGTATCCATCACGGACTCACTGTCATATGAGTTGAGGCATGTCGCATGGTGATATGTGCGCTATTAAATAAACCCACCGGAACAGCTTAGAAAATTTTATTTAATCTACAACCCGCTGACGCTTCCTATCCAGTCCCTGTACAGGGCGACGTTGGCAAAAGCACCACCAGGCAGTCCGACGACCTGACCGCATGCCAAACTGAACTCTCCGACTCCCAGGAGGGTCCCGTTGGAGACCAAAGGTGCGCCGCCGTCGTCGGAGCAGAGACCTTTACCTGCGGACTGGGCGCAAAACATCGTGTCGCTGACTAAATCGTCTGAAATTTCAAATTAATGGTGATTTTAAATCTAAGCAAACGAACTCACTTCCGTAGCTACTTTGGCAGTCTTCGGTGAGCACAATATTGAACGTGACCTGCTGCAACTGGTCTGCTAATTGAAAGGAATAGTCCGCAGTGGAACCCCAGCCGGTAGCTACTGCCGGTTCGTCGCTTTTCAACTCTCGGTCTTTTTCCGGTAGTTTGACGGCCTGGATGGACGGTCCGTACTCAAGAGGGTTGTCTAATTTAAGCAATGCCAAGTCGTTGAGGAACTTCTCGTACGGGTCGTAGAAGTTTACTTCAGACAACGGCACTATTTGACCTCCGGACGAGGGTTGGCTGCTTCCTACTCGAACAGACCAGTTGCCTTGGAGACGAGTGCCATCGGTGCTGCGAATGACCCGAAATTAATGTCAGAGGAAGTCAGTAGTGGGGATACGCACTCGTAGAAGCAGTGAGAGACGCCGATTACCCAGCTGGTACTGATGATGGATGCTTGGCATGCGTATTCACCGTCCAGCAAGACCGCGGCCTGGTACGGATAGTCCTGGATGTCGGCATCTTGACCTCCTACGATTCTGGGCGCCGGCTTGGAACCATGTGGTACACCTGATATACGAAAAAACGCCACATATTTGGTTGTCTACACATGACCATTGCTCCTGCATTTTAAACGTACCTTGAACTAGGGTAGCCGTTAAGCAAGTAACGGAGATGATCAATGCGACGGCCATCGTGGTGCGGCCTAATCAGTGACCAAACCTAATGTGTTCGTCGTAAATAGCGTAAGATTGTCATCCAACGGATGTTGGTCCTTGAAATAATCTGTGATATTATCGAAACCGCAGTTGTTGATAGCTGGTAGTGCTTTAAAAAAAATCATTTACCCATATAAAACAAACACGTGAAAAATTTATTATTGGTGACCAAAAAATTTCAGAAGTACTTATTTTGTTGGGAGTTTAACAATGTCAGCCATTTACCTAGTTGATTTTGAAAAAAATTACTTCAAAGGAATATTTGAAATTCGCTTTTTGAATAATTTTGTTTTTGTGATTTTTTTTTTCTTCTCTCGCTCAACTCTTCAGACAAGGGCACCAGCTGACCCCCAGACGAGGGTTGGCTGCTTCCTACTCGGCTCGACCAGTTGCCTTGGAGGCGGGTGCCATCTATTCTGCAAATGGGCCGAAGTTAAAGTCAAAAGAAGGCAGTCGTGGGCATACGTACTCGTACAAGCAGTGATAGACGCCGATTACCCAACCGGTGCTGATGATAGATGCTCGGGATGCGTATGCACTGTCCAGCAACACCGCGATCTGGTATGGATGTTCCGGATGTCCGCATCTTGACCTCCTACTATTCTAAATGAAGAAACAGTGCCAAGTATTTGGTAGTCTGCAGGTCACCATTGCACGAGTCTATTTATCCTGCATTTCAAAAAGTACCTTGAACCAGGGAAACCGTTAAGCAAGCAACGGAGATGATCGATGCGATGGTCATCATGGTGCAGCTTAGTAAGTGACCAAAATTAATGTATTCGTCGTAAGGAGTAAGGACTGTTATATGTAAGTTGTCTATCTAAGATGGAGATTGTCATCGACAGGATGTTATTACTTAAAATAATCTGTGATCCTACAAAAGACGCTAAGCATAAACTATTTATAACCCGAAAATTTTGTTTAATTTAATTTTAAAAAAATTAAAATTTAAAAAAATTACTTCAAAGAAATGTTTTAAGTTCAGTTTTGAAATTCTCTCTCTTACCATTTACCTATTTCTCCACTGCTGCAAATCTGAAAATGCAGTCAATTCAAAAGTAATTTTCTCATCAGTACTAAGTTGCACTTCTAAGCTTTTGTCTTGCACAATGCATCAAGCAGCTAAACATCATCCGCGGCTCGATTCAAAAGATTTTATTCCGTCTACAACCCGCTAACGCTTGCTATCCAGTGTCTGTAAAGGGCGACATTAGCAAAGTCACCTCCGGGTTATCCGATGACGTTGCTACATTCCGACGGCTATGAGAACGAAGAAGAAGCTAATTATAGCTTCTAAAATTCTAATTTAAGACCGATTTAAAAACGAGAAAAAGTAACTTATTTCCTTGAGCGACCGGCACTACCTGTTCTCCAGACGACAGTTGGCTGCTTCCTACGCGCGCGAATCAGCTGCTTAGTAGAGCAGACTTACAGCAAATTCAATTGGTGTAGAAGCAGTGATTGGCAGTGACCATTTAACTAGGCCCAACCGTGTAACCTTGACAAAAACAGCGCTGCCGGGTAGGGTACGTTTCTGGGTATCGGTTTGGAGCCGTACGGAACCCCTAATACTTAAAAAAGGAATTATAGTCATTAAGCAGAAACTGGACTGGTTAGCGATGCATTTTAGATGAAACAATTGCGTATTGTTGGGAGTGTTAAACCTACCCTGGGCTTGGGATGCTGCTATGCAAACAATAAAAAGGGCCAGTAGGGAACTCATTACGTGATAATATTGAACAGCTCCAGGAAAATGTTTGCAATAAATAGACATACGAAGATACATGTGTTTATATTGTTGATACTGATCCAAAGGATGTAGCTAGTTGATGAATTTGCACAGCAATTTCGTCTAGTAGTAATAGGAAGATAAGAAGATCTCACCAATGCGAACGATCGAACGAAAAAATCCATCTTTGTTTCCTTTTGCAGAAGCGACTTGAATAATTGCAAATCATAAACGCAAACTATCAAGTCGCCCACGCAGCTGATGATGAACGAAGAGGGTCGCTAATATTTGCCTATCGACAGGATGATTGCACTTGAAACGGTCTATCATATTTATCGCATTATCCGAGACGGGAATGATTGTTATCTCGGTATTGTTAATGTTTTTTTTTCAATTTTCGTGACCTTAACAAGATCCGCATTAATCATATAATTATGAACCATGTGGGTCTCAAAATGTTAATGTTTTTCTGAAAGGCTTTCAATACAATTCCCGTATCTATAATTCACAAATGATAAATAAGAACTAACTCGACTCCTAAGATATTATTTATAAATGAATGAATGAATGCTGCTGCCGTATCCACCTGGCTGGTAGTGAACCTTTGTGATAGCCCAAGCAGTCTGATCTTTGTTTTTTCAGTTTTTCAGTACTAAATTTTATATCTACTCTTTTCTCTTTTGCGATACATTATAGATTAATTGAAAAGGCTATATATTTAAAGCGGAGATGCCACTAAACTGGGGTTTAAATTATTCTAAGCGATGTACAATCTGCTCAAACAGTACAATATGTCTCTCTTAAAAAAAATGAGTCCGATCCTATCAAACAATAGCCGACTGTAGCAAACAACCACAACAGAAAACGTATTTTCAAAATAAATATAGGAAATTTATAAAAAAATACTATTTATATATACGTACCAGAATTAGAGATGCATGGAATATCATTAATTATGAAAGAAATAGCTATAAAAGAGAAGTCAGACCAGAGGTACAGAGATGTAGCTTTTGAATCAGCAACTTTCCTTCTACATGGGTTTGCTTAGGGGGATGTCTTGAGTTGTGTTGCAGTGTGTTTGATTGATTGATATTATGAAATTAACAGTATTATTCTTAAAGACCTTATCGAATTTATATTGACACTCCTTAGTTACCTTTTCAAGAGATGCATCGAGTAGCGATTTTTCCCTGAATATTTGAAGTTGTATCGATATTTAAAAAGGGACAACCTAATTTACCAAATAATTTCAGGGCAATATCTATAGTTTCCCTACTGACGTTTTAAGTATTTTACAGTAGCTTGACAGCAGATAAAACTGCATTGAGTAGGTCTTGCCTGAGGTGAACCGTGACGAATATGCTGCGGGGTAGTTTGTTGCGTTTATTTTAACATCAGTATATTACGGAGGTATTTGAATGTGATTCAGTAAGTACGTTTTAATGTACGTGATTCTCGAGCTTTGACACGGCGAGGCTGTTTTTACTGAATAATTCAAACTTATACTCTATTTACCTTACAGGTAACAACATTCTTTTCCTTGTATTTTTGTGTCTTCGATTTGTAAGCAAGGCTATAGATTATATTCGCCATTCGATAGCATAACAAAACGGACTTGAAATCTTGAGATTACCTCCGTATCATTGTTTGAAAGAACGTATAAGAACAAATAACACTGCACCAAAATTTAGTGATAGTACTATAAGCGTAATTCGGAAAGAGGTAGCTAAAATGTCAGTACAAAGCTGGTCTAACTGAGAGAAAAAGAGTAATACATTTTTAGTGTAGGTGGAGAACTAAAGGAAGATATGACGATCTGAGAATCCATCTATATTTATCAGGCTCGTAGGAGCTGAGAAATGTGCTATGGTGATATGCACGATATTAAATGAAACTACCGAAACAAGTTAGAAATTTTTATTCGTGGACATCTGGTGCATTTGAAAGTTACCTTGAATTAGGGCAGCCTCTACGCGTGTTAGATAAGTGACGCAAGCAAGTGTATTTGCCATCAATAGTCGTATAGATAATAATAAGTTATGGTTATCGTAGATGGAGATTGCTATCGAAAGGATGTTGCTGCTTGAAGCAATCTATGATATTATCGAAAACGGGGTTGATATTTTCGTAACATTTACAAAATTTAAAAAAATTGCTTTAGAAATGAGCCATATAAACTTAAATGCTTTACAGCGCTAACCGTAGTTTTTCAGAGCAATAAAATGTTGTAATGATGTGGATGTATTCAGAAAAATAAAAGCTCAGAACTAGAAATGAGAGAAACAATTACTTAGCTGACATTTTTAAAGCTAAAACAATTTTTATAATGTCAGCTAAGTAATTGTTTCTGTCATTTCTAGTTTTGAGCTTTTCTTTTTCTGAATACATCCACATGTACAGCCCGCTGGATTAGGTAAGATGCTAAGCGAATGACAAACGGGGCCGGTGGGGAATTTTATATTTGATATTTAGGTAGATACTAATCTAAAGATCGCTTTTGTTATCCCTACGCGTTAGTTATTCTGAGAAAATTTCACCAGCTAAAGAAGATTGTAGTGGTTTGAATAATTGAAAGCTATTGGCAAATAATTTAATATATTTGATTATGCTGGGATCATTAATATATATCCATCGACAGTATAGTGGCCTTGAAACCGTCTATTCTTATTGATTTCCCGGTGATATGTTATCGCGGCATGTTGCTAATGTCGATTTTATTTTTTTTTATTATATAACTTCAACAAAATGTTCATTAAACAAATATTTATTCTGAAAGCCTCCACTATAATTTTCGTATCTTCAATAAAATATTAACAACAAACAAACAACAAATGAATCTTTGATAAATAAAAACAAATTTAACTCCTAGGATATTGTTTGTAAATTAATATAAATAGTGAAGATTTCTAATTACATAATTATTTCTTTAGTTTTTCAGTGACCCAGGTGGTATATATATCTCAAGTGGATATTCTATTCATCGTTATCCAGGAATTCAAATAGAATTACCAAAGCTGTTTATAGTATTTTATTCGATCTACAACCAACTAAAAATAGTCCCAACGGACCTGCAGTTTATATTATTAAAAATTAATGTCGGCTCAAAATAAAAAATTCGTTGTCGCAATCAAAGATAGGACTCTTTTTGGTTTTGGTGATTTGCAGTTTTTCCAAAAGATCAAGTTTTTTACTTTTTAGGCAGAATGACATTTTTATACTTTTTACCTTATCAAAAAATGTTTACGTAGTTGCTTTACGAGTTCCTATACTGTCATAAGGAGGGCCTCTATATGTCTAGCAGCAATATGATTGCCAATCATAATAGTAAACTATCAAGTCGCCCACGCAGCTGATGATGAACGAAGGGGATCGATATTATCCGCGTATCGACCGGATGATAGCACTTGAAACAGTCTATCATATCTATCGCACTATCGGAGACGGGAATAATATGTGGGAGATAGGTAATCTCCGCATGTTGCTATTGTTAATTTTTTTTTCAAATTTAGTGACCTCAGAAATATCGACATAGCTGTAGCAAACAATGAGAATAGAGAACTGTTTATAGGTCTTTTCAAAATAAATATAGGAAATTTATTAAAAATACTAAGTATATTAGTACATCAGATACTAGAATTAGAGATGCATGGAAAATCATTAATTATGAGAGAAATCGCTGTCAAAGAGAAGATCACTTCAGTGATATTCCTGCAGATGAACTCAATTCATTTTTTACTAGCATTCTTCAGTCGGACCAGAGATACGTATCTGAACAAAATACCCCTTGTTTCAGCAACTTTCTTGTTCTTCAATAAATGCATTTTTCATGCAGACGATACGTCGATTATTAGCTCTGACCAAAACACGCAAGATTTAATAGAGCAAATGAAACAAGTGGAAGATGGGGCTGAGTTATCGTTCCCTAACAATGCTCTTAAATTAGATGCAGATAAAACGCAACACCTGGTGTTCCCAAGAAATAACATCTTGGTGATGGGTGTTAGTGTGGAACTTTTGAGGATCACAATAGATGATAGTTTCGGCTGGGATCAGCATGTCAACTCGTTGTGTAAGAAGCTGTCATGTATTATTTTTGTAGTTCATGAAACATTAACGATGACTTACTATCACACCTAACCTACGGAGTTGTCCTGGGGAGGTAACTTTTCTGCAGCTGATCGGACTTTTAAACTTCAAAAGAAGGTAGTTAGAGTAATAGTGTGTGCAGGTTATCCAGAGCATTGTAAGCCTATCCGTAAAAAAGTTCCTTCGAAGGCAACATTTCCTTCTGTCGGATAGAAGATGCTAACTAGTTAGTTATACATATCTATTAACTTTTTGGCCATATACATGTATTGTTTGCTTGTTCTGGATATAAAAATAAAAGTCATGTCATGAATCATATAGATTCACCGAAATTGGGGATGTATTCTAAAAAGAGATGCCCTCTAGCATTATCGACGGGTTTAAATAAAACTACCCAATGAGTTTAGAGGATTTTATTCCATCTACAACCCGCTAACGCTCGCTATCCAGTCGCTGTAGAGGGCGACATTGGCAAAAGCACCCCCGGGCAGTCCGACGAAGTTACCGCATTCCAAGCTGATCTCTCCAACCCCAATCAGTGTCCCGTTGGCGACCAGAGGCGCGCCGCTGTCATAGGCGCAGATACCTTTACCTCCAGGGGCGTACTGGGCGCAGAATGATTTCTTGCCGAGAAGAACGCCTACGATTTTAAATTAAAACCGATTGTCTGAAAAAAATATTCAGCACTTGCCGTATTTCGATTTGCAGTCTGCGTAGAGGACGACGTTAAGCTCGACCTGCTGCAACTGCTCTGACGCCTCTGGATAAACGATGGTGGAACCCCAGCCGGTTGCTACGGCCGGCTCGTCGCTTCTCAGCTCTCGGTCTTTTTCGGGTAATCGAACGGCTTGAACAGATGGTCCGTACTCGAGAGGACTCTCTAGCTTCAGCAACGCCAAATCGTTGAGTAACGTCTGGTAAGGTTCGTTGAATATAACTTCAGAGATCGCCACTACCTGACCAGCCGAGAGCTGACTGCTTCCTACGCGAAGGGAATAGTTGCCTTCGGCGGGATTGCCCTCGACGCTACAAACGTCATAGGTTTGGGGGAAGTCGAAGTGGTGTGGTTACTTACTCGTAGAAGCAGTGACCGGCGGTGAGTACATAGCTGGGTGCGACGATCGAACCCTGACAAACGAGTTCGTCGTCTCTGAAGAGCGCTGCCTGGTAGGGATAGTCCTGGATGTCGGCATCTTCACCCCCGAAGATTCTCAGTCCCGGTTTGGAACCGTGCGGAACCCCTGAAAATATACGAAGGAATTACAGCCTCGAGCTACAAGCTTTCCCGTGTGAGGCAATGAGTAGAAACCCAGTTGGTGACGCAAATCGTTACGTGGAGTCTAAATCTTACCTTGAATTAGGGAAGCCGCTAGGCAAACGACGAAGGCGGTCAGTACGGTGGTCATGGCAGAATAATTCACCAATAGGACTAGAAAATGTATGCCATATTCTTATATAGGCATAGCAAGGTCGATACTGGACACTTATCTAAAGGATGCCGGCACTTGAGAATATTTATCCAAGATACGATTCTGTTTTCGAAGTTATCTCGCCAACTTTTTTTTTGTTTTGAACTCCTCGTTAGTAGAAGTTTTGTTCGTCATGCCAATTTTTCAAATCGTCATTTGTTTAAAGAATATGCATCTATTTCCAATTGGAAAAGGTCGGACGAGATTTCAAACGGGGTTACGAAGTTATTTTACAGATGGTGCAAAATATAATAAGAAATATGCAATTGGTATCTTGAGTTGCTACATGCTTTTAAATCTGAACGGCGAAAGGATTCAAATATTACAAGACAAGGGGAATTTCCAATTGGAAAGGGCTTAAAAATTTAATAAGAAGATTAGCGTGTATAAAAGAAGTTATTTAATTCGTCGAGTAGTTTTTAGGTAGAAAGTTTACATAAACCTGTGATTTAAAATATTTCGTTTTCGAGATACGGAATGAAAAAATTGTATGTTTATTTTTGTTGCTTCTGTTCTTCTGTCAATTTCTGGTCAATTTGGTGTGTTCTACAGTCCGGTAACACTTGCTATCCAATCCCTGGAAAGGGTGACATTGGCGAAAGCACTCCCGGGAGTTCCGACTAGGTTGCCGCACGATTCGGTGAATTCTCCCACGCCCAAGATGGTCCCGTTGGTGACCAGAGGCGCGCCGCTATCGTAGGTACAGATACCCTAACCTCCAGGTGCGTATTGCGCTGATGAAAGACTCTGAAATTCCAAATTATATTAAAATTATTTACCGGGTGTCCCAGTAAGGAGCAACGAGGTACGGCATTAGGAAAATTGGCGGTCCTAGAACTTAAAAAAAAAACAAATATGATAACCATAGCTAATAGTGAGTACAGTCTTAAAGCTGAGAGAAAATTGAAATCCCTGCAAAAAAAGGAACATTTTCTTTAATAATGAACTGATTATGAAAAAAATCTTATTATCACTGATGATTTTAATATATACGTATTAAAACTTGATAATATAAATCACAATGATGGTAACCTTTCAGACAATTACTAGAGCCCCTGAGCAAAATGCTGTACTGCCGGATAGTGCTTTTTTTTTATTAAAACTGATCATTTTCCTGTGTTTCTCTCATTGAGTAAAATTAATAACAAAGATATTAACAAGGGTATTATTCATAAAATGAAGAGGATATCACGGGACTATGTTTTGACAATGAGGGACCCACACATGGCCACGGAATTAATCATTAAACAGATACAGCAAGCAAAAATCGATCCTCGTAGCTAATGCATAACGAAGGGCATCATCAATTCATGTAAGTTTAAAGAAACATTATGTGGATTATGTAAAACTGATCCAAATAACATTCATCTGAATATAAATCATAAGTTAAGATTTTGGATGAAGTCATAAAGAAAGCAAAAACTATTTGTAAAATTGGTTAAGGCTTTCGCGGCCCGTTGATAAGCAATTATCTTGGTTCGGGTTTAAAGGCCGTCGTCGATTGGAATTACTTCCTAACGTTTCGCTAGCACGAGTGGCGAGCTTCTTCAGAGGTCCTTCCATCTCCGATGTTGGACGTAGACTGACGATTTCTCCTGCGCAGGTTGTATTTATGCCGATTGGTGGAGGGCGGGGCTTGTTCCGCTTCGGTTGGTCTCGGGATATCGATCGGTACTGCTCAGGCGTTCCTAAGGATCGGGTTCCAGATTTGGTTGAGTCTAAGGGTCTCCTCCTTTCGGTTGAAATTGTGTGGGTGTTTTTGTATCTCAATGGCTTCCCTGACTAGTCTGTTGTGATAGCCGTTGACCGATGCTAGTAACTTACAGCTCTCAAAGTGTATCCTGTGTTCCCCGCTGCCCAGTGCGTGTTCAGCTACTGCAGACTTCTCTGTATGTCCTAGCCTGCAGCTTGCTTTATGCTCCTTAAGTCTCGTTCCCATTGATCTCTTGGTAGAATGCGGTAGACTCCTGCAGCTGAAAGTGAGCCCCTCTTGTCCTTCGCTGACCTGATGGTCTCCTGGATCTTCTTTGTAGGCTTAAAGATTGTTTTGATGTCGTGTCGTTTCAATACTCTGCCAATCCTGTCGGTGACACTCGGAATATACGGCAGATATGCGTGGGAGGTGGAGGGTCGTTGTTCGGTGCCCCGTGATCTTGATGATCTTGAGTTCATTGATCTCTCGATCTCCCTCTTGCTGTAGCCATTTGCCTCGAACGCAGCTTTTAGGTGTTGAATCCCACCGAAAAACCCCGAAACAAAGAACGAAGAACGGTATGTACCAATGACTGTCCTCCAGGATCTACGGTTACTGAGATCTCGAGTTTAGTGAGGAGCGCGTATACTTTCGAAAAGAATCGATTCCATTGATTTTTCAAGAGTAACAAGTACAATTTTTCACTCCGTACGATAACAGAGTCATGTAGGTTTCAGTCGTTGTTCTACAGTAAACGTATATTTTTATGCTACAACCTTCCTTCGGGAACAAAATGCCAGTGTTGATATTGTTGACTGTTAAGTCCTATTATACAGGCTGTCACTTAACAATTCCGATATTCCAGATAAATACAAGACAACATCAAAACAGGCCTCCAAGAACAAAATCCCTTTTGATTATAAGTCGACGGATTAAAAAAGTCACCCAAAACCCACCCAGTGTTGGAGCTCTATTTGATATGATTATTTCTGAAATATTTGAAGGGTAAAAAATTACTATACACAGAACGAGATTCAAGGTGTAAAAGTTTTATTTTTGTTTTTTTTAGGTAGTTTTCTAAAAAAAAAAATGAATTGCTCGGTAATTTTTGCGTGAGAAGTGTTATCTAGCAAAAACAATAACTTTGTTTTTAGCAACATAAATTATTTTTTTATTACGTTAAGCAGACCAACACTAAACTTAACGGGCGCGAAATTCTGCATCACGGAAGAAGCGCAAAATAAAAATAAATATTTGAGTGTCTTTCGAGAATAATGCATTTTAGTTTTAGTTTATAGTAAATTTAAAACTTTGAAAATATTTGATGTACTCCCTATAAAGATCACAGGAAAACCATCTTAAACCCTTTCCAATTGAAAATCTATATTCCTATTTATCAGGTCAGTGAAAGTACTCTCGTTAGTAGAAGAAAGCAACGCTGAGACATCCGAGTTTTAATACATATTTTGCAGCTTCTCTAAAATGGCGTATTTGAAGTCGCGTCGGACTTTCTCCCGTTGGAAATACGTGACGAGTTTGGAGATTCATATTTATATTTTAATAACACAAGTCAACAATGACTTTGTGATGTGGGGTTTTTCATATTGTCGGAGTTACAGGGACTAAACTCTTTATCTGAGCCAGACAGTAGAAACCCATGATAGAATTAAAAAAAAAAATTATATCCTATTATCCTAATCTAATAAAGAAACTTCAATTTATTGACCCATGCCTTAAAACTGTTATCTTGCATGCGGCAATGTTCTTGCTTCTGTATCTGTTGTTCATTCTCTGCAAAAAATGACGCTAAGAATGTCTGGAACTGACCAAAGAATATTCTTCGCGAGAGTCTTGTTGATCCACAAAAAGTTCTCTTGCCATCGTTGCCTATTAAATTAGGACTGATGAAGCAGTACGTTAAAGCTTTAGATAAAGTTGTGTGGGACGTTTCTCGATCTCTCAGACGCAAAATTAAACTTTGTGAATACCATAATCGAATGTGTGATAAAGGTTTTCTAGGATACAATAAATACCCAAATTGGAGACATTGTAGAAAACATGTTAGATAAATTTGAGGAAATGGGATACAACATCAGTGTATTGAACGATTTTTACACTCACATCTGGACTACTTTGTTACTTAATTTTGATTTTCAAATTCGGTTTTTGTTCTTTTAATAATAAAAATAATGTTTAAATCAATCGAGATTTTCATTCAATAATCATGTTATTAGAAAACTAACCAGAAAAAACAAAAACCAGATTTTTACATCTTGTATCTCACTCTGTGTATAGTCACTTTTTATCTATAAAATACTTCAGAAATAATGATGTGAAACAGTGCTACAACCCTGAGTGGGACTTGGGTGACGGTACAACTTTTTTCTAACTGACCTGATCCTACGTCAACTTATGATCAAATGTAGAAAACACTATTCTATTGAGACTAAGGAAATTATAAGCAATGTTTATTTGACTCTCATTGAACGTGGTGCCAGCAAGCAAGCATCTTTAGAAGAAACGGCATATTTAAAAATTAGATTAAAAACGCTTCTTACTATCCCTGAATATCGAATGACACTTGTAAAACGATCAATAAATTCATTGTTCTGTTAATGTTAAATACAGACCTAAACTGAGGGAACATTTGTTTCGCTATTATCAATGCTATCACATTTTATTCATATCTCTTTTTCTTTTCGCACCTCCCCTGCATACGCGCACTAACCGCCGGCTTGTGACAGTCACATTTTCTATACGTATTTATCGTTATATTGTTTAAATATTATTTTTATATTTTATTTTTTGATACTGCACGGATGGGTTCTAAACATATTATTTTATGCTTTTTTGTACATCGGGTTAATATACGTTTAATTATTATTCCATTTGTGAGGTCTGGCAAACGGTGATCGAAATAGAAAAAGGAAATTGAGGCGACAACTTCGAAAACAGAACCGTATCTTGGATATGTTCATTAATATTTTTCAAGTATCGGCATCCTTTAGATAAGTAATCAGTATCAGATGGATATGCCTATATAAACACCTGGCTGATATTTCCTAGTCCTATTGATAAATTATCCCGCCATGGCTACCGCACTGATCGTCTTCGTCGTTTGCCTAACGGCTTCCCTAATTCAAGGTAACGATTTCCGACATCGATGCTTGTAGCTCGATGCTGTAATTCCATGGTACATTTTCAGGGGTTCCGCACGGTTCCAAACCGGGGCTAAGGATTGTGGGCGGTGAGGATGCCGACATCCAGGACTATCCCTACCAAGTAGCGTTCTTCAGAGACGACGAACTCGTTTGTCAGGGTTCGATCGTCGCACCCAGCTATGTACTCACCACCGGTCACTGTTACTACGAGTAAGCATCCGCGCCAGTTTGATTTCAACACAGTGTAACCACGCGCGTTTGCAGCATCGAAGGCAATCGCCTCGAAGGCAACTATTCGTTGCGCGTCGGAAGCAGTCAGCTCTCGTCTGGAGGTCAGGTGTTGGCGATCTCTGAAGTAAACTTCTACGAACCTTATCAGATGTTCCTTAACGACTTGGCGTTGCTTAAACTAGAGAGTCCTCTAGAATACGGACCATCTGTTCAAGCCGTTCGATTACCCGAAAAAGACCGAGAGCTGAGAAGCGACGAGCCTGCGGTAGCAACCGGCTGGGGTTCCACCATCGTTTATCCAGAGGCATCTGAGCAGTTGCAACAGGTCGAGCTCAATGTCGTCCTTCACGACGACTGCAAACCGAACTACGGCAAGTGCCGGATATTTCTTTCACCGAATCCGTTTCATTTTAACATTTTAGGAGTTCTTCTCGGCGATAATTCATTCTGCGCTCAGTACGCCCCTGGAGGTAGAGGAATCTGCGCGTACGACAGCGGGGCGCCATTGGTCGCCAACGGGACACTGATAGGTGTGGGAGAAATCAGCTTGGAATGCGGCAACTTTATTGGACTGCCAGGAGGTGCCTTTGCCAACGTCGCCCTCTACAGGGACTGGATAGCGAGCGTTATCGGCGTGTAGAACGAATAAAATATTCTAAACCCACTTTGTAGTTTAATTCTCCGCTTGATAATATGATATACAAGTGGCCGACATTTTCTTTTGTCTAATCAAAGGGCCTTGCCTTTGATTGCCAACGGCACTTTGGTAGGTGAGAGAGAAACTTTGAGGCGAATTTCCATCAGGGTTTTCTCCATTTATTCTACAAGAAAAAGAATTACTCAACTTAAATCCCAAAATACAAAAATGATAACAAAATTAAAAGAACTCTAACCACAGAGGCTGAAAATAATACAGTCTACCTACATTTCAGATAAAAGTATTTTGAGGTCTGCTCAATTCCGATTCACAACAACTTTAGCTTCTGTCGATTCGAAAGGCGCTCACTTGAAATGGTCACCAAAGCTGACAAGTGCTCTTGTCTGGCTATATTGGAGAGGTCGATAAGATTATCGACTCTTTGGCACTGGATGATTTTCACCAGGATCTCAATAATTCTTTCCTTAACAATATAAAAAAGAATTTAGATACAACTTTATCAAACTCGATTTAAAAAAAAAAAAAAAGATTATATCAGCGGTGTCTTTCACGGGTTCACCTTAATTCAATCTAGCTTAGTGGCTTAACATAGTTCTGAGATATTCAACTGACTTTCGGAACATTTACACCACAAAATTAAGCAGAGTTAACCAGTTGAAGAAGAAAAATTATTGATAGTCAATTCTCCACATATTAAATAGTTTACAAAATATATGTGGGTGTTATCTGCATAGTCTGGAATGGTAGCCAATTCTTTACATGAGAAAAATTATTTTATTTGGAATACTTTACCATTTTTGCCGATCTTCTATTAGTTATGAAAAGTAAAAGAATTGAATTCGAGATTTTTAGAAAGGTCAGATCTACTGACGATACAATTTTTCTCCAACTCTCATAAATTTGATTCTTTATTCTACAGACTCCACTTTTAAAGGAAACATTTAATAAGGAATTGACGACGATGCATTCAATAACGGTTATGCACTTTGTTCAATCAACAAATTATTTTATAAACATTATGTAATAAAATCAAAACCTAAAGAAAGTAAATTCCAATGCTTGACAAGTTTCGGTAATATTTTGTTGCACCAAGTCAAATTGTTCAAGAGCATTAATTTATCTATAACGTCAAAACATATTAAAACAATTTATAATGAAAGTTAAGGATCCAATAGATTATTTCTCTAGATCAGGAGTACATAATTTGAACTGTAAGAATTGTAAGGCAATTTATATCCAACGGTCTGGCAGGAAGATGTCCATCTGGGTCACGAACATCTCAGTTTCGTGAAAAAGTACAAGAACACTGAGGCGACAGCGAAAAATCTGCCTTCGCTATTCATCTTTTGTCCACTTATAAAAATGTCATTCTGTTGCGTGAGTGCTCAAAAAGTAAGAAACTAGAAATCACCAAAGCAAAAAAGAGTAGTATGCTTAAGTGCGATAATAAAATTTCTGTCTTCAACTCTGTTGGGACTGTTTTTAGCTGGTTGTAGACCGAAGAAAATACTATAAACCTGAAATATATACCACCTGAGGCACTGAAAGACTAAAGAAATGAAGTAATTAGGTTATTAGAAATCTTTACTATTTAGATTAATTTACATACAATATCCTCGGAGTTAAATTTGTTTATATTTATCAAAGATACAGAGGCTTATAAATATTTTTTATGGAGTTGTCCTTCTATAGGTCAAAACATTTGTTTAATGAATATTTTGTTGAAGTTATATAATAAAAAAAAATAAAATCGACATTAGCAACATGCCCCGATAACATATCACCGGGAAATCAATAAGAATAGACTGTTTCAAATGCCACTATCCTGTCGATAGATATATATTAACCATCCAAGCATAATCAAATATATTAAATTATCTGCCATTTAATAGCTTACATTGATTCAAACCACTACAATCTTCTTTAGCTGCTGAAATTTTCTCAGAATAACTAACCCTAACCCGTAGGGATAGGGATACCTGAATATAAAATATAAAATTGCTTACTGACTGCGTTTGTCATTCGCTTAGCATCCTTACCAAATCCAGAGAGCTGTAGATGTGCATGTATTCCAAGAAGAAAAGCTCACAACTAGAGATGAGAGAAACAATGACTTAGGTTAGTGTGTCGGAAACGAAAGCAGGGGGTACTGGTTGGAACTGAAACGAATAAATGTGAATTTCAATTATCATTTTTAAGCGTATATACTCTTCTTCGTTTTTGTTTTTACGTCTTTCATAAATCAGTTGTAATATTTGGTCTGTCATTCATGGCTTTTTCTTTTTCAAAACTTCCTTGGGCATAAATTCTTCTCCTCCCTTTATTACAGAATTCTTGATATTTCTCCACTCTTTCTTGACGCTGTCTTAACCCTCTGTTTGTTGACTCTTTGTGCCCGACTCCCTCCCGACTGTTGGTATTACCGCTTTTGGTTAGTTTCAAACGATTCTATGTATCTTTTTTGTTCTTGTCAGTGTTTTAATTTTAATTCTTAGATTTATGACAACCGGATTGGAATCTGAGCCTATATCGCAACCGGGGTATGCGTGGTATTGCGAGGATTTGCATGTATATTTATATTTTCTTAACATTTTCAAAAATTAACCAGTACCCCCTGCTTTCATTTCCGACAGACTAACCTAAGTCATTGTTTCTCTCATCTCTAGTTGTGAGCTTTTCTTCTTGGAATACATCCACATCTACAGCTCTCTGGATTTGGTAAGGATGCTAAGCGAATGACAAACGCTGTCAGTGAGCAATTTTATATTTTATATTCAGGTATCCCTATCCCTACGGGTTAGGGTGTTTTTCTGAGAAAATTTCAAGTGAGCGCCTTTCGAATCGACAGAAGCTAAAGTTGTTGTGAATCGGAATTGAGCAGACCTCAAAATACTTTTATCTGAAATGTAGGTAGACTGTATTATTTTCAGCCTCTGTGGTTAGAGTTCTTTTAATTTTGTTATCATTTTTGTATTTTGGGATTTAAGTTGAGTAATTCTTTTTCTTGTAGAATAAATGGAGAAAACCCTGATGGAAATTGGCCTCAAAGTTTCTCTCTCACCTACCAAAGTGCCGTTGGCAATCAAAGGCAAGGCCCTTTGATTAGACAAAAGAAAATGTCGGCCACTTGTATATCATATTATCAAGCGGAGAATTAGGCTACAAAGTGGGTTTAGAATATTTTATTCGTTCTACACGCCGATAACGCTCGCTATCCAGTCCCTGTAGAGGGCGACGTTGGCAAAGGCACCTCCTGGCAGTCCGATAAAGTTGCCGCATTCCAAGCTGATTTCTCCCACACCTATCAGTGTCCCGTTGGCGACCAATGGCGCCCCGCTGTCGTACGCGCAGATTCCTCTACCTCCAGGGGCGTACTGAGCGCAGAATGAATTATCGCCGAGAAGAACTCCTAAAATGTTAAAATGAAACGGATTCGGTGAAAGAAATATCCGGCACTTGCCGTAGTTCGGTTTGCAGTCGTCGTGAAGGACGACATTGAGCTCGACCTGTTGCAACTGCTCAGATGCCTCTGGATAAACGATGGTGGAACCCCAGCCGGTTGCTACCGCAGGTTCGTCGCTTCTCAGCTCTCGGTCTTTTTCGGGTAATCGAACGGCTTGGACGGACGGTCCGTACTCTAAAGGAGTCTCCAGTTTAAGCAGAGCCAAGTCACTGAGGAACATCTGATACGGTTCGTAGAAGATTACTTCAGAGATCGCCAACACCTGACCTCCAGACGAGAGCTGACTGCTTCCGACGCGCAACGAATAGTTGCCTTCGAGGCGATTGCCTTCGATGCTGCAAACGCGCGTGGTTACACTGTGTTGAAATCAAACTGGCGCGGATGCTTACTCGTAGTAACAGTGACCGGTGGTGAGTACATAGCTGGGTGCGACGATCGAACCCTGACAAACGAGTTCGTCGTCTCTGAAGAACGCTACTTGGTAGGGATAGTCCTGGATGTCGGCATCCTCACCGCCCACAATCCTTAGCCCCGGTTTGGAACCGTGCGGAACCCCTGAAAATGTACCATGGAATTACAGCATCGAGCTACAAGCATCGACGTCGGAAATCGTTACCTTGAATTAGGGAAGCCGTTAGGCAAACGACGAAGACGATCAGTGCGGTAGCCATGGCGGGATAATTTATCAATAGGACTAGGAAATATCAGCCAGGTGTTTATATAGGCATATCCGTCTGATACTGATTACTTATCTAAAGGATGCCGATACTTGAAAAATATTAATGAACATATCCAAGATACGGTTCTGTTTTCGAAGTTATCGCCTCAATTTCCTTTTTCTATTTCGATCACCGTTTGCCACACCTCACAAATGGAATAATAATTAAACGTATATTAATCCGATGTACAAAAAAGCATACAATAATATGTTTAGAACACATCCGTGCAGTATCAAAAAATAAAATATAAAAATAATATTTAAACAATATAACGATAAATACGTATAGAAAATGTGACTGTCGCAAGCCGGCGGTTAGTGCGCGTATGCAGGGGAGGTGCGAAAAGAAAAAGAGATATGAATAAAATGTGATAGCATTGATAATAGCAAAACAAATGTTCCCTCAGTTTAGGTCTGTATTTAACATTAACAGAACAATGAATTTATTTAAATACAAGACAACACAGATCGTTTAATAACAAAGTCTCAAACAATAGTTAAGGCCATTTATTTTTGGAAGATCTCTTCCTCGTGGACCAAAAACTTCATTTAGTGGATTTTCTTGTACATACCATGTCCAGGTTGGTCCTTTTTGGGAAAGTAGTCCAGATGTGAGTGTAAAAATCGTTTAATACACTGATATTGTATCCCATTTCCTCAAATTTATCTAACATGTTTTCTACAATGTCTCTAATTTGGGTATTTATTGTATCCTAGAAAACCTTTATCACACATTCGATTATGGTATTCACAAAGTTTAATTTTGCGTCTGAGAGATCGAGAAACTTCCCACACAACTTTATCTAAAGCTTTAACGTACTGCTTCATCAGTCCTAATTTAATACGCAATGATGGCAAGAGAACTTTTTGTGGATCAACAAGACTCTCGCGAAGAATATTTTTTGGTCAGGGAGTTAAATTAAATATGGGTTAAAACTCGGACGCCTCAGCGTTGCTTTCTTCTACTAAACAGAGTATTTTTATCGTTGATTTACAATTGGGGTTTAAGCTGATTTTAAAATTTCCAATATCTTTGAAGGAATACTGCAAATATTTTTAAGGTTTTAAAGTTACTATGAAATTAAACTAAAACTAAAAATTTTATTTTTATTGTGATTTTATGTGGTTTTGTTAGTGTTGGTCTGCTTAACGTAATAAGAAAATGATTTATGTAGCTTAAAAACAAAGTTATTGTTTTAAGAATTCAAAAATATAATACAGCGCACAGAGAAAATTCAAATGGTTCTTGTCAATTAACCTGCAGGTATTATTAGAAAACTACCAAAAAAAAAACAAAAAATAAACTTTTACATCTTGAATCTCACTCTAGAGCTCCAACCCTGGGTGCGTCTTGGCTCACTTTTTTAACTGACCCTGTCCTCCGTCAACTTATAATCAAAAGGGATGTTAATTTTATGGAGGCCTGATTTGATGTCGCATATTTATCTTGAATATCGGAATTGTTAAATAACAGCTTGTATAATCCTTTATATCCTATCCTATCCTATATATCCGTTCTCTGTAGGGCTGCCAAGATAGCTTTACGTGTTTTTGCAATACCAGTATATTAAAATGGAAAATTTAAAAAAGAAAAAAGTTAATTTCAATTCTAAGCGAAAGATTTTGCAAAGTTTATACCAGTCTCGTCTTGACAAGGGTCTGAAACTGAGAGTAACTGAAACTGAAAGAATCTCTCTTCGCGAGAAACACCTGGACTCGGTTTTCCAGGGCGATTACGTCCCTTTATCGAAAGCTTAGCTTACATAAGAAGTATCCAGGGAGTATCGGAGAGTATCAGAAAGTATCGGAGGTTAAAAATAAAAAAAGCAAACTAATGTTGAGATTGGAGTTCCATAAAATGGGATGTAGACGACGACTATATTGAAAAATATAAAAACCAAACCACAAAACAATACTGGCCGAATTGCAAGCCATGCTTACACAAAAGAATCGTACCGAATACAAAATAAACCTTAAATTATACATCAAAATAAGGTTTATATGGAGGATTGGAATTGGAAAAATGGACTTTAACGGCGGCTCCAAATCAACGCGAAATTTAACCGTCGCCAGATTATACCACAACACCGTCGTCGGCAAGTAAGAGTTCTGTTAAGCCTTTGGAACATAACCATAGTTTATAAGATCACCTACCCATAAGAATTCGGACAAACAAATACGAATTCTATGGAACACTCAAAAATATTGATCAAAATATGGATTGTTGTGAAAAAAGTAATAGGCCTTTCAGAATTCTAATATTTATTCGAAAATGCCAAATTTGTCAATGTTGTTAAATTAAGAACATACTGAAACATGTAGAAACAGTATTGCTTTCTAAAAACACTTTATCAAGATTTTTTTATGAAGGCACAATATCACATGTTTACACATGTACGTTTTAAATGGCTTAGTAGGCCTTGAAAACAAATGCCGCTTTAAGTATTTGACAACTGATGTCAGTCCTGTTAATTAGTTTAGACCTGTACATGCAATGTAGAATGTTTGTGTTTTCTCTGCGATTTGACAAGAAGTGAGGGGATAAGTACCATTAATATTTAATTTTTCAAATTCTATAGAGTAAAAAAATATCAAGGCCAACGAGTGCCAAACAAAAATATACATTTTTTATTAGGCAAGGGTGTAAACTACTAAAAATTGTTAGCCAAAAATGTCGAAAATAGTCGCAAAGCTTATACCAGTTAAAAATGTCAAAATATTAACAATTAATATGCTCTTAAAGTTGTTTATCGCATGTATTGCTTGCGCAATGAGCCAATTATAATGCATTATTTTTATACATATCGTTTTCATTTTATATACACGTTTAAACTCAAAGTTGCAAGATTGCTTTTGTTTTTTCGTTTTTACAAATGTACGAAATATCGAAAAAAAACGTTGTTTCAATTCTGGAGTGTATCTAATAAGAAAAACCTTGTAGAATAAATATTTAAAATATTTAAGTCTTTACTCGTGGTATTATATGCCCATAAAAAATATGACATAGGTCGCATTTTTTATTTGCGGGTTTCGTCTGTCACACACACTGCTCGCGATATTTTAGAAAATCCACCATTCCTCGGGTTCAGTCAAGACGCGATGACGTCATTGATTATTACAGAGCGCTGCATGGTTTTAGAAAAAACTTATTTTCTCGAAAAGGTGGAAGATCAGAGCTATAAGCTCCATTTCTGGATTTTTTTCAATTATGTACAGGGTGTGTCAATTAATGGTAAATATATCTGAAATTGCCGTTATCGTGCATAAATTGTTAGCCGCAAGTGTAATACTATAAAACATGGGATAATTTGGTTAATACAGTGTCGTAACTGTATCTAGATAGTTTCAGGTTTTGTTAATCATACAGGGTGCGCGAGATACTTGGAATAAAATCATTGAAAGTCGTTACTACTTGTACAGTTTTTTATATTTATCAAAGTTTGTCGTGACTTTGAAATTCGGCGATACGTGAAAGACGCTTTATACGGGGTGTATGCATAATTACATCAATTTTGCGAAAGTTCCATTGTGGTCCGCAGGAATATCATGGAAAAACAATGCGTCTTTCAAGCGCAAAGCGACTCGTTTTTGAAATACATTTTTCGAAAGCAGTCTTGTTATTGTATGTATGGCACTGTAAAACCCGACTAATGTTATTTATTGTTTGTAAATTACTACAAGGTAATTTATTATTAGCCAAGCTGTAGGGCTAGGACCATGGAATGTTTTAAGGAATAAATTAACATAAATTCAGATTTAAGGAAGACATTTGATATTAAAAAATTAGATTAAAAAAATATTCTTACTATCCCTAAATGTCGAATGGAACTTGTAAAGCGATGTTGTTCGTGCTTCGTTGTCGTTCCATTTTCTAAACCCATTTATGGTTATGTTGTTGAAATATTATTTTTAGGTTTTATTTTTTGAGGCTGCAACAGCCCCAACCATTTAACGCTTTGGTTTCTTTTTTTGTCTGTGATCTATTAATTATTATTATCATTCTGTGTCGCGTTTTAAATTTATCCATAACTTTCGGGCCACCTGGTATCAATCGAGGGTTGATCCATCATTAGACTCGAGCGGGACTGCGACCGCCCGCAAAAAATCGGCTGACGCAATAACCCTCTGTGCAAGAGGCGTTTCTCAATCTGTTCGCTGCGGACAATTACATATGGCCGCCGAATTAGACACGTTTTCGATCGATCGCGGCGTGCAAATCGAGAGAACGTGTTTGGAGCGGGCAAAAGGATCCTTGCGCACCATTGCGGTCGAGTTTTTTTGCACCTGCTTTTGCCAAAGACGGTATGCTAATAGAAAACGCCAGGCGGAAAAAAAACGAAACGTTTAATGCAAAAACCGTGCTTTACTAAAAATATCTAGTTCTTCCGGGGCGACATCATGTTCAGGGGGTCCTTGTTGTATCGCGCGAAGATCTCGCGCTTGAAATTGTCGAACTGTTTGCGGTTCATGCTGTTCTGGTGCTCGCGCCAAGATGGCCGCGTGCGTTTCACCTGCAAACCCCAGTGGCACGTGAAGATGGGCGACAGCACGAGGAACTCATATCCTGCCACGTACATCTCGTATACCTGACGCAAAAAGAAAATGTATTATAGTAAATGGGACTATAATAATAATAATACACTTTATTTCCATACGACTTACATTGTAAGTATAGAATAATGTCAAAATACACAACTAATAAAGATACACAACATTTTTAAAATAACACATAGAGGTATAAAAAATAAACACAAATTGAACTGAAGTGGCTTTTACTCGATGAAAATCCATTTATCGAAATAAATAAGAACTAAAAGTTGAGATTTTCGCAAAATTATATACTTTTACATGACAATTGTTTCGACAACACCGTGTCTTTATCAAATGTAATATTTACAAACTACCTGGTAATATATATAAAGTCTGTTCATAGATATAAGAAAGTGACTAACTGATACGAATTAAGGAAAGACCCGGGCAAGCTGTAAGAATGAAATATGGCCGGACAGGTCCGCACTTTGCTTAGAATTTAATTATTTGGGGTCTTGTTAGGAAAGATACTAAACAATATTTATTTATTTATGTATGTATTTATGTTTAAATCTAAAATAAAATTACAAATTATTTTTATTACCCACATAAATTACTTAAAATTATTCACATAATACATCAGTATCACTATCGCTATCATCGCTTGTTCTAATTATTATTTGTTCTATATTATTTGCAATATGGATATACGATTGTTCTGCTTTTTCTGTATGTTTAACAGAATTTGCCCAACTTTGCGGAGGGATGTTGAAAACTTCGGATTCTATAAGTTTAAGGACATTGGAGTTCAATGGGATTAATGGGATTAAATATACAGTGGTGGTGGAAGCCTCAAAACTGTATGCCCTAAATTTTTTGCATAATTATCACAGACGTATTCCTTTTGTAGGTTCAACCTTTGTAGAACCTCAATTAATTGTTTTTTGGTATAATCTTCGTGAAAATAAATGTCGTTATTATACATGTAGTTTTGGATTGTTGCTTTTGTGTCACATGAGGAAGGGATTTTAGTCAACCGTCTACTGTGCTAACTTGCATTGTCCGTTGCAACTTTCAAATAAATCAGCGGTAGTGTCTTCATGGTAATCCAGAGAAGAATCTTTATATATTTTTCGCCCACAGAGAAAGTCCATTTGGAATCCAACCATCTTCAGAGCCAGTATGCAAAATAGTTATTCTTTTACCTCTTTTTGTTTGTTTCGTTTTACACTTATCAGTTGAGTCAACCCAACCCTTTTCCAGGGTATCATAAGTGTCGAAGCAGGTTTCATCCAAGTAAATAATTGACCTTTGTTCTCTGCAAATCCTATTTTTTTCTAGATATTCCAGTCGCCATTTCCGAATTCCTTAGTCTTAATAGAATAGTATTTTCTGCATTTGGGCGGGAGCATCTCCTGAGATACACTAGACTCACACATATTTTGCATAATTCGCACACGATTCGACGCACGCTGTATTACACACGAAATAAGAATGATTACTAATAAACTTAAACTAAGTAGTATACCAAACCAAAGAATATTAAACACAGGTAGGTATAAAATTGTTTTGTATTACGGACCACATTTTTACCTGAATTTAAATTCCGAAACTATAGGTAATAATCTTGTCGCATTGTATGTTAATGACCACCCTTCGATAATCCCATTCAAAAGCAATTGGTCACTTTCTTATATCTATGAACAGACCATACCGGAAAATGACAATAAAACCTTAAATAATGTTGTTAGGAGAATTTAAGTTCAATAACGGAGAGATATTTACATCTAATCGATCGTTAAGCAATACATTTGAATGTTTCATTTTGTTAATCTCTGACTGAAGTATTTCTGGACTTAGCCAAGGCCTGTGGCACTTTGGCAGACTTCATAAAATAACTATTGAAGAAATAGTGTATGACTCATTTTAATCCTATCTTAGTGATAAAACACACTGCGTAAATATATCCAAAGTTGATCAGATTTGATCCATTTTTATTCAGTATATATAAATGGTATATTACTACTCAATGACAGTCCAATTTTTTCTTATTCAGATGAAACTATATTGATAGAAATCTTTATTGCGGCTTGTTGTCGTTGGACGTGGAACGTAGGAATCTCCACAATATTCGGAGTATAACACTCCATAACCAAGATTTCTGGGAGTTTATTTCGATGAGAACTTGAATTTTGAAGAATCGTGTAGGATTTACAAGAAAAAAAAATGAAGTTCTATGAAATGAATGAAATATATCGCGTTTTCTAACTCTTATAAAAGTATATTATGTTGAGTCGGTACTTAACTATGGAGAAGTTATATGGGGAAATTCTTCCAAATCCGTATTATCGGCGCTACACATAGCGTAAAAATATATTATTAATAATTAAAATAATTAAGTACTAAAAGTTCAGATTTTCACGAAATTATATATTTTGACGTGACAATTGTTTCGACAACACCGTGTCTTTATTGCATTTGTAACTTTTGCTTCAGTGGCGAGCAGTTTTTTTGAGAAAATTATTGCAGCTATAGCCCATGCCGACGTTGTCCAAGTTGTCCAAACTCTTTTCCAATTAAAATATGTACTATCTTTTTCCCTCCAAATTTTATTGGAATATTTACAGTCGCTTTAAATAAAATTATAAATTTTGATGTAAATCAAAGGCATAAAAATTCTTTAACACCCTGTAGCTACGAAACCTAACCAATAAAATCAGAAACGCTTCATTTTTACGGGAATCTACCCTAAAGCGATGACACATTTTAGATATAGTGACCTAAATATAAAGATTGGTAACGCAAATCTAAGAGTTTTATATCACATAACACAAAATACGGAAAGCTATGAAACAAAAAAACTTGACCTCTTTTCCTAATCTAACCAAAACGAGTAACTCCATAACCACTGAATTTTTATATGCAAGGGTATCTTTTTATGGCACAAAAAAATCTAAATAGAAAAAAGTTTGGTGGCAAAATGTAACCATTTCAATCACCAATAACTTCTACGACTAAACCAAAGGTACTAAATTTAAGGTTCCTTACACACAAAAAAAAACATTTGTGGGGGAAGCAAATAAATAATTTTTGGGGCCTCTTTTATCAAGGTGTTTAATAACCAATGTAACATTATTGTTAAATATTCGAGCGTTTAAGTTGGGATTTCATGTAAAAACACTTGATATTTGAACGGAAACAGAAATCGCCAAGGCCTCTTCTAATCTTATCTCACACGAAGTTGAATGTAGCTACTCTCGATTAGAATCCTCACCGACGGTTAGCTATCGCGATGACTTGGCTCTTTCAACATTGAATATACACAACTTAGGCGTTTCTTCGAATGGATAAAAAAGTCTAAAAAACCTTCACGCACTTTGAAAATACTTTCGCACATACCAACATTGTTTTCTCTATTCCTGCTGGTTTTTGAATTCGATTTAATCGGTAAAGGTATGAGAATTTAAAGCTAATCATAACTAACCTGCGTGTTTCTCGTGTATCCGTAACCGATGAACCGCTCGTCGTGCATGGGGGCGGCGTCGAAGGCAATGTAAAACGGCTCGTAGAGGAACTCGAAATTAGTCACGCTATGACTGACCGTCACCTCCTGGTCGCCATCTTTATACTGCTGCCACCTGGACCACAAAAACGCCAGATTGAGCCCGTACCGAACCACCCCGTGGTTCACCTACCTCGAAAAATTGGTAGCGTACTGGTTGTATATAAACACTTTGTGATGAAAGGGCCTGGCGAGGCCCTTCTTGGCCAGCCGTATCAAATCAGTCTTATTGGGAGGGAACAGGACCCTCTCGTCTATCTCGTACGTAGGCACCACGTATGCGCATTTCTTTTGGCATTTTTGCTTTGGCAGAAAGTCGTTCAACCGTTCGGCCATCCCCTTGCTGGGGACGATGTCCACGTCGGTGAGGAACACGTGCCTGGCGTGGCAATTTTTTCTCGCGACGTTGCGCAGATGGTTCTGCGGATACGCCACCCTGGCTTTCCACGAGGGATAAACCTAGATACGATTAGGACGTAGGTCTTGCTAAAAGGGTTCGTTTAAGTACCTTCTCTTGCGTTTCCTTCTGGAGAATCTTCAAGACTCCGACCGGGTTGCCGCACTCGAGCCTCTCTAGCCTCTCCTCGTCTACGTGATATTTCTTGGGGCCATTTTCCGCCGGTACCACCAAGTGGAAAGCGATCTTGTCCCTTATGCGATCGTTGCATTTCCTAAGGTAGAGTATGTACAGCAGGAGACGGTTCAGCTCCTTCTCTTTAGTGGCGAACACCGCCAAGGATATGGGACCGCCTTGAACGAAAGCACCAATAAGGAGTTGCTGGAGTTAAATTTGGTACTAACCCCAGTAAAGGCTGACCTCGATTATGGACGCCAGCTTGTCCAACGAGCTTTGAGTCGCCAAGCAAGTGGAGAAAACTTTATTCAGCTCCGCAAACCTGTCGCCCACGATGAGGTTGTCGAAAATTTTGTATTTGAGCTGGTTGTCCAGCCTACCGAGGTCGAGATTTAGGTTCCCGAAGCTGCGGGGGGGACGATCGGTCCGGACGGTGTTCTCGATACTTTGGGGATTCATTTCGCATTGCTTGTGAACGATTTTGGAGGTGGAATCATCGGCTGTGGCCGGCAAAGTCGCGCAGGTTGCCGAATACATGAGCTTCACCGAGAGAAATATGTTGTAGATTGTCAGGAAGACCAACATGGATATGCTTAAGTTCCATAGACCCCATTTTGCCTGCAATGACATTTATGAAGTTTAGGGGCTCTTGTCGTAACCATGAGCGAAAAGGTTCACGAAAGTATAGTCGTAAAATTCGAATATAATTCGGGTACCATTATCTCACCCAATGTAGCGTCGATAGTAGTAATTATTATACATTGTTATGGGCTACACGGTCGTTATTTTGTGGTTTAATTGCAGCTTTTAGTTCATCCTCATTACTGCGACCAGAACCTGACGCAAAAGTGGAGTTTGACGTTTAACTTTAAAAATGTGATTAAAATTTGAATGCGAAATGGCGTAATGCTGACGTTACTTTATATATAGACTAAATAGTACACTTATCTCAGCAGATTCCTAATACATGATAACTCCTTCGACGTTATCTCCGGCATTTAACAGCACTTACTTGAATGACAGCATCTGGACTTGTGTACTAGTACCAACACCAGTTGTTTTGTTGTGTGAATCATCATTGTCCATCATCTTTGAAAACATTTTTTGTCATGGTTGTTATTTTGTGCTCCTACGAACTTTCCAACCTAGTGAGGAGGCAGTGGTGGATTGGTCAAAAGAATATTTCTATCACAATCACCTTTTTCGTAGGTTGCATCAGGAGAGAAAGAGAGAGAGACATATGTCACTTTTTGGCACTAAAGAACCTGCGCGTAACAATGCGTCGTTCGTAGACCGACAAAGTTTTAGAGTGTGGGTAAGGTTTATGCAAAAATAATCGCGTTACAGGGTGTGAGAGAGTCTGCAAGCTTTTTTCGTTATCTTAAAATTTGTAAAAAAAAGCTATAGACAAAATAGTTGGAGATAATTTTCTTGAAATTGTGGACATCTAAGATCCTTTTGAGATAAGTGTGCAAAACTTACATTTTGATCACACAAAAAAATAAATTACTAAGGAAAATTAAATTGATTCACTTTTAAGTTTTTGGAAAAACGCCAGATGAACTTTGTCGCTCGTCATTTCCTGACATTCTGTCTACAGGGAGTTCTTTGAAGAAACCCTGTAGAATCATCAATAATTTCGTACCCAAATGTTATTTTTGCACGTATCGGAAACATCTTTTTCCATCAATCAAGAAACATTTTGGATTTGACAGCCATATCTGGCTAGACACCCTTATCTACCCGTTTATCTGCAACAATTATTCTACAAACTAGTCTCTCAGATAATCAAATATCACTATTAACGACTAATACTCGGCCCGCCACAAGGTTATCTTATCAAACTCTATGCCATTCCTAATACCGACAGGATTAAAGACTTGTACACACTCTACGACAAAGCGTACCAGATGCATCGGTCAGTTTTAAATTTATCGGACTGTTTCACCACTCCTTCAGGGACATTTTGCTGCATTCGGGTCACATTTCGAGCACGAGGGTTGTTTCGAACGCGAATACCGAGCACAAACTGGAACAAAGACAGCCTCGATGCGCCTGTCACGCAGCTTTCCGCACCCCCGCCGCCGTATCGATCCCCGGCGGCGGCATCCCGTGGGAATCGCGAGACTTTGGGCGCCTTTTTTTAGCTGATTCGCGTGACACTATCGCCAAACGTACTTCCTGATCCTTAATAAACCTTGTATGTCGACATTGCGTGGTAATTGTGGATATTTAGCTAAAATTGCGATTTTAATAGACCATACGGTACCACCCGAATTGATCAGATCGGATGCAGACGTCCCATAGTAATGATATTGCCCGTTGCGGTCATTTTGTGCCTGTCCCGTAAGTTATTTTTTTTATATATTCACGAAGTCGGGAAGTATATGTATGTATGTATATATATATATATATATATATATATATATATATATATATATATATATATATATATATATATATATATATATATATATATATATATATATATATATATATATATATATATATATATATATATATATATATATATATATATATATGGTGACTCCTGCTTGGCCCTACTCACTTAATAGCAACGTTTAATGAACCATAGGGTATCATTCTATTCATTTGTCGTGATATTACCTATCGTGATCATTTTGTGTCAGATTCCTTAGCACTGAGGCCTAAAAGTAAGAATGTGCTTCCTGCCTGTCACTGCTCACTTAATAGATTCGTTTAATCGACAATACATTACTCTCCTAATTACTCAGATCGTATGTGGATATTCTACATCGTGATCCCTTAACACTGAGGACTAAAACTTAAATTGTGCTTCCTGGTTGTCCCTACTCACTTAATAGATTCGTTTAATGGACAATACAGTGCTCCCCTAATTACTCAGACCCGATGTGGACATTTTCTAGTCGTGGTGTTATTTATCGTTACCCTTTTGTGTCAGATCTATTAGCACTGAGGCCTAGAAGTAAGATTGTGCTTCCTGCTTGTTCCTACACACTTAATAGATTCGTTTAATCGACAATACTTTTCTCTCCTAATTACTCAGATCGTATGTGGATATTCTACATAGTGATCCCTTAACACTGAGGACTAAAACTTAAATTGTGCTTCCTGGTTGTCCCTACTCACTTAATAGATTCGTTTAATGGACAATTCAGTGCTCCCCTAATTACTCAGACCCGATGTGGACATTTTCTAGTCGTGGTGTTACTTATCGTTACCCTTTTGTGTCAGATCTATTAGCACTGAGGCCTAAAAGTAAGATTGTGCTTCCTGCTTGTTGCTACACACTTAATAGATTCATTTCATGGACCATACCTCTTAATTACCCAGTTCGGATGTGGACATTTCCTAGCCGTGATATTACCTATCGTGAACCCTTTGTATCAGATCCCTTAGCACTGATGCCTAAAAATATGCTTACCCTGCTGACTTCATAGATTCATTTAATGGTACCTTAATTTCTTTTTTTTTAATTTTCACAAGTCGGGATCGATCCAATAGCACTGTGGCTTCCAGCTTGTCGCTACTCACTTAGTAGTTAGTGGGTGATATGGTACCAGCTGAATTAGCGAACGGTGACAACCTATTTCAGAACTAGATAGAGCAAAATTTACTTACATGTCATGGGCTCGATTTTTGAAAAACATTTAATAGTCAAAGCTGTCTGGTGATATCTTCACCACCAATCGAGATGTCCGACTTTTTTCAATTTTGGGTCCTTTGGAAAATTGCCCATCACTTTTCTATTTATGAAAATGTTGAATTCTGAACAAAACATTATTAGGACATTTTTTAAGGCAAATGCAGTGGCGGACTCAGTTTTTTTCTAAAGTTCTCCGTTTTAGCATAAATGTGGAAGACAATTTAATATGCTTTACTATGAGTTCAAATTTGTCAAGGGTGCTGATCTTTTATATGCGTAGCTACGATTAAACAAATGAAACGTGTTCTTGCAGTAGTTGTAGAGACAGTAACAAAATTGTATACTTAAATCAATCGCCTTTGCGTGTTATCTTGATGCATACGACCTCAAAAAACCGATCAAATTATCAACAACAGCTCTATGAAGCGTGGCTATTAGTGGATAGTAAGAAGAAGACTGAAGGAAAATAACCCGACCTCAAAAGCAACTGCAATGGGTTCAAAACTTACTACAGCTCATCGACAGGCACGCCTACGCTTTGTACGGGATCATCTAACTTGGACATTGGACTAATGGGGGTCTGTTCTGTTCTCAGATGAGACGAAGTCGTGACCGACGAAAAAAAGTGTACCGAAGACGAGGAGAGCGATTTGCAGAATGCTTATGGAAGTGGTTCCTGCAAGATATGGGGTGCAATTTCTATGGATGCACGAATCAACCCTGTTTTCATCCGAAGGGGCGGCCGATCAAGGGACAGGAGGTTTAACAGGTGCTAGGAACATCGAGGATATTTTATTAGATCGCGTGGTACCATTGGAGAAGAATTATTTTTTATGCATGACAATGCTAAGCCGGAAGGATCGGTTTTCGAGTTATGGAGTGACCAGTGGACGTAGAATTTCAGCTAGACTTCGTACCCCAACCTCGATCCCAGAGCTTATTGTTGCAGTAGAGGAAGAGTGGCTTAACCTTCTGCAAGAACCAATAGTGAACTTAATTAGATCTATGCCTAATCGAGTAAGCGATGTTACTAGGGCAAGATGGTATCATACCCATTATTAATAGATAAATATTGAGTTGTTAATTTGCCAATAACCCTATTGACTTTTCGTAATTAAAATAAAATTATTAAAAAGCAGAAACAAATTTAAATCAATTTTAATTCGTATTAAAGCATATTAAACCCCAAAAGTTCACAATGGGCCGCTTTCTTTGCACCCAAGTTTATTAAACCAAATCTTAAACATTGCAGCATTGCCGGGGAGAGGCGGGGACCCCAAAATCGTCGGCGGTACCGCCACCGACATAAAAAACCACCCATACCAAATCTCGCTGCAGTATGGGAAGCGCCATATATGCGGCGGTACCATTTTGAGTACGAAATACGCGTTGACGGCGGCGCACTGCACCGAGGGCTTAATGGCGGCGTCCATGGCGATCAGGGCGGGATCGTCGACGTCGTCAAGCGGGGGACAGCTCGTCAAGGTGCTGACGGTACGTCAACATCCGAAGTTCGACTCGAGGCGCGTAGATTACGACGTTTCGGTGTTGGAAGTGGCTCCTCAGTTTATATTTAGCGAGAGTGTGAGGAGTTTAGTACCGGCAAATAGCGAGCCAGGCGAGGGCGGCTTGGTAACTGTTACCGGTTGGGGTACTACCAAGGAAACATCCGACTTTCTACCCGACCGACTGAGGGTCACCCAGGTGGCCATCGTTGAATGTAGCCCTGCAGTTTTAATTTCATTTTGATGCATTTCCAGATTCCGGTGGTCGGCAGAACTAAATGTAGGCTGTCGTACGCCAGGCTGGGTCAGATTACCGATAGGATGATCTGCGCCGGTACCCACGACGAAAAAATACCAAAAGTTGACCAGACAAGCAGTTAACCAAATGCTCGTGGCTGCTTATCTCGTCTCCTTAGGGTTCTTCCAGATTAAAATCCGGATCGTTTTCAGGGGTTTTGGGGCAAGGCGGGAAAGACTCGTGCCAGGGCGACTCGGGAGGACCCCTGATCGCGGGCGGGCGGCTGGCGGGGGTGGTTTCGTGGGGGTATGGGTGCGCGAGGCCAAGGTACCCCGGAGTATACGCGAGTGTCGCGAACAAAGAGATCAGGACCTTTATCTCTAGAACGGCTGGCGTTTAAAAACCAAGGAGAAGGGTGGTCTTGGTTGTCTATCTTTATAATAAAACAGCACGTTCCATAAATACGAGCATTTATTTTTTATTTTCACTACAAAAGAATCACGCGATACGAGCGACGGTCCTGATGAACCTGCTAAGCACGGGAACGTTCGAATACACTCCGGGGTACTCGGGCCTGGCGCATCCGAATCCCCAGGAGACGACGCCCATGAGTACCCCGTCGATCACGAGTGGTCCGCCCGAGTCCCCTTGACACGAATCCCTGCCCCCTACTCCCAAAAATCCGGCGCAGAACATCCTGTTGGTTATGGGTTTGAATAGGTACGCCGCTTGGCACTGCCTGTTGGTCACCACCGGTATCCTCACCACCTGCAGGATATCGCCCAACGGTCCGCTCTCTCGAACGCTGCCCCAGCCTGCAAAATAGTTTTGGTGATAACAATTACAGGTCTAAAGCTATCACCAATAGTAGCGAATATATTTATGCAAGTCTTTGAGATGAAAGCTCTCGAAATCTTCCATCTAAAACTAATGTACAAGGGAGCCAATATTTGGCCACCTAAAAATTTACGATAATAGTGTTGAACTTGTGACTTCTATATTATTAAAACATTAAAAAGATATTTACAAATAATTCTGAAGTATTATGCAGCAATCGTTTCGAATTTACCTTACTAATTTTGCTAGAAAGTAATATTCTGTTACATAAGGTGTTCATGTATGACCTACAGGAAATTTGAGGTGACTTATCTTTGAACTCCATAAATCAACCCCAAGCGTGAGTTTTGAAGTTGTTGGATTCGTTTTTTATGAACAACAACAACATAGAGTCGCAAAACAGGCCCAATAAATTAGTTTTAAAGTACCATAAACGTTTTTTTCAGTTTTTCAGTTACATGATGACGAAAACGAAGTTTGAAGGGGAGAATCATTAATCGTCAAGAACAGCTGAAAATTACAGCTGCAGATTTAATAGGATTAATTTTGAGTAGATGATCCGCAGGAATATGACAGGAAGTTATTTAAATGAGAATTTAAATTCACTAATTCAAATTGCGGTTACTTTTCACTAAGCGTGCATCAAAATAAACGTCAGATTCTTGTCAGATGAGGTTACCAGAGCAATTCCATGTACGATCTAAGTTAGACAAACAGTCAAGTCATTAGCGCGAGATCATTATCTAAATTATGCCATTAGCAGGTGACGCGTTAAAACAAAGTCATTGACTCGGCGCACAAAGTGACCGTGACGTACCGGTAACCGTGGCGATCCTTCCCACAGGAACGCTACTTGAAATTGTGGGGAGCAGCACCGGTGCGGCATTGTCCGAGGTGACGTCTTCCCCAAGCTCCAACACGGCCACATCGAAATCCATTGTAGCGGCGGAATAACTGGGGTGCACGTGCGTCTTGACCACCCGCACCACTTGTCCGTAGCGCCCTCTAAACGAGGAACCCGCCCTTACGTATAGTGAATCTCGGCGGGCACAATGTGCCGCCGTTACGGCCATATCGCGGGCGACCAGGGCCGCTCCGCAAATGTGCTCGCCTCGGTAGATCAGCGATAGCTGGTAAGGGTGGTCTCTTATGTTTGCTGGTGCGCCACCGACTATACGGCCGTCCAGGAAAAGACCGGTAGTCGATTGGTGGTTTAGTTCTTGATGGCAACCCGCACCTACTGAGAACACGGCGAAAAAAATGAGAAGGTACGCCATATCACACCGAACAGTAGGTGCGATCCAAAAGTGTCTCGTTAAATACGTTTTTTATTAATGAGCCGGCGCGGATGTGGGACATCGAAACGAGAGCACCATTTTGGTTTTCCCGTTGCTGGTAAGCGAAAATAAACGACCATGCCCACGACCTTTGCATTCCTTGGCGATAGTCACTCCAGGTGCACCTATAGCAACGCATTCACGATCATTGTTTTTATTTTAGATATTTTTGTGGATTCCACAAAGCAAATGACTTGTGTGAGTTGGAGAAAGATAGTAGGACCTCAGAGATCGCCATAATTTTTGACATTATACATTATTGAAGATTGTCAAGTTTGAGGAAACCTATACATTTGCCGGAAATTTGTTAACGGAATTTGATGGTATTCTAAAGTTGTTTTTGAAATGATATCATGCATGTTTTAATTTAGTTGAAAAATACTACTACTCCCGTCTGTAAAATACCTAGTTCCACACCGATCTAGCGTGCGGGAAGCGTCACTTTACCACGTCAGTTTCGTTTCCCACGGATTCGAACCACTTCGGACATTTCCGGAATTTTACCGCCCGGGTTTGGGAGCAATCGGATATTTCCTACTCCTTGAATTTTGACGTTTATCAACTCAATGTATTCGTGTTGTTTGGCGAAAACGTACCCAAAAACTAACGCTCGTAGAAAAAGTATACTATGCAATACGTTCGGTATAATTTTTGAGTCGCTCTTTTATTAAGCACTGGCTCCGCTGCGCTTCGCTCGTGTCAAATAAACTCGTGAGTCAAGCGCCGTTTACCGCACTTTTTGCGTAATATACTATATGTAGGCATAAGTCTAGAATTCAAAAATATACAATACTCGTACAAGACTCGCCAAACTTCAAAGCAGCAATCTCCCATAACGCAACCTCGACGAGACATGGTCAAAAGAAGGGCTCATAAGAATACATTTTAAGTTTATAAATCATTAATAATTCGAGTTTTTGGTATGCTCATCAGCGAATATCGCTGACAATAGTCCTTAGAAATAGAAGAAAAAATGTGGCATATTCTTAACTTGGTTGATCCCGCCGCAATAAAATATAATTTGAAGTGTCAATGTCTTGAGCATTGTTTTTTTAAATAATTTTTGAGACTAGAATATTGCTATTATCTTTCCGATAAGTGCGTTGTGTCGTGTGTTGTCGAAAATACATAATTTCGTGAAAATCTGAACCTTTAGTTCTTATTTATTTTGATCAACATTTCTATTTATTGCATGAAGGTAATTAAATCTCCACTTTTCGATGGGAATTGGCGAAAATTTTCGATTTTTTAACGGTCATCTAATTTTCCTATTTTTAAATCAATAAATAAATAGAAACAAAGAAACATGCATCTCTGCTGGCTTCTGTGATAATTAAAACATTCGGTATTCGCAGTAAATTCAATACGGCGACCGATTTGTAAACAAACGACGACCGTGACGCTGTTGTGCATTTTCTTTCCTTCCGAAAGCGTGCAGATCGGTTTTTTTTTCTCTCGGTCGCAGCTTCCGACTGGCGTGTCACCGGACATTTTATATACTGCCGATTCTATAAAAGGATCTGGGTTCGACGAAACGTATCAGTAGTTTAGGCATGTTCGCGGTAAAAGTCGCCTTGGCGGTAGTTTACTTCGGGTTGCCGTGTAGCGGACAGCACGACCCTTTCCGGGGGGTCGTCGTTTTCAAGCCGGGGGAATATTACGACCCCTTCGCCGAGGGGCTCGTAGCTCAGGCGTCCCATCACGCAGGTAACAACTTTCGAATCGTTTCATTGAAAATTTATTTTTTATCATTTTACTGATTTTATTATTTAATATTGGTGCATAAAATTTAGAAGGAGAAAAAAATCCAAAGACTCCCTGATTAGCAAAATTTACTTACAATGAAATCGCGTATGAACCTCAATGCAATTTTGACATTTTTATTTTCATTTTCATTATAATAACAGTGACGTCACCTTCAACACATTGATATAACAATAATTATAATAATCTTTATTTCTCTAATCGACAATGTTTGTATAGGAAATTGTCGAAAAAATAAAATAAAATGACGCATAATCAAAGACTACACACACTAATCTATAAACAAGGAAGGAAAAAAACCAACTAAAGTACTCTCCTAGTGAGTAACAGGAATTTAATCGCAAGACATTCCTTCAACATTTTTTTAAATGCATATAAATTATCACATCTTTTTAGTAGATTTGAAAATACTTAGTATTTGTGACTGTTAAAATATAAATAATACCAAAGAAGAGCAATGAGTTTTGAAATTCGCGTTTTTATCTATGAATATTCCAGGTAACTTTACATCATATACCAATCGCAAATCTTCAGTATTTATGTAAAGCGAAAACTCTCTACATGGCTTTTGACTACGAAGATGATTTTTAGGTATTTTATTATCATTAAAAGAAGAGTTCACGTCACTCAAATCCAGGTTACATTTCCACACAAAAACCTACAAAAATATATAAAAAATAAATATTATAGCTAATTAAATATGGAGTAATATGATTAGGAAATGGGATAATGTAGTGAGGTCCCATAAACCACATCCGCATGATCAAACAAAGATAACATGAGACTAACGCGCAACGTGACTGAAAATCAAGAGATTTATCAAAAATTACGCCTATATTCTTAGCCCTGTTAACGATAGATATCAACTGATTATTTATAGAAGAATATTTTTATTATTATTACACAGAACACAAAATTTAGAGGCATTGGGTTTGAGGTTATGGTCCATAGAATACACTATTCAAGTCAAGATTGAAGTTTATTAGAGAATATTTTATTTTTATCAATCAAAAAACGGAGAATTTTTGGAAATGCCCAGGTATTGGCGAGTAAGCAGCACTCCCGATCAAATTATCAAACGCAAAGTTCAAAGGTGCCATCCTTTAAGTACGCAATTGAGGCCTGTTTTGGTCACGTGAACTACTTATGCCGACCTTCTGACTTTTTTCATATAAAAATTGCGGGCGCAGGCCGAAACGTTGCGAATCCGCTTGTGTGGCAATCAGTTTTAGTGGTTGGTTTTTAATAAAAGACGAGAATTTTGTCACGTCATTCCAATTACAAGAAAATTGAGGTAAAACACTGACCTGTTTGGGTTTCAGAACAAAAACATTGTGGTATAACCACTGTGTTGCTCAATTGACAATCGAACGAAACCAAGTAATCAAAATTATCAAAAACAACCCCCCTAAATACGTTTTCTTTTTCAAAATTTAAACGAGCAAAAACATGAAGCAAATGAAGCTGATGGGATCCACAAAACGCATCACCATCTTCGAAAAACTTACTTAATTCAAATGATTTCACGTTCCCAGAACACAAGTCGGCGGGGGTGGGGCAAACAGGTCATTCCGGTTTTCACGTGGCCCACGGGGACAAGGGCTCCCAGGGCTACAAGAGCGACCACCAGCATAACGTAAAGGACCACGAAAAACACGAGGACCACCACAAAGCGAGCCACCACCACGAAAAAGGCGGCCACCACGACAAACACCACGACGAGGGCGCGCACTACAAGAAGTACCAAGAGGGTGAGCACCACGAGGACTCGAGGCGTTTGCTTCGGCAGTAATCGCGGCAATTTTAGGGAAGAAATCGCACAAAGCGGCCAAATTTGGCGAGAAAAAAGGCCACAAACGGGGACACAAGACCAGAGGGTACCACAACAAGTTCCACAGGGACGAGTATCATCGGGAGCACCGGTTCTATGACGACGCGCACAAGGAGGGTTACCATGACAAGCACGGCGATAATCATTCTTATTACAAGAAGAAAGAGGGTAAATAGATGTTTTCTTGGGTTCAAACGGTCCATGAAACCGGACCAGGCTGGAAATACAAATTCCAAATCTTATTTGCTTTTTGGTTACGTTCCAAATTGGTCGAAATCGATTACCATAGGATATACCGAAATGCAAAATTTCTTGCAGGAGACCACAAGAACGGAAAACGCCACAAGTCGGGTCATCGAGGTAACAAATTCGGCAAGAAAGGGTACGTGGACAAGGGCAAGCTGGACGAAGACCACAGGGACTTTAAGAAGGAAAGGGGGCACAAGCAGCACCACAACCACCACTCGGACTACGGACGGAACCACGGGCACCACGCAGGGAAACAGTACGGTTACGCCGGTCACCATAAGTATTAGTCACGCCCACTCGGGTTGTGACCATTGTGATAAATTAATATTTGTTATTTTTGTTATACCGATCTAGTTGTTATTTATTCTTATATGTTTTTTTATAAATGAAGATAATTAAACCGTCATGGAGGTATGTGCGCTTCTCGAAATTATTACGCAACCGCGTGACAATTTTGCGATTAGCTGAGGCGGGGAGTAATCGGCGAAAGCAAATCGCCGTCTCTTGTCTTCGGCGTATAAACGTTTTTGCTCTCACGTCGCTGTTCAACGCTCGAAATGTGTTTTGCAACGTTACGGTTTTTCTATTGGCCCAATAAAACATATCTGCGTCGTTCGAATCGTTCCATTTTCGTTTTTGCCGATTACCTAACCGCAGTTTTTCGATCCAATCACCTGCGGTCGCCTTTTTAGGACCCGACGTCGAGATTGGAGTAGACCGAACGCACTTTTTGCATCTTCCGCTTATCGGTTGTTCGCCTTTGACCAATAGCCGACCCTCAAGCCCGGTCATTATTTTTGAATTTTAGAGAAAATTGCCAAAAGTGGGCGTGTTTCCTTAAAATGTTAAAAGTAGGTATTCTTGTTACTTTCGAAAATCGATGAAATCGAATTTTTGCTCCTATAAAAATTTTATATCTCGGTAACGGTATGTCACCGAGGAAAAAAAATGTTTTTTGTCTGTTTGTCCGTTCTCCGTTCTCGTCTTTTGGTTTTTCCTGAATAACTTTGGAACCGTTGGAGCTATAAAATTAAAATTTCCCTCCTTTTTAACTCTCTAGGAGGCACAAAAGCTTATAAGAAATGGCCCTGTATTCATCTTTTTTTCGCGATTCACGATAAGTGTCCGAAATTTGAAGCAATCGACTTCATGTTTGGCCCGTGATGGTCCCTATTGAAAATGGAGGGGCTGGGGGGGGTCGGGACGTATTTAAAAAAAAAACGTGTGTGCAAGGGTCTACAAAAAACATTTTTCAAAAACTGTTTCCGAGACCAAAAAGGGTCTAGGAGGGCTAGATATTTGATTCTCTCATAACTATGATTGAAACTCTGAAAAAAACCTACTGCGAACAAAAATGAACGTGTGCCACCAAAGCACAAAAAGAGGAATGATGTTAAGACCATAGATAGCGTGTATACCATGTATGGTTAAAGCAGAGCCATAAAACTGTGGTGCCACCTAGCGACTAGAAGGGGGACTACGTATATACATATAATTATAATTCTGGTAACCTTTAGCTGATACACTTCCATAATTTCCATGTTCCAAACCCTCAAAACTTCTGTTAATAGTTTTTTTTTATTAACAGTGGTTAATCTGACAACACTGCTGCTTTGGAGATATTTCAGCTGAACGGAACTTTTTACAAACTCGGTATACTAAAAAGTTAAATCGAAACAAAACACTCCTTTCATACAAATATAATTAAAATATTTCAGAAATATTTTAAAACACCTGATTAAAAAAAAGAAGCAATCCAAATAAATGTATTTCAATATCACTTTTCAGTTTCAAAAATGTAGTCCAAAAAATCCCTTTTTATAAGTAGAAACCAGAATAGGACTTGTTTAACTCATTAAACTATACAACATTTGGGATCTCGGAAACCATAGGAAATCAGAGAATTGAAACTGATTCATATTTTTAGAATTTTATTTCGTGACAGAGGAGAGTTTCTTTCATTTGTTAGCGGATCCGCCGATACCGTTTCTGAATTGCCTGATTTTTTGGTCCAGTTTGCTTCGCAGTTCGTTCAGTTGGGGGGAGCAGTCGCAGTATACTTTGACCGATTGGTGGGGAAACGGGGGCTTGAACACCGGCAACAGATCGGGCCCTAAGTAGGTGCAGTAGGGAATTTCAGCGACTAATTGCATTCCTAAATTTTCGCATATGCCCGCGCTGAAAAAAGAAAAAATAAAAAACTATTTATTTGCTTTACATAGTCGATACATACATAAATGTCTATCTGAGACAGAGAGAGCAAGAGAGACAGAACCAGTTGTACCAGGCTCAGTGTGAAATAAAATCGATATGCATTTTAAAACCTACAGCACGGCAATACAAAAATATGAAAAATGAACTACAAAATATTATTAAGAGTTCACTGAAAAACGTACTACCTATTTTATGCGTGTTTACCAGTTTGACGAAATTTAAACTAATTTTTCTTTGATTACTTAAACAACTTTATATATTTATTTTATCAATTTTAGTGTTTCTATTATATTCGCTTTTATTAATCATAATTAATCATAAAATACGTTAATTTATAGGTATCTGGTGTGCCCTAAATGTAAAATATTAATGGCACGTATAGTTTTTAATTTTAAATAATCGATTTAATTCACTGTGTGCTCAAAAAGGCGTCTCTGCCATTAAAATTTTTTGGTATTTTCAACAATAAATAACGAACATTTGCTATTTCAATAAAATAATATTTACCTTGAAATAATAGAAGTAACGGATTATAACATTTATTTATATGAAACAAATATAAAAGCAAATAAAATAAATAAATAACTGTTTTGTGGGGGATTTCACCATCAGGCACTACTAGGCAGGTTCGAGAATCATCTCTGAAGGTATGGGCTTTTGCATGGTAAAATTTAGGACAAATATTTTATATCAGCCGTCAATTTTCTTTATGCGTGGGAATTTCAATATTGTCTCAAACATACGTGAGAATAAACCGGATAAACTCCGTGCGATAAACTGTTTTTGCTTATTATTATTATTATTATTATTATTATTATTAATTGCACAATTGAGTTGATTCAATCTTTATTGAAATCAACTGAGTTTTTCAAAAGAAAGTAATGTCGTTAAACTTTGATCTTGACACCTTGATCCGCCGTTAAAAAAAAAAAGGAAATATTTTTCTGCTGACGCCGACTTACGTGTGTTCACTAGTGGCGTCGCACCTGAGCACGCCGAATCCACAGTCGGCCCCCAAAGCCTTCGACCTTTTCATCAGTCTGTGGGCCAATCCGTTCCTCCTGTGGGCCCGCTTCACGAATACGTTAGCCATCTGCAACCGAGCAAACGAAAACATGTCTGACGTGCTAAAAGGGGGCGAACTGCACCTCGAAAATTTTGCCGACCCCCAAGCACTCCCACAGGTCCGGCGCCCGCATCACATAGGCGTAAAACAGGATCAGTTGCTTCACCTTGGGGCACTTGACCGAACAGGCCAGTTTTTCGCCCAGATCTGGGTCCCACGGATGAGTCGACTCGTTGATCGCGCCACCTGCGATGCTACCGTCGTGCGCGCACTTCGCAACTGACCGAAACGAAAACAAGAGTTGTTCTATGCCGCTCAAGGAGTGAGGTAAAAGAAAAAGTTACAAAAAGAGTGGAAACGAGATGTTATGATCGATTTATACAAGTAAGAACACGATACAAGAATCGTCTTAAGACTTCATAACGAAAAATGACATTAGGGGAAATGAGAATCTACCATAAGGCCTGAAAATTTAGGTTAAGTGGTTAGGCATGAGCAAGAAGCTCCTTTAAGCGTTCCCACTCAAACGGACAGACCTAAACTATACCCCTCGGCCATTGCCCTTAAGCGGCGCTCATCCAAGACGGGGTTGGGGGTTACTCCAAGGCACGAGCAGGTGGGTTCCTCCTCGTAGTAAGATTCGTGCATCAGCTTGATGATTCCGTCGTAATCTTCCTTGGTGGCGCGTGTTATGTGATATTTCGACTCATTTTCGTTTTTCGTCTGTCAAAAGCATTTACTCTTTTCGCTGCACGTCCCATCGAAGTCGGATACTCACTTCGGATGGTTTGCCTAGTGTGGAATATAGGGGTTTTAAAGGTCGACTCTGTTGCCTGAATGTACTGAGAATTTTGGAGATGATAATGGCCGACGGGGATGACATATTACTTCGAATTTTGTCTGTCAAAATGACGGAGTGTGACAGTTTACACATCGTTGACTCCATCTGTCGGAACTGAAATGATAATGGAGTTTTCTTCCTTTCGAGCTTGCTTATATTATTTTTCAATTTTTCTACATGTTTCGTTTTTTTTGTGGGCTAAATCGTTGTTAACGGGCAGAGACACACGTTATATTGCTTATAGGTGGGAAACTTTACTCTCGGAGAATTGAAACAGCATCGCCAGCGCCATCTATTACCCGGTTACAAACTAATAACGAAGTTCAAAACCATATTCCTTCTAGCGGAAAGAAACATTTTTGACGCATTTGGTGGGATGTGTCCCATATCTAAACTTCTTGATATCCTATTTATTTGAGAACAGTAGTTATGGGCCTGCATATTTACTAAATATGAAAAAATTTGCCTTTTCATTTTTGTCGTCATGAAAGCATGTTGTTAATGTTATATTATCATTTGTAAAAATGTATTTGATGATTGCAAGAGCTTATCGAATTTTGCTTACAAATGCATCGTTCATATAATTTAATGTTCTCCGATTTTGTGAATACCCAACAACATACCTCGATGCTCTTTAGTCTGTGAGTTTTAAAAGAGTACATAAATACATTTAAAGTAAAATAATTATTTCTGTATATCTTTATTAGCCTCTTGTTCGCTGTTAAGTTGACCCAGGTATCAAATAATTCTGGACTAGCTTCGGGATTGGGGAAGCGATGCTTGGATTCATTGTTAGTACTCCAACAATTGATCATACAGCAATAGATAGGAGCATATCGAAAATCTTAAAATGAAAAATAACAGTGGAAAATAACACTACTCTTATGGTTTTAGTTGTACTTACTTTTGATAGTATTACCAAAGAAGCCACATTACTACATTGGCATCTTTTAGTTAATACTTTTTATTTGTTTAAAAATAAAAAATGATGTATGTGTATATGTAATAATATTGTACTTTTGGATTTATTGTTTAGAGATAACAAGTATAGTCCGGTATTTTGATATTTATTATTTGAAATGAAATGAAAATAATTTCAGCAAGAATTGGTCGCTAAATAAGGCAATCAAGCAACGAGAATACCACCTCGTTGTCCTATTTATATTAAAGAACAAGAGGAGGACAACAGTCATCAATTAATGTATGACATGAACATTTTTCTTTTGTTTTTGTATGACGGTTTTGGAAACACTCTGTATAACTCATTGCTCGTTAGTAGTAGTAGTTTTGTCTTCCTGTCTAGATAAAGTTTTCACCGATAAAAATCCCGAAGCATGGTGGATTTTCTATGTTCTTGTAAATATTTTAAGATGCAGGCTGAATTTGAAGGAACATTGCTGGATTTGATGCTAGGGAAGCAAGAAAGATCGATGAACGGCATAATTAAATTGTGATTGAAACCGTGGAAGCCCCACAGATGGAACGGGATCCTCTGGAAATAACATCAAAGCGATGTCGTACGATTTGTTGACAGTTGGCGGAATCGATAAATTAGTTTTGATCAGTTCCAGCTGATTTATCTTTGCCTGAAATGCTGTCAAACGAAGGCATCGAATCAGACATTAGATGCAATTCAATGCATTGTTTATTGTTTCGAACAAACTGTTTGCGCCGACTTAAGGGCACAAATTAGGGGACATGTAGCTGGTGTCGTGTCTATAGGGCTTAAAGAACCAAAACGCCAAACTACTTACAGAATTTTCTTAGCAACACTTTTCACAGCTTAATTCTTTTTTTGCATGAAAATTCAATAGGGTTTCGACATATTTTAAGAAAATACTGCCGTAAAAATGCAGCATCCAAACATTGACGACCTGCCAGCGGCCATTTTGGTTGTTGAAAGCTGCAAGGCCTTCTGCGTCGAACGTCAGAATTTGCAATTAGAGGTGGCATTGGTTAAAAACGAAATTTTAAATCACGCGCATGCGCATATTGAACAGACCTTATCAAAATTTTGTTACTTCACGAGTTCCTGTGCTATTAGCATAGGCAGGGCCTCTGTTTTACCCAATAAAGTTATAATAAGGGATCAGAATTATTGAAAAGCGCAATCGGTACTCCAAAACGAATTCGAGAAAACTTTTGTCTATTCACAGATAAAATCTTAATTAACCACAAAATTATTGCACGTTGTACTTTATTGTTAAATTTTATCTATCGAAATAAACGTTATTATATATTTTTTCGCCTTCGTTGCGTTGTAGGAATTACAGTCGCGGGTCCGTTTCCTTCTGGCACGCAAAAACGATTCAATTTAAATCGAATTTAAATGCGCGGCCCGCGTCGGTCGGACCAAAGGGGGGAAAATTGCTTTGCGGTTTGGAAAATTACGGATTATTTAACGGAATTACGGCAAAAGAAAGCATGTCGCCTCACGTTACGCAATCGCGTTCCCGAACAACGACCGCCGCCCGAAAATTTTTAATTTATTTATTTATCTATAAAAGTAAATCCTCTTCTATAACCAACATAACCGTTGGTGGTGAAACACTACAAGACGGATACAAAATCTGTGAAATTTTAACAAATATTTTGCTGATCTTGCTAACAAAATAGCAAGCAGCCTCAAAATCTAACGCCTGATATTAAAATACACTCACGACTTTTCTCTACCCTACTGCAACAGTAGAGAAAACACAAGTAATTAGAAAAGTATGCCTTAAGAAATCATCTGGAATCGATGAAATACCGGGCACTTTGTTAATCTCTATTAAAGATATTATAGCTCCTATTCTATCATATTTAGTCCATTTGAGCTTCCTCCAGGGCAAGTATCCACTGCCCTTAAAAAACTCAAAAATCGTACCTATTTTTAAAAACAAAGCCCATAAAACCAACATAGAGAACTATAGCCTTAATAACAGAACAGCCACATTAGGCTTATTTTTCAAAATATATAATTTCGTGAAAATCTGAACTTTTAGTTCTCATTTATTTTCAAACATTTTGGTACTTAGGTTGCAGTAACTAATGTAATCAGGACTTGTGACAAAAATATGGTCAGCATGCATATTCGTAGTTTAGATTTTAGAACGTTTGACAACATTAATCACAGTTTGCTTGTAAATAAGTTAGTTTAATTGGATCATACATATCAAACAGGTTTCAAAGAATATTATCTAATCACAAGGCTCCATTTTAGGGCCATTGCTCTTTATAGTTTATAGCGTTGACATTTTCTGTGCAATAAGGCATTTGTCAATGAGCATGTTGAGGCGAAGTCTAATATACAGGGTGCTTCAAAAAACTGTATACACACTTTAAACTATTGTAGTTTTCCCGCTCTACAAGGCTAATGTTATATTTCTTCGCCAGGTGCCAGCATAATCGTCGCTCTATGTTATATTATCAGTTGGAATTTGTAATATCAACATGGGGAACGTACGTTTGAGTTTTGAAGAACGTAAGCAGGTTATTAAGTGGTACTGGAAGTTTGAGAATGTAAATGAAGTTCAAAGACAGTGGAGAAGGGAGTATGATACAGAACCACCTTCAAGATTAACAATTACACGCATACGAGACAAATTCGAAGTTCATGGAACAGTGTGTGATGTGCATGCATATTCAGGTCGGCCTCGAACAGCTACAAGTGATGAGTCATCAACGGCATTCTTGGAACTGTTTCAACGCTCTCCTAACAAATCTTCAAGGCAAGGGGCACGTGAAAGTGATGTAAGTGCTAGCAGCGTGCTACGCATTCTGAAGAGAGGCAAGTATCGGGTTTACATTCCAAGGCTGGTGCAACAGCTAAATGACGACGATCCAGATCGAAGGTTGCAATTTTGTGGATGGATTCAGGAGATGGTGAACTTAATGGAACTGTCAATAGGCAAAATTGTGTTTACTGGGGTGAAGAAAATCCTCACATTACAATTGAAAAAGCTGTAAATGTGTGGTGCGGTTTGTCTTCAAGGGGACTCATTGGACCTTTTCGATTTAAAGGCACTGTAACTGGTATTAATTACCTAACAATGCTTGCTGATTGCACAATAACATTTTCATATTGTAACTGTTTATGGTTTTTATAGGATTTTTTTATACAGGGACTGACCCTAAAAAGCTTAAATTTTTAATGTTACGAATTTCTCGAATGCGTAATGTCTAAAAAAGTTAAATGTCTTGCTAAAACATATCCTGTTCAGCAGAGTGGCTTTTAAGCTAGATAAAGCTAAATTATTGTAATAAACTCTTATTGATGATAAATTACACAACAAAAGGCATTTATTATTATTATTAAGTGTTCAGGCAATAACATAAAAAAGTGAAGGAAAACAACTAATCAACTCATTCATTGATTCACACATTAAAATCATTAAACGAAGTTAAAAAAAAACATTTTTTTGCCTTATTAATGAATTTTATTTAAGAGTTGTTTTTTTTTTATTATAGAGTACTTCACCAGCCGCTGCGTTTGATAGGGGCGGACTCATTAATTAATTCATTTTGAACGATACCATTGGGATAAATTTGCCAAATACTTTACCGTAATATGGCCCTCAGCAAAGTTAATTTGAAAGTCGCCATAATACAATTTGCGCTTTTTGCGTATCTTAACTAATGCAAAAAAAGTATGATACTGCGTAATCAAAATGTTTATCCAAAGTGAACTGAGAATATATGACGTTTAAAGTGAAAAACTGGCCAAACGAAACGTTATTGTTAATTTAGTCAGTGTTCTTGTGTCGTGACGCAATTTGACAGTTGCTTTTTGATCGGACCCCGTACGCCGAGTCATCGATTATAGCCGATCCGAGCGTCGCAGATTGCGAATCAATTGTTAAAATACCAATCGAGCCGCAGAAACGTTACATCAATGAGATTGTTGTTACTTAACGTGCCCGCGAAACCGCGGGAAACGCTCCTAATTGCCGCCCTACCTCCGAAACAAAACAAAATCGGGCAAAAAAAACGTTTATAAGAACCAATCCGCCGCCCGCTAGATACAGAATTATCTTGCCGGTTGATAATATCGCATTCGAGGGCGCTTTTTCGTTCATTTTGGTGTGTCCGACTTTTCGGTCTAAACCGGAAGAAAAATGTGCAAAATCGCAGTCTGCGTTGTTGCCGCGTTGCTGGCGTGCGGCGTTGCCGCCGCCCCGGCCATCAAGGACGAGCTGATGACCGAACTCGGCGATGACACCGCCACGGTGGAATCGACGGTCAGGGAGGCCCGGGCTGCCCCCAGCCATATCGGGGATCTGCTCAAACCAGGTATTTTTAATTGTAAAAAAAATTTTGGTGCGGTTTCCAATTTTGATTAACACGAAAGATAAGTTGCGCAAGAGGTCTTTCCTACGGAACTGTCGTTCGTTGTCGTTCTTCATATCAAATTTTAGTTTCTTATAAAAGCCCAAGTGCCTATCGTAGTACAAAATCTAGAATAACGATGTTTTTGAAGACCGACCAAAACTGCAGCCGCGCTCTTCACAATGTTTCCTTGCAGTTTGGTCACTCTCGCACAGATGGCGCAACCGACTACGGCGTTTCCTCTTTTGGCACGCAAAAACGATTTAATTTAAATCTAATTTAAATGCGCGGTCGGTCGGACAAAAGGGGGGAAAATTGCTTTGCGGTTTGGAAAATTACTGATTATTTAACGAAATTACTGCAAAAGAAAGCATGTCGCCCTCGCGTTCCCGAAAATTTTCAATGTATTTATTTGCAACATGTTAATTGACGCGGCGACCACCCTTTTATTGCTGCCATGGCATAGTCTAGTGACATACTGGAGGTGGAAACACCGACGTCAGCCAGGTTGAATGTTTCCCAATAGAAGGCGTGATGGTGAAAGTTTGGAATGTTTCTTTTTTTATGACCAAGTATTGTCCAAAACTTTCCAATGTTGATAAATACCAAAGATAAGTTGGGCAAGGTTCGTGGATTCGCTAGGGTGACGAAATCTTAGTATCTAAGAAATTTTATTATGGAGTCTGATGGCTATCCACTATATACTGTTCTTCATATCACATCTTAATTTCGGACAAAAGCCCATTTTCAGAGGGCGTATTGTAATACAAAAACTACACTAACCACAATGTTGTGGGACGCTGCCCTCTCTTGGAGAGCGACCGAAACTGCAGCCGCGCTCTTCACAATGTTTCCTTGCAGTTTGGCCACTCTCGCACAGATGGCGTAACCGACTACGGCTTTTGAAAAACATTTGTAGGTCCAAATTCGTTTAACAGAAACGAAATCACTTTTTGAATGGAAAATATGGATTTTGAAACTGTATACGAATCATCCCTGTGCCGAGATCCAGAAGAATTATAAGCGGAATTTCTCGATTCAGGTGTCAAGGACGCCTACATCTACGTGTACGGGAATTCCGGGGATGACGAGGGAGATCTCCACGGATACTCGAAAAAAATGGACGACAAAGGACAGGACGGATACAAACACTACGACAGCTACCATAAAAAAGACGGAGACAAGTACGGATACGAAAAACACTCCGAGTACGGCCAAGGGAATAAGGCGAAAGCGGAAGCCGAAGATGACAGTGGGGAGAAAGAAGAGAAAGGTTAGTGCGAGAAACTAGTTGAGTACTAACACTATAACACGTACTGAGTCTGCAGTAGCAACTCGTATAAAATTTAATACCGGACTTGAAAAGGCCGGAGAAGACATTTTTAAATATTCGGCATCGATGAGCCAACATTGAGGGGATCACGTCAAATTTGAAGTCAATTATATCTCTGGAGCGAAAACAAGCCTCTTAATTAGAACCTTATCTATATCTAGTCGTCCTGTCGTCGAGTGGATGTTTATCTGTATACGTGCATAGATAACTTTGTCGTAACGAAAAAAATACTTTATTTTTTTTGCGATAAGCAGGACGCAGTTTATCGAGAATTTTCCGCAAATGAATATTTAAAAAAATAATAATTATTTTAGAACCACACGTGTCGAATTTATAAATGACATGATTCCAATATTTGTAATCTTCCTTTTTAACGACTGAGGATGACGCTGGCAGGTCGGCTCGCTTTTTTGTGTTGTGTCGCCTCTTTCAACAATTTGCAAATATTTTAATCGGATATTTTTCCTTATTACAGAATCAGACGACGACGGCGAAGAGACCAGAGCTCACCACGTCACCGAAGAACTCCACAAGTGAGTTGCCTATGAACAAAAAAAATCTAAAAAAGAATTGGCCCATGAGGGGATCGAACCCGCGACCTTCGCGTTATTAGCACGACGCTCTAACCAACTGAGCTAATGGGCCACATTTTAAAACTGTGCGATGTATGCGTGAAAAGCGGGGCGTTGGATTTGAAAAACCTGGGAAGTCGGGAAATCTATTGTTGATTTAAAAAATCGCAACGGATGACCGCTTCTATATAACGTCCCGACGATTTAGTAATTAGTATTGTGTCGGAAATTGCGAAATCACCTTGACGAGAAAACTCGCAGAACTGCCATAAAGCGTCTACAGGGCGAGCAAAACTCGATGTTTCAGCCCTATTATATGAAAAGTGAGAAGTTTTATATATTTTTTTAGGAAATACACCTACGTTTCTGCATATTAAAAAATGAGCCCAAATTTGCGAACCTCTAGATAATTTGACAGCAATAAATATCGATTAAGCTTTATTATTTTAATGTATGAATTAATATATAATAATAATTATTTAATCAATATTAATATATTATTAATTACATAAATTATCTTTTGTCAATAATAGAGCTGTGAGACACCCTGTAGATCGTTGCATGTGAAGAAAAATTAAGCTGAGACATTGAAGTTTGTTCACCCGGTACGTCGATGCGCGCGAGGTCCGTCCTGTTTAGAATTGCCATTATTCATTTCGAGGAATGAAACATTGCATTAGAAATTGCATAAGAATTTCGGCCGATAACTCGACAAAGGTCAAAAAGTCCCGCGTGAGCTTTTATTGACACATAGAGAGGAAAAACCGACGAATACTGGCCATTATCTATTTAAGTTTATCTTCTGTGGCAACGTAAATTTCACTAATAAATCGCCAAGCTTATATTAACTTTGACTGCACGGGAATTCCCCCAAACCCGGCAGCTTTGTGTACTTAGGTGGTTTTTCCGACTAATTTTGAAATACAGAACAATTATTTAATGATTAAAAAAATATATATTATACAAAATATATAAGCGAAACATTTATTATTCGCAATTAGACTCTAACTTTTTAATCACTTATTTTTTGATATAAAAAATAAATAAAAATTTTACTTTGAATTTGGCAGACTGGCACTTGGCCCCCGACCTAATGAAACTAGGGGGCTGGTGTTTCTCGAAATATTAAAAAAAAACTTGTTCTTTGCAGAAATAATGAAAACCTGCCGTAAATGAAAAATTGGCTCAAAACGCAATATCGGTCGCATCGACAGCGGCAATTTTTCTTTCTGGAGTTTTGAGAATTTGCGAAAATCTCATCCATTATTACTGTTATTATTCGTGTAGATTTTTAGTAACTTTTAACAATAGAATTTGAACCAATGTCAAAAAGTATGAAAATATAAAGATAAGGCGTTTAATGAATTCAATTTCAGGCACTCAAAATTCTTATGGGGCCGGAATTAGTCTTTGTAATTAAAAATTTCGCCTACATAATTTAAATACTTCTCAAAAATATTAAAACTGGGTTAAATTTATAGAAAATTCAAATTATGTAAAGAACCTTAAGATTCAGGTACTATAAACCTTATTGAACCTCACACCTTAACCGTAAAATCGAAAAACCAGATAAACAATTGAAAAAGTAAAAATAATTCAATGCTGTACCACTTGGTACCATTTGGACGCGAACGCATCGTCTTTCAACTTTTTCCTGTACCAACAGGGACGACAAAAAGAAGAAGAACGTAGAAAGTTACGGATTCGATGACGAAGGAGCGGGATACTACGGTTCATCGGAGGCCGACGGTGATGCCGAAGAGGAAGGTGAGTCCATTCATGCCCAAACCGAATTCTGTCCAAAACACCTTCCCCCTTTCCCCCGAAAACTCCATCGGAACGCGCGAAACTCAATACGGAACGTTAGTTAATCGAGTACCCAAACACCTACAAATTGGGTGTCGAAACACCCGAATTATTCCGGACTCGCTCCGGTTCTCGTGTATATTCAAATGGGAACACCAAAACATCTGCCGGAGACACGGCGAGCCGGCGCGAGATTTATACGTCAACCTGTTCTGCTAATGTAAATTAAGTTACTATCTTCGCATCGATGAATATTACCGACGGACGTCGGGAAACTTTACGGCCGAGCTTTCCGTACGGATAACAAAGCGTGACGCCTGAACGCTTCCAAAAACAACGACTACGACATTCGTTCGCCGATATCCGATGAAAAATCGGTCACATTCGTCCAAAATTGGTAACTTTTATTAATATCCGCCGAACTCCGGATCGGCCACCACTTTTACATATTCACGTGCCAGTAATTTACCAACTTCTATTGCCGGTCTGATTAATTGATCGTATCGGAACATCAAAATAATGTTTCCTAATTTTAGGTGATGGCGGAAGTTACGAATACGAAGAAGCCGAGGAATCGGAAGAAGCCGAGGATGACTACTGAGGATTCAAATTGGACGTTCATGCAATTCCAGCCTGTTCCGTCTCTTCGTTTTCTTCTTTCTAATTAACACTTTTCTATTATTATTAGTTTGTTTTTTTTTTCTGTTACGTTGTTGTATTTTGTTTTTAGTTTTAGTTACGTTTGAAACGTTTGGCTGTTTCTTGTTTTGTTGTGTTGTTTCGTATTTCGTTTTTTTTACTTATTTATCATAATGTGTAACTTCCGTCAGGCTTAATATAAGGTTATGTTAGCGTTGCTTTACTCGTGTTTCTTGCTACTATTGGTTAAGAGGCAATTATAAAATATTCATCAGTAGTTTACTTATTTTTCTGTTCTGCAAAGCATGTAAATTAAATTTTTATTTTACAATACCTTATTATGCAACAAGTTCGATAAACGCCACTTTAGTCACTAAGGGAGAAGCGAACGAAGAGAACTTGTTAATTAATTTTTCTACCACCATTAGTTTTTGGGTACATTCTTGCAAAACATCTATGAGATGACCGTCAGAACCGACAATCATTGGTTTACTAACAATACAGACCAATCATGCAATATACCATATATGAATATGAAGATTTAACAACTTTACCCTCTGGTGGTACACGCAGAGGACGAAGAAAAGGGAAGAACGACTCATTTCACCTTTGAAAATTGCTTTTAATAAATTCAACAACTGTAACACGATAGTTTTCTCACACCTCTTGCTAACTGGCAAGTAGCAGAACGATGTGGTATCGTTCACAGCCAGATATAACAACATTCATACCAAATACAACCTTTTAAGATTCAGCCTCCAAAGGAAAAGTTTATAGAAATAGGGAGGAGCATGGAATATTATTATTAACAACTGCAATAGTGAATAGTGAATATTTTCTGTTATTTCTTTCTAATTGTCCAGTAGCACAAAGATGTGGTGTCGTTCACAGTGATATATAACACCAATGATTCCAAATACAACCTTTTAAAAGGGAAGGAGAAGGATATGAAGACCCACCAGCCACTAACTATAGCAACACTCATAGCGAAATACGACACCAATACAAATGTTTATGAAATTCGTCCTTCAAGGAAGAAGAAAGATATCAAGATTCGACAACATAGAAGTAATGACAGCCCTTAAACAGGTCTTTGTAGGTTCATAAGAAGAAGAAAGAAGGAAATATGTTATAATATATTTCTTAAAAACTGGAACATAATAGTAAATATTTTCTATGACAACTCTGTCCAGTAGCGGAACTGTCTAGTATAGTTCACAGAGGGATATGATATGATGAGCATTTTTACCAAATACAAACTGGTGCCTGGAAGAAGAAGGATAACGAGATGGTCGCACATGAAGAAGAAGTATAGTATAGTATGTTTATCGACAGCTTGACTGTAACAATTAGCATTTTGCACTCCTCTTTCTAATTGTCCAGTAGCGCGGCAGTGTGGTATCGGTCGCGGCGAGATATGCACGGCGTTGGTTCACGAGCTCGCCTAATAAAAGCGCAGTTTAAAATCATAGTCAAGTGCGTACTCGACGCCAGTACTTTCCGGTACCCCTTACACCACGTTATCAAGGAACGTGACGGATATACCGGCGATGATTGAAAACGGTGACCGCGGCTGTCTAGGCGACGCGAAAATCTCAACTTTTGGATAAATACGTTTGGAGATTTTTTTTATTACTCGGGATACCCGCGAGTGAGACGGCAGTCTTGATTCGGTCCCGATTAAAGTGGTCGTTTCGGTGCGTTTTTCAAGTTTAAGATGGCGTACACCAACCGGGGTTTCGACGACTTGGAATTGAGAAACGTGAGCTGTTATTACGGGCAGGAATTTTATTTTATTTTTCGAGCCGCCGGTTTTGCTTAATGGTTTAACGGAAACAGCTGATTGGCGGCGGCGGCGACGCTGATAGCATTTATCGAAGCATTTTTCTTCGCTTAATTTAATTTTTATTTATAAATTTAATTTTGAACGGGTGTCGACGGGCAGTGAAGGAGTCAAATTTTATTACATTCTTTTTCTAAAGGTTTCTATGCTTAGCAAATACAAATGAAAGTATAAAGTCTGCGGTTTTTTTTTTAGCTTCATGAAATATCAAAACATTTTACTTTAGAAACATTTATATATTTTATGTTGTTTTTCCCTACGCTTGATGGAACTTTAAAACACATCTCCGCGTTAGATTACGAATTAACATTATTTTTATTTTATTTATAAATTTTCATCGGGAATCGTCGCATAGCAAAGGACTTTTTTTTAGTTTTATTATTTATTTGGTTTAATATTTCAAAGCTGCCCACTCCCGACCATCATTGAATTGGGGTGAGAGCCATTTTTGTTGTTATCAAACAGTTTTTTGTTCCATATTTAAATCCTTTTTTTGTTTTTTGATTAATTCTCTAGATATTCAGCAGGGTTCATATTTTTTTGACGCCCGATGTATTTTCTACTAATGTTTTTCACGGCGTTATCATAAAAACAGGAGTTCAGTTTCAATTTTAATGAGGAACTAAAAACTGAAAAAATAATAACATTATTGACAATAACCGAAAAACGTTTTGTTTAAGGCATCTAGTGTATTTAATTGTGTATTTTAAGGCATTGCTTATAATTGGTAAATTGCGAAAAAATGTCTCTAGTATCAATATTAATTTCGATTTAGTCCGAGCGAACCGACCTACATTTTCGCGTATACAATTAAACAACCCGTTCCGTACGCTACACTTACGGTTTTATAGCAATTTAAATAATATTGGGTTGTTCGGAAAGTCATTTCGTTTTTTTTGGGGAACATGAAAGACAGTTTTCGTATAATGAATAAATATTTTATTAAATTATATATTGGCCATTCTGGTCCAACACCTTTTGCCATCTTTCTGGCAGTAACATAATTCCCCTCTCATAAAAGTTCTGGTCCTTGCTGGCAAAAAACTGGTTCAGGTGGTTTTTGACATCTTCATTTGAGGTAAAGGTTTTGCCATCCAAAAAATTTTGCAGGGACCGGAACAAATAGTAGTCGGAAGGCGCCAGATCTGGAGAATATGGCGGATGTTGCAGTACGTCCCATTCAAGCTGTAAAAGTTTTTGGCGAGTGACCAAACTTGTGTGAGGTCTCGCATTATCCTGGTGGAACACTACACCCTTCCTGTTGATTAATTCGGGCCTCTTTTCTTTAAGTGAATCATTCAATTTGTCCAGTTGATGACAATAGACTTCTGAATTAATCGTTGTATTGTCCGGCAAAAGCTCAAAAAAAACGATTCCTTTGACATCCCACCAAACGGAGAGCATCACTTTTTTTGGTGAATGTTGGCTTTTGACACGCTTTGAGCCGGTTCATCTTTTCTGCTCCATGACCTCTTGCGTTTAACATTGTTGTATACAACCCATTTTTCGTCCCCAGTAATAATCCGCTTCAAAAATGGATCATTTTCTTGACGTTTGAGGAGCGAATCACACACGTCAACGCGACGACACAAATTTCGCTCCGTAAGGAGATGGGGCACCTACACATCGAGCTTCGAGGTTAAGCCCATGCCTTTCAAATGGCCATGAACAGTCGAATTCGACAAATTTAATCTCTCACCGATCTCTCGTGTGGTTATTCGCCGATTTGCATCAACTAATGCCTTTATCGCATCTTTGTCAGCTTCGACCGGCCTTCCAGACCGTGGTGCATCTTCGACATCAAAATTGCCGGATCGAAATTGTGCAAACCAGTTCTCGCACTGGCGTACTGTTAACACGCCTTCTCCATACACATCCGTCAATTTTTTTCTCGCTTGGACAGCATTTTTACCTTTTCTGAAGTAAAAAAGAAAAATATGACGAAAATGCTGCTTATTGCTCTCCATATTTAAAAGGGCACCAACCAAAAACTACTGCGTAGAATTAATAGAACTTTTTCACACACAAGCCTTGCAATATCAGCTCTCAAGACATATAATGGTTATGCGGCTTAAGTGTGAAGTTGGTTTCGAAAAAACGTAATTAAGTCCTCTGACGGGAAAAAACGAAATGACTTTCCGAACAACCTTATATATAACATAATATCAAATCGCAGGGTAATACAAAAAACAATTTGCTTTTCCCGCTATGCACGAAATTTTTTTGAAAATCAAATAACTTATGATTTACTTAATATATTAATTGATCTTAAAAATTAATATTATTTAATTTTTCTATTGAACATCTACTTTTCAAATAGAAATTGTTTATTTCAAAATACTAAATGCAAAATAAGTATAAAATTATAAAAGTGGCAATTAACATTTTTAACAAAATTTTTGAGATATTAACAACCGACAAAGATAGATTGTATTTAGATAATTTTTTTTGTAATAGGAGACTTGATGAAAGATAAAACTCGTGAGTTTCCGCTGCTTTTTGCGCAAGAACGTAGCGTTTAATTTTAAAGTAGTGTGCGTTTTTTTCTACCACCTTTAATAATAAATGTACCATCTTATATGGTTATTTTTTTAGCTTGGGATATTAGCTAGTGTATGCGTGACCACTGTTTCGGTTTTCATCATGGCTGATTAGTGGCTGAGTTAGACTAAATTACTCGGTGATTGTTATTTTTTCTTAAAATATTTTGTTTTCAGTATTTATTTAAATGTCGTACTTAATTATTTATGTAAATATTCATTCGGTAGTAAAAGATATATATTATTATTTTAATGTTACATCGTTATTTCAAAAATCAACAATTACTTTTCGTTTTCGTAAAAAAGACTACGGAGAATCAAAACTTGATATCCTCAAACTCGCTACGTGAAAATTCCCGAAATTCCTTTCCAGGGCAAAGAAGACGATCAACGCAAACGACCGGAGAAGTTGTCTTATTATTTCGAGGAACACGAAGACAAGGACACCTACTTCGCTCAGAATAAGATACACGTGCCAGAGGAGGACGTAAGTAAAATATCTCCGCTTCCGTCCTACTGACTACGTTCGTTTCATGCGTTAATTATGGCCGCCGTTATCGGGAAACTATTAATTTTTTTTAAGCCGACCTTGGATCCGTGTTAACCAAACGTTTATCGACGAGTTTGCGCGAAAACGTCACTTAAATTTTTTTTTTTTGCTTTGTTTGCAGATCAGATTTGTCGTCAAAATAAACGATACCAAAGTGCCTAGCCGGCAATCCGCTAAGCCGTAGACAAATATTATATTGCGATATAATAAGCTCGTTATAAAAGCTGATTTGGTTGATATCTAATTCATATTCACTAACTTCCACTGATACCTAAGTAAATAAACCGTTTTAAATTTGACAACAAATTTAAAATGATTAATACTACACTTCCACCAATTACAAGTAATGAGCATTCACTTTCCTTAAAATTGTTATCCTGTGTTGACTTTTTAATGAGTAAATTTGAAGCTTTCTTTGTAAAAATCCACGTGACTCAACTCTGCGTCTTTGTTGGCCAAGGTTTCCGAATCAGCTTTTGCTAGCGTACAAAGCACCAAATTACAAAAGCGCGTGTGCAAAAAAATCCCCAATTTTCCAAAACGGCAATGGCGGTTTTTCACAGGCCGCGTTCCATGAATACCAAAAACCGTCTTGTTGTGGTATACTTTCAATGTCGCTACGTGAACAGAATACCTACAGCGCGATCAACTGGGAACTGATTTCTACTATAAAAAAAATATTATGTTAATCAGTATGTTCGCCTAACATTTCAGAAATAATAATTGAATTATACTCAATTTGGCCGTAAATTGGGTTAATATATGATATATTATTAAAAAATATTATCAAGAACGCAAAACAAATAGACGTAAATAATGGCAGAGATACAATATTTTTTATACGCATTATATATTTAAGTTTAGGTTAATTCTTATCATTTTGTATTAATTATTTTGTTTTGTTTTCGATTTCATGCGCGCCATTTAAATTAATTGTGTTATGCCCTTAATTAACCAGTTGTATGTTCAAAAATAGAAAAAAATTATAGGCAATTTTTAAAATGGTTTTTATGGTGTTTTTTTGCCATTTTTACCATTGAATTTTTCTCAAAAACGTTGGCCAACACTTGTAAGTAGATTTTCCTCTATAAGTGTTAGAAACTCTCCAAGTACGACTAATCAGCAGAGGAAATAACGTGTAAACATAAAGCGACCTATTTTTTCGAATTTGCAGACGGGTTTCAGCTTCAGAAAGCTATGGGCGTTCACCGGACCAGGATTCCTGATGTCCATCGCGTACCTAGACCCCGGAAACATAGAGAGCGACCTCCAATCGGGAGCCATAGGCCGGTACCGGCTTTTGTGGGTGCTGTTCGGTTCCACCATATTGGGGTTCGTGATGCAAAGCCTGGCGACCAAACTGGGTGTAGTTACTGGTCTCCATTTGGCCGAAATATGCAACAGGCAATACAAGAAGGTGCCACGGCTGATCCTCTGGATCATGGTCGAGATCGCGGTCATCGGATCAGATATGCAGGAGGTGATCGGCACCTCGATAGCTATCTATATGTTATCAAACAAAGTGTGAGTAGAGTTTGAGTGGTGGAATTTATACGAAATCGCTGGTGAAAAAATAAATTGTTAATCGGAAGATGATTTGGTCTTCGAAGTTGACGAAGGAACAAGTTTTACTTTGGTAACACGCCTATGGGTTTTAGTAGAGAGGGTCACTAAACTTTCGCTAGATTGCAAGATTACAATCACGCAAATGAATTCGCATGACCTTTTCGGTTTTCTTTGCTTTATCACCATTTTCATAAAAACTAATAAATTTACAGTTAGCCCGGGTTATTGGTCTTGGATGACTGATTTTCATAGATCATAGATCATTTCATAGAGTTTTATACATCGTATGTTGAAATAAAACAGGAAAATGGCAACGCCTGCCACAATAAATATTCAAAGTCCAGTCTGTTGATAGAGGTGTGCCGCAAGGTACAGTGCTTGGCCCTGTCTTATTTATCCCTTATTTATTAATGATCTTCCCACTGATCTACCTAGTCTAGGTTTATCGGCTTTCGCTGACTACTGTTTATGCTTAATCTCGTGGCACTGGTAGCAAACACTTGAACATGGAATAGCTCAAGACAGACCAGAACTTCCTCTGAATATCTGCTTTGGGTGGGGATGATATTTTTACAACTAGAACTCGACGAAACTTTAGCCCGAGAATGCTCAATGCCAATTACTTTCATCGTTACTACTTGTTTTTGACTGAAAGAAATTAAGCATATCTCATTGGGTCATAAAAGTAACTGCCGACGAAATTGTTTATAATACGCCATTCATGCTTGTTTCTGACGCAATTATAAGTGTTATTCTCGCACGTGAAAATTAACAAAAATAATTCGTCAATTCGGCCAGCGTTACTAAATACCTTTTCTTAGATAAATTATTTTAAAAATAAGTTATTTAGGCAAAATACCGACGATCCCGGAAATAATAATAAAGTAACTTTTATGACCCAATCGGTGGTATATATGAAATAAATTGCAAATAAGCCGTTTTCGATATCAATTTTAAAAACTACGTGGTGCGTTCAAAAACTAAGGTGATTTTTGTAATTGGACGGGCTACTTACATTCGATCTTTTATATTTTTTTTGTTGTGCCCCTAATATATGTTTACAGTTTGAGTCAGTTTGTACGTTGACTTTTTTTGTGAGACAGTGTGCAGGGCGATTTTATGCTGTCAAAAAAAAGGAACCTTAATTTATTAAAAGTCGCCTTACTTTTTGAACACACCTCGTATTTTTTGGGGCAACTTTTGTCGAATCGCATCTTTTAAAAGAGACTTTTTTCGATCTGCTCCCGTTTAACCCCGTACCTTACAAACGGAATAGTAGAGGTAGGTTTGGAAGAAAAGATTGTCGTTTATAGATATTAAGTTGGGAAAGGTCCTAATTTCTAATTCGGCTCCAGGTTTCCGCTGCACATTTTCGCGGTTATTGAATCAGCCGGTCGTGGGCATAATTTCCAACAAAATTGTGTTGTTTATGTACAAACACGGACGACTCGATGTCCGCACGTGACCATTAATAGTAGTATTTATTGCGGTAGCCTAAAGTGCCTCCCGTTAAAACAATAAACATCCCATTGTCGAAGGATTGACGTTAAAAAAAATCCCCCTATAAAATGAATCACGTATCGAGCACCTGAGCTCGAGATAACAAAATCTCGGTCGCTGAACGATAAGACGAGCTAAAAGTTTAGCGTACAGAATGAGCATAAAAATCACAAATTTCTCGAGGAAAGCTTTTAATAATAATAATAATAATAATAGACTTTAGACTTTAGACTTCATTGGCCATTAAATACATTACAAGAACAACAAATGGCAAGTCACAATATCAAACACATTCTAATAACATTCATAGAGAGCAACATAATTATCAGATAGACAAACACCAAACATTGAAACAAAAATTAGGTAAAAAAAAAAAATAAGTAAATAAATAAATAAATAAATTCCCAATTAGTATTATGGAGACACTCGTGACGCAACACGGATGTACTCATCTGCAGTATAGAATGCGTTCTCCAATAGAAATTGTTTTATTATATTACAAAATTTAGTGAATGGCAGATCCTTGACAACGGTTGGTAGAACATTGTAGTAATTAATGTCCAATTTATTTAACTCGGATGTGCGCAGCCTAGAATGGCCCTGGACAATTAATTCAGATCCCCTGGTGTAGTGATTGTGGCGATCACAGTGCTTAGGCATATCGTTCTTTAGCTCATGTATGAGAGTGACTGTATAGTAAATAAATAGTGATGGTAAGGTCAAAATATTAAGCTTTCAGCGAGCAAGAGTTCAAGTTTTTCTACAAATATAGAAAAATTGCCTCTAGAGCCAGAGCGATAAACATTGATTAAAATAAGATTAAGCACTGGTATCTCCACACCACAAAACTCTGCGTGAAGATCCAGACAATATTTACTCAGATTAAGACTGCTACAGGCAATATTATTTTTAACATATATAGCAGTTCCTCCTCTGGAGGTACTGAGACGACAATAATATCCAACTAATTTATAATTGTGAACCTTAATAATATTAAGCAATTCCTCACCATTTACAAAATGTTCACAGAAACACACAATGTCAAAACCAATAGAATTTAGATATTCAGTAACCACATCGACTTTACTTAGGAGACCCTGCACATTGTAGCTCAAGATATTAATGCTGTTCCTACCTCCATCGGTAGTCTTGGGTCGGGATTCTCCCTCACTAGACGTCTCTCTGTTGATACTGGAATTGGATCGGTTTTTCCTCTTGTCAGACGCCTAGGGAAAAAATGATTTATCAACAATAATAATAATAATAATAATAATAATAATAATAATAATAATAATAATAATAATAATAATGATAATGATAATAATAATAATGATATTTAAGAAGGGCAACCCTACCAAACCAAATAACTACCGCCCGATAACCTGTCTATCGGTGATATACAAATTGTTTGGCTCTAGAAGAGGAGCAAAAAGGCTGTATCCGAGGATCAACTGGATGTAAACATTAATTAACCATTGACACTGTAGTCCTAAAACAGGTTCAAACTAGGAAAAGCTTTCGACTCAGTCCCTCATGATTGGCTCATAAAAGTGCTAGAAATTATATAACATATGCTCCAAAGTGAGAAATGTGCTTAAACACATGATGGGTACATGGAAGTCCAACATTTTGCTGAACAATAACAGCGCTGGAAAAGTAAACATAACTAGAGGTATAGTTCAGGGTGATACTTTTATCACCGTCGTGGTTCTGCTTGGCGATGAACCCACTGTCAACCCTTCGGAATGACTCCGGCATTGGATATAAAATCAACAATAGAGAAAGACAAAAGCTATCCCATTTGCTGTATATGGACGATCTGAAGCTCTACGGTGAGAGCCGAACGGGACTCCAACCGTTGATTGAAACGGTGAGGACTTTCTCACAAGACATCTGTATGTCTTTAGGCGTGGACAAATGTGGCATTATTAAGATTAACAGAGGGGGTGTTGCAGATGCGAAGGGTTTGTAGTGGGCTCGCAAGGCCTTATTGCCAGAGCATGGAAGAGACGGAAAGATACAAGTATCTTGGGTATGCGCAGGCTTTGGGAATAGATCATCACAGGGCCAAGGAGGAAATAAGAACCATGTACCTTCGGAGATTAAGAGCTATCCTAAAATCGCGACTCTCTGCTAACAACAAGTCAAAAGCTATAAATACATATGCTGTTTCAATACTTACCTATAGTTTCGGAGTTGTGCGCTGGACGGAGACAGAATGGAGGGAGATCGACGTCATCACGAGGACAGAATGCCGTAAGAACCGCGTACACCACCCAAGATCCAGTTTGGCGAGATTTCACCTACCTCGGTCGCAGGGAGGGAGAGGTATAAGAAGCGCCCAAACTTCGCACTGTAAGCAAATTGATAGCGTCAGACAATATTTTATCGGGAGGGCTGGTAACAGCATGATTCACCGTGGGACTGTTCGTGCTGATCGACGTTTGACCCCGCTTAATTTAGCGGATAGTGTATTCGACCCGTCCTCGACAATGACTACTGTAACCCAGTCTAAGGCACACTGGAGAGGAAAAGCGCTACCTAGCGACGATTGAGGGGGTCCGGATGGATACCGTCGCCTCTACGGCTTGGCTATCCAGGATCAGGTCATGGCTACAAGATCATACAGAAGCCGAATACTTAAACAAAATATGGAGAGTGTGGTGTGCCGTATTTGCAGAAAGGTAGAGGAAAGTTTGGACCATCTAATGGCAGGATGTGAAGTATTAGCTCATAAGGCTTACCTCGACAGACACAACCAAGTCGCTAAAATAATCCACCAAGAGATCAGAGTGCAGATCATGGGACTAAAAGATACGGTACCGTACTACCTGTATGAGCCCCCAACCCTTTGCGAAAACAAGAGCGTAAAAGTATACTGAAATAAACCCATTCCCACAGATCGCCATATACCAAACAACATCCCGGATATAGTCGTCTTGGAATTAAAACATAAAAAAAAAGGTTTCATCATAGACGTGGCTATACCATTGCCTAGCAACATATCGAAGAAGTATAGTGAGAAAATCAAAAACTAGCGGATGAAATAAAAAAAAAATGTGGAGGCTACAGTCAGTGCGAATAATACCCATTGTTGTCGGGGTGACGGGAGAGATCCCAAAAAGCTTGCACGAAGGATTTGAAACCTTGAGTTTTTGAAACCAAAGACTTAATATCCCTATGCAAAAGGCAGTGCTTCTGGACGCATGTAGAATAGTGCGCAGGGTTCTTGGAGATATCTGAAATCGAATATGGTTGCTCAAGTTCAGCCATCTTGTCTAAGGACCGATGTTGAATATATTGACCGGAGTAATCTGAGATTAGGGGAATTTATAGCCCTCATTAGCGCCCTCTTCAAACAATATATCAGGAGGTATAGAGTAAAATACGAGCCAGTTTCAGTCAAGCTCTGAAGAAGCCAACAGGATGATTGGCGAAACGTCAGCAATTTCGACTAAGCAAAACCCGACGCAGGAGGAATCCAGAAGTGTTACAGTAGCCTATGGAAGTTTCATTGAAAAATATGTAAAATATATTAAACTGAATGTGCCAATGAAACGTAAAACCCAATAATATTCGTGCGATTTCTGTTTTAAAACGAGCCGCAAAATGGCAGCTCTTTAAGCAGAATTGAATATTGATAAATCGGCTGAAAAAGGTCCATTCGCGGGATTCAATTAATTAAATTTTGTATACGCGTACACCAGTAATAACCGATTTATACCCTCGTATATACTAATACCGCCATTCATTATTTACGGAGGCGGGTGATCATTTTTTATTGTATAAATCCAGCCTCGCAGATCGATTTAGGACGTTAATCGGTAAATAAAATATATTTGATTCCAGATAGGCTCTAACTGATGTTAACTATATATAAGGGGTGTTTTTTTCGATGTATAGAACTTTAAGTTGCAATAAAACAACTATGGATTATTCGATTGACATGAATTTTATTTAGCCGAAAGATAATCTTGTGGCATTACATTTTAAATATGATTTCTGGCATATAATCGTCACGGCTCGCGCGGAGGTAGTCCAATCAAGACTTCCAAATGGTCAAGCGTTTGTGACTTATCCGCAGAGACCAATGACTTAGCCCCGCAGAAAGTAGTCTAGCGGTGTTAAATCACAAGATCTTGAAGGCCAATTCACAGGTCCAAAACGTAAAATTAGGCGGTCACCAAACGTGTCTTTCAATAAATCGATTGTGGCACGAGCTGTGTGACATGTTGCGCCGTCTTGTTGAAACCACATCTCCTGGACATCATGGTTATTCAACTCAGGAATGAAAGAGTAGCTCTATACCGATCACCATTGACTGTAACGTTCTCGCCATCATCGTTTTTGAAGAAGTACGGACCAATGATTCCACCAGCCCATAAAGCGCACCAAACAGTCAGTTTTTCTGAATGTAACGGTGTTTCGACATACACTTGAGGATTAGCTTTGCTCCAAATGCGGCAGTTTTGTTTGTTGACGTAGCCATTCAACCAGAAGTGCCCTTCATCGCTAAACAAAATTCGCTAATGAAAATCGGGAACAACGGCAATCTCGTTTTGGGCCCATTCGACGGATCTACGTCTTACTTGATGATCGTTTGGCTTCAATTCTTGCACGAGTTGGATTTTGTAAGCGCGTAAACCAAGATCCTTCCGCAAAATCTTCCATAAAGTGGATGGACACAGATTGAATTCCCGTGCTCGATGGCGGATAGACTCAATGCTACGCTCTACAGCAGCAGTAGCTTCTTCTGTACGCACCGTACGGCGTCTCTGGGGATGCGAGTTATCAATAGGAGTAAACGTGGTGCGAAAACGTTCCATGGTTAATCGAATTAACCGATCTGATGGACGATTTTGTCGACGAAAAAATGGACGTAGTGCGCGATACGTATTCCGCACAGAACACAGAAATAAAATTGCACTATTTGCAAGCGTTGTTCAGGCGCGAGTCTATTCATGATGAATTGCCAAACCAAACTGATAATAAATCCCTTGACAGCTGTTAAATCGGTCGCGATCTTGAACAGTAATGCCAACTTAAAGTTCTATACACCGAAAAAAACACCCATCATTTAAAAGCTTCGTTAAAAGTTTTATTTGTTAGTTTTTTCGAAAACAGCTTGGCCGATGTCAAAAAATCTAATGCCAACATATAAAATGAGCGATGAGTCGATAGATTTTTGTACTTAGGGATTTTGTAAATCTTTGAGTCGCGAAATTTTCAATTAAACACCCGGTATATAAGAACCACCGCCCATGTCCGTGAACTGGCGCAATATTTCAAAAACAATCTGAAGGTAAACTGATAGCATCGCCGGCGAGTAGAATTCCGATTATTGTTTGGCGGGAGACGAGAACAAACCGACCAGAACGCGATAAGCAACAAAATTCCCCTTTCTGGAATAGAGGGCGTCGAAATTAGAACACTTGAAAAAACGTTTCGTTATATCTGCGATATTATCGGGTTCAAGTGTTTTTAATTAACTCGAGTGGTCTTACAATGTAAATTCGTCACATTAATGTTTTCGAATTCGGTATTCAGAGAATATTTCTCCTCGCTGTTGACACTGTTTCACTCCCTCCCGTACTCTGAGCATTCAAAAGACTTCAATATCATCCTATTCCCCAGCATTCCACTAATGCAGGTTCAGCTTCCTCCCTTCATTTCTACAGCTTTGCCACTCTGGGTCTGTGTAATTTCCAGAATTCCCCTATGGGGCGGCTGTCTGATAACGATCGTCGACACGTTCACGTTCCTTTTTCTCGACAAATACGGGCTGCGAAAGCTCGAACTGTTCTTCGCCTTCCTGATCGCCACCATGGGAGTGACGTTCGGCTACGAGTACGTTATATCGGGACCCGACCCCCTGGAAGTAACCAAAGGGACGCTGATACCATGGTAATCCCCCAAAAAAACATTCGGTGGCGTATCTGTCAATACGGTTTCCCACAAGGTGCTCCAATTGCGACATGACCGTCTTCCTGCAAGCCGTGGGCGTAGTGGGAGCGGTTATCATGCCGCATAACTTGTACCTACATTCGGCGCTGGTTAAATCCAGAGACATCGACAGGAAGAAGCCCAAGAAGCTGACGGAGGCGAGGATGTACTACTCGATCGAGAGCGCGTGCGCGTTGCTGTGCAGTCTCGTCATCAATATCTTCGTGGTGGCCGTTTTCGCTTACGGGTTGTTCGAGAAGACCAACAGTCAGCTGGTACGGCTTATCCGCGACGCTATCGTACATTGCTCACGTTTAAATTTCAGTTGGACACTTGCAAAAACTCCAACAGCTCTCACCTATACGACAACGCAGTGGACGTGTTTCCCGTGAGTTGAGACACGAGTGCACTTTCTTTAACTCACCCGGTTCGTTTTACAGAACGACGACGAGACCGTCGACGCGGACATCTACAAGGGCGGCGTTTTCCTCGGCTGCACTTACGGCATCCTCGCGATGTACATCTGGGCCGTAGGGATCTTGGCCGCCGGTCAGAGCTCCACCATGACCGGCACCTACGCCGGCCAGTTCATCATGGAGGGTTTCCTCAACCTTAAATGGCCGAAATGGAAACGGGTGCTGTTCACGAGGAGCATCGCCATGGTGCCCACCTTCTTCACCGCGTTCTACAGCTCCCTGTCGGACCTCACGCGTCTCAACGACTTCCTCAACGCCGTGATGAGTCTCCAACTGCCTTTCGCGCTGATACCCACGATCGCGTTCACCAGCAACCCCAAACTGATGGGCGAGTTCGTAAATGGAGTGTAAGTAACGCTTCCTCGTGGACGCGACTCGTCGCTGCTTCAACCGTTTTTCTCGCCGCAGGGCTTACAAGATCACTTCGCTGATACTCAGCATCATCATCATCGCCATCAACATCTTCTTCGTCGTCAGCAAGATAGAAGAGTGGGACTTGCACGTAGGTCTGATAGTCTTGATATACGTCTTCTCCGTGGCGTACCTCTTGCTCATCGTCTACATCGGGTTGCACATGTACGTGTCCTTCGGCGGCAAGAGCATAGAGGACCACCCCCTAGTGCGGAAGTATTTAATAGTTCCTTTGCCGGAGAAGCAAATGCCGGGCGCGTGATTTAGGTTTAGGTTCTAGGTTGTACATATAGATATTTATTTAATAAATTTTTCGAATAAGTTGTTATTTTTCTGGGACGTCCATTACGCCAGAGTGTTTTCCTAAAAAGCGACGAGGGAATGGAGAACCGATGACGAAATATCAGATAAAAGATGCTCGATGTAGCGCGCGGGAGGCCATTAATCAAGCGGGGTGGTTTTTCTGGATCCCTAATGATGCGCTTCTGCTGTAGGGATTAAATTATACGTGTTGTTGCGCCCGGGGGCGTTTTGCCGAACGCTAGCCGGTCAATTTTTCTCCCCCCTGTCCTCTCTTCCAGCCGAGGGGATCACAAATTATACAACCCCCAAGCATCTCGATACCTGAGCCTGAGTCACAGCCATATTAGGGACAAGTCGAGAGGTGATTTTGATGGGCATGTCCAATACTTTCCAATAATAATTACAACTTCAGGATTGTCAGATGATATAAATGGGAACTCTTTTACGTCGACCAAGAATGATTTCTTAGCACCATTAAGTTATAGCGGCCGACTACTAAACAAAGAACCATTTCCATAGTGCGAAACTTCTTCGGGAGGTTGGTGGTCGCCAAGGCCGCTATAAAAGGATCTAAACTCCTAACGATTACTTTTAAACTGAATATAATGGTCCGTAATAGCGACTTCTACAATGTACACGGAAGTTATGAGCGTCGTCGTTATTTTATACGATCCCCACGCCCGATTTACCTAGAAACAAACAAAATGCCAGGGAAGCCGAAAAATATACACCGTAAAAGTCTGACAAAATCGCTTTGCGCTTTTAACGTGATCTTAGAGCGTTTTGCGTGGAATTTCAGGCGCCGGATTCCTAAAAATTCCGGAACTCGGAGGATTTTCATCTTGCATCTGCAGCTCGATGCTTAAATTAAAATTTTTATAAAAGTGATTCGTTGTTGGTCCCTTTATAATGTAATATGTAGTGGACGTAGGCGTGATGGCTTGAAAACATTAACTACGTAACGAATTGTAGCGCCATTAAATTTGCTATTATGACAGACATAGAGAGTCATGCTCGGAACTTATTTAATGAAAATGGTATGAAATGTAATATTTTTGTGAATACCTCTATTCGATCATTTCTGACTGGTCTGACAGGGCACCATATATAATTTAATGGTGTAGCTCTTGCCTTTGTTTGGTGACGCCAAGCAGATGAAAAGGCACCGTGGAAAGGACGTCACTTTGGCATAACACGTATATAGCCATTTCTTTCCTATCTTGCATTTAGTGTTTACTTCCCCTCCCATTAGGTTTAGGTGCGTCCCAAGCCTGCAGTGGCCTATTAGTAAACCTACCATCGGATGTCAGTGTGGAACTCAATTATATTATTACGATTTCTTTTCGTATCTTTGTTGCAGTTTGAACATGGATCAGCTGGAAAAATTTAACAAAATGGGCGTTACTTTTAATTTTTCTAGAATTTTGAAAAATAGTTTATTAGTGAAGATAAATAGCACCTTGACGGTTCTGACCTCTGACAGTCACGTCATACGTTACTCAAATGCTGTTTTGTGAAAATGCCCCCACAGTTACTAAACTTAACATGTTGCATAATATATTATTTACTATTGTTTGGTTAATGATTAAACTTTTACAAAAAACAAAATTGGTTTAACAGGACCTAAAAGTGTTCTATTTAAATTAAAATACATTGTAATTAGATATACATCATTGTATTTTAACAAAAACCACATTGTTTTCTTTAACAGCACCTAAGATTGTGTTATTGAAGCCAAAATTATTTAACATTGCCCCAATGCGCGGTGCTTCAGTTTTGTTTGTCATTTTCCAACCAAATCTGCTAGAACTTGACTTACAGTTTCTTCTTCATTTGATAATTTTATTTATTTAAAAAAAAATGTCGCTAACGACTAAAGCGTCGCTCATCGAAATTGTAGCATAATATTCTATTAATAAATCGATGCCTTTTTTGGTCTGTGTTCGAAATGACGTCACCGTCGTGACGCGGTCGATAACCGAAACTGGCGATATTAAATTTTGTTCAGGCGAAAATGCCTCTGTATTTTATCCCATCGAACAAAATTGGCCGGGAGTTTTTTTTGTACCCCCCATACCCCTTCCTCGGGGCCATTTTATGAATTTAATTTGAAAACGAATAATATTGTATATTTGCGGGTGCACTTAAAATAACGCAAAGCGGATCCATCGAAAACCGCTTCAAAGGAATTTTCTCGTTGCGTATTTCTATGCATACAGGGCAGCGTCGAGGGGGATTGCGGCGACTGGCTATTAACGCAGCTTTGTCGTTACCGATTGTCCCGGTTAACGCAGTATTTACGACAGTTCGGTGGTCCGGTAAAAGCACATTAGGGCGGCCGCTATTACCACATTAGGGGATGTTTGGCGATTTGTTTATGTCCTCCCGCGATCAACAATTAATGCGGCTGTCCGCATCGCAAGATATCGGAATGGTTTTGTTTTCAAATTTCGCGCGCCCGCCATATCGTGGACAAAGCACTTGTTCCAGAAAACGTAGTGGTCCTCTATCCACCACCCAGCTTAAACTATCATTTTTTGATCCAAACAGTTACATATTTATGTCAATATCTTTCAAATACTAGTCAAATTCGGCGCCGTCGTGCTTTGTAGTAACAAATAAACCATTAGATTTCGACGAAAAACCCAATTTCCGAGTCAAATAGTCGCCGATTTCGATAAGATCCCAGTCAGAATCGGCTTTTTCGCCTCTTATTGTACCCAAATCTACCTTAGAAAAGCAGATATGTGCTTAAAACCCCTCATTTTAATTCAATATTCAATGCAATGCAAAAAAAACAAATGTAGTTAAATAAGAACAAACGTTGTTCAGATTTTCACATAAATATATTTAAATGACAGCTGTAAATGTCATATTACGGTTGATAAAGGCACGATGTTGCCGAAACAGCTGTCATTTAAATATATCTATGTGAAAATCTGAACAACGTTTGTTCTTATTTAACTATTTTAAATGGATTTTCACCAAGTAAAAGCCACTTCAGTACAAAACAAATGTAGTTTAGTAGAACCATGTTTATAGACAGATGTTTATCAAAAAAATCTTTGTTTTCTGGCTTTACCAATGAAAAAATATAAATTAACAATATATAAAAATAAATTTCAATTTTAATACAATTCAACGACACTTTCAGAAATGTTACTGATTTAGAACGTCAACAATTTACACTTCCTCTTCTTCAAAGAAACTTCCATGCTACTGTAATACTTTTTGTAAAACTTCTGGATCCCTCCTGACCACACATCAAAAGTTCTAAAGAAATGTAAGGTTAAAACCAGATTTACCACTTGTCCAAAAATCTCTCAACATTCTACAGGATGAGTTTACAACATTGGAGAGACCGGACGAAAAATATCAACTAGGCTCAAAGAACATGAAAGAGCCTTAAGACTAAGACAAATAAACTCATCAGAGAATCTATAGAAATCGCAACCTAATAACATTAACCGCGACTCAGGTCCCTTCCTGTCACCAATATGGGAATCAGTCATCCGAGACGGTGTTTATGCCTCTCATTTAGCTCCGCCCCCTCAAACAATAATAAGCAGAGTAAAACCTGAGTCAAGCTCTGAAGAAGCCAACAGGATGATTGACGAAACGTTAGCCAGTTCGACTCAACAACAACCAACGAAGGAGGAACCCAGAAGTTTTATAAAAAATAACTTCCACTAAACTTGAGGCAGACAGACATAGAGAGTTATGCTAGGAACTTATTTAATGAAAATGGTATGAAATGTAATATTTTTGTGAATACCTCTATTCGATCATTTCTGACTGGTCTGACAGGGCAACATATTATAATATAGAAGGTACAGTCTACGCGGTTTATAATTTTGGTTAATTTGCTTGGTTTGCTGGCTCTTGCCTTTGGTTTGGTGACGCCAAGCAGTTGAAAACGCACCCTGGAAAGGACTTCACTTTGGCATAACGCGTGTAGAGCAATTTAGTGTTTTCTTCCCCTCCCATTAGGTTCAGGTGCCTCCCAAGCCTGCAGTGGCCTATTAGTAGAACTCAATTATATTATTACGATCTCTTTTCGTCTTTATTTGTGTTGGAATACAATGAAAAAGCATTCACGAAGTGAAATGGCGAACTTCTAAAACTCAATTTTTTATAACCTCAACCACTGTAACCCGATGCAATGCGATAATTTTAACTCTATGATGAACAGCTTCAGGATATGACATCGTGGCAGGTGAACCGCTATAGCAGATTTGGTCGCTGCCGAGGCAGTACGGTTAGAAGTTTAAACTAAATTGAAAAATGGTCCACATTTGCTCTTAATTATGAGACTGAACCGAACCGTTATGTACGGGGTGACCAGTTCCAGGCGTTCGTTAGGTACTTAGCTTGTTTTTCCGATCAGATTGGAGGACATAGTTCAATAATTACTAGCCCTGGGCCTGGTCGTCTAGTAATATATATTAGTAGGCAACATCGCATTGTACGTTGCTACCATATAATTGGTAACCATAGCTGCTGTAATTTGAAGGTTGTCGTCCGGTCCAGGAATCTTATTTACTCATTTCAAATCTAACTTGGACAGCTTCAGTATATGGCACTCTTAGCTTGATGCATTTCGCAAGGAATGATCGGATAGATACGATAGCACGTTATCTGTCGTAACGAAGTTAAGGGTGGCAGGAAGACGGTAAACGTTCAGTCAGCAGGATGCGAAAAACGAGCAGCAGATGAGAATCAGACTCGCGACGCGCGGGCGGACGTACGCCCCGTACAAGAACGGGCCTCTAATGCAATCGGCTCCCCTCGTCTGTTCTCGTTCGAGCCCCCTTTTCGGCTTGTGCAGTGTTGCAGGAACGGTCAGTTGGCATCGCGCGTTCGTAGCAGGAGCGGGGCACCGCGTCGATTTCAGAACGCGCGTCCGACGATCTTTAAGGCCGGCAAAGTGCGAGGCTTTTTTTTACTTTTTTCGCGGTTCAGGCTTGTTAGTGTCGGTCAGTGTTGACGACGAAGTTGGTGATCGGTTTTGTTGGATAGTACATTGTC